CAAGAAGCCACCAGATCAGAGTTTGGTGGGCAGGCACAGGCAAGCAACGCTGAGGCCTGAGCTGAGGTTGGGGCTCTGGGGAACCCAGTGATATTTAGGGCGTAAAACTGGAATTGGGAATTGATTGACAGCAGCACTGGGTCTGGAGTGGGGGAGTAGGTGAGGGGTAGGGGAATCCATTAGGAATTGAACTCCTTCTGGACAGGGTCCGCTTGGGACCCCTCTGTCCCCAGCACCCAGCACCAGAATGGACCTCAGCTAATGTGTGTTGAAAGAGGAAATGACCTTGGGTCTTTCTTCTTTGTTCTTGCCCTGACCTTCAGAGTGGGGACTGGGGAGGGAAAGGATCCATCCCTAAACTCTTCAGCCTCCATTCCTCCTCCTTGATCCTTTAGTTGCCTTCTCTAAATAACAACAACAACAACAACAACAACAACAACAGCAACGAGAGTCCCTCTTTTCGTGCAGCACATTAACATTAACCAAGGGCACTGGCCTCCATTCTGTCTCGGGCTGAAGAACGAGTGCAGGGAAGGGGAGCGGCTTGCCCTGGTGGTCTGAGGCAGAGCCAGGCTGAGGACCAGCAGGCCCATTGATCATTTCTGAGCCCGTATTCATTTTACCTGCGTCACCTCCCTGAAGCCTCCCACCAGCCCCACACGCTAGATGTTACTAATTCAGTTCTGCTTCACAGGTGATAAATCGAAGCCATTATAGTGGGGTGGAAAGAGCCAGACATGGCTGACTCCGCCAGCTGTGTGGCCTTGGGCAAATCTCTCACTTCTTGGAGCCTCGGTTTCCCGGTCTGTCTCCATGCTGCGAAGAGGGGGTGTGTGGGGGGTGGGGGCTTGGCCCTAAGGATAGTCCTCATGAATCACCCAGAGAGGAGACAGCGTGTCCTCTCAAGGTCAGCAGTGGAGGAGAGGGCTTTGGGATCCAGCCTTCCTGACTTCTAGGCTGGTGGGTTCTCTGTCCACTGACCCCCAAAACCTTCGGCTGCGGCACCGGAGACATGGGGAGGAGCCTCCGCTGGGCCTGGGGTGCCCTAGCCCTCAGAAGCCTGAGTCCAAACCTCCTTCCACACCCTCTCTGGCCTTTCCCTAGGGAGGGAGCAAAGATTCATCAGTTAAGGCACCAGCTGGCGGGCGGCGGTGAAGACAAGCTCGCCAGCTGCCCAGAGTCCCTACTGAGGAGCCAGGCCAGGGGGGAAGGAGGAGAGTTGGGAGGGAGGGAGGGTGGATGCCGGCAGTGGGCAAAGTCTGTGACCAAACCGTCTGGTCTGCGGCCCTTCCCTCCCTCTTCCCCACACCAGTCCACACCAGCTGGGCCTCCTTCTCCCTCGCCACCTGCCCTTCCTTTCAAAGTTTTGGAGACGTGCAGAGCCTTCTGACTTGTTCACCAGCTGGATGATGTCCTTGGGCAAGTCACTCAATCTCTGTGGGCCTCAGTTTCCCCCTGTGTCAACCAGGGGTAATAACGCCCATATCATAGGGTTGTGGTGAGGAGAAGAGTGACACCAGCGAGGGACCCGGAACTAGGGTGTGGGATTCATAATTCCCCTCTTTCCCTGGCTGAGAACGACAGTGGACATGTGTCCCCATCACCCTAGGCCCCCTGAAACCCATATCTTTCCTTGCTTACAAATAATGATTTGCCTCAATAATAATTGCTATTTAACGAAAGCTTACCACATGCCAGGCCCATGCTAACCGGTTTAGGGACATTAACTTGTTTCATTCACAACAATCCTTCCTATGAGCAGGGTATTAGGGTTCTCTTATACGTGAGGGTATAGAAGTTCAGAGAAATCAAGTACCTTCTCAAGGTCACACAGACATAGGGTGACTCAGTAAGTCATCAAACAAAACAGGGTGCTTTTGAGGATGAAAGATGGTGCTACTGATCATTATGCCAGGCAAACTGAGGAGTGTGGCACCTTATGTGGACAGCACGTGGCCGAGCCAGGATTCTAAGCCAGGCCTGTTGGATCTTCTGACCACAGGTTCCCGAGGGGGTAGGAAGGGGACACTCTGGATTAGGACCGTGGGTTTGATCCTGGGCACCTCACCTACTTCCTTGACCCTGATCAAGTCTCATCATCTCCCTGTCAAAGGAAAGGAATAGTGGCAGCACAGCCTAAAGCCCAGAGAGGAGCAGTAACTGGGCCAAGACCACACAGCGAAGTCTGGGCTGGATGAGGATCTGAGCCTCGGTGTCTTGACTCTTTGGGAATGTGGTGATGAGTAAACAAATGCCTGTAAAACCCTTGCTTGGTACCGTGCCTGCCTGGCACAGTGACCACCCAACATCTGGTGTCTTAGGTCTGTTACATAATCTCTTCCCACGTCTGTGTACCACTCCCTTCCTAGAGGCCCCGGCCCCTGCTCATCTCCTAGTCCCTTGTCTGAAAGGTGGAAAACGAACAGGCTTTAGCCCCTCAGAGACCCCAGTTTGAATCCCGGCCCTGCGTCTACTGTGTGACCTTAGCCAACACAGTTTGCCATGATGGAAATGTTCTAGATCTGAGATGCACTGTCCAGTATGTGAGCCACCAGCCACCCGTGGCAGTTGGGCACCTGAAATGTGGCTCCTGTGACTGAGGAACAGAACATTTTATTTTAATTGGTTTAAAGTGAAATAGCCACATGCGGCTTGTGGCTCCCTTTAGACAGTACAGCCTTAAAAAAACAGTTCAACTTTGCCCGGCCGGTGTGGCTCAGTGGTTGAGCGTCGACCCATGCACAAGAGGTTGCCGGTTCGATTCCCGGTCAGGGCACATGCCCAGGTTGTGGGCTCGATCCCCTGTTGGGGAGCATGCAGGAGGCGGCCAATCGATGTTCTCTCTCATCGATGTTTCCATCTCTCTCTCCCTCTGCCTTCCTCTCTCTAATATATCAATAAAGAAAAAAAATGATTAAGCTCTGATCCTCAGTTGTTTTTGTTTTTATCCTCACCCGAGAACATTTTTCCATTTTTTTTGTTCAGGTAGAGTGGGAGGGAGAGAGAGGAACAGAGAGAGAGAGAGAGAGAGAAACATCGATGTGAAAGGAACACATCGAATCGAGTGGCTGCCACCCGCACAACCGACCAGGGCCGGGGACAAACTGCAACCGAGGTACGTGCCCTTAGCGGGAACTGAATCCGGGTCTCTCAGGACCGCAGGCCGACGCTCTAACCGCTGAACCAAACCGGCCAGGGCTCAGTTTTCTTATCTCAAAAGTGGGGCTGATAGCATGCACTCGGAAGGGTTGTTTTTTCCTAGGAGAGTAATAAGTGCTCAGAATAGCGCAGGGCAGGGCCTATAGTTGGGTGCTCGGTGAAAGGTGACTTCAGGTATTAGCTCCCTTTTCCCCATCTGACCCCTTCGTGGCCCCCGCTCCCTGCACACTGTGTCTGAGAGGTGAGGCCTCCTGCCCCCTGCCGCCCAGGGGGCAGCTGGGCCACAGGAGGGCCTCACCCCTGCGAAGATCCTCACGACCGTCTTCGGCCGCTTCAGGAACTGCACGACTTCACTGTTCGCCAGGTCCTGGAGGCTGTCGGGGATGTGCATGGCCGCTGCTCTGCTTCTGGGGCTCCGGGAGGTGGGAGCAGGGATGCTTGGCTGTCTTCCAGAGAGTCCAGGTGCCCCTGGGGCTCAGCTGCTGAAAGACAAGATGGGCGATGGGAGGTTAGAGTCAGAGGCATGGGGTGAAGGAACTTCCAGGGGTCCCAGGAGAAGGGGACATGAGATAGGGGCGTGCTGGGGGGGGTCCCAGGAATGGGGTTGTGGGAGGCGAAGGGTCTGGTGTGGTTCTTAGGAGTAAGGGAATGGGGTGAAAGGGCTGCTGGGGGTCCCAGAGGTGGGAGCGCAGGATGAGAGGGTTGCTGAGGATCTCATGAGTTAGGGTGCAAGGTAAAGGGGATCCCGAGAATTCTAGAGTTAGGGTCCCCAGGTGAGGTGGAAGATGGGGGGTACCAGAGGTGGAGAGCCGGGTGAGGAAATCCCAGGCAGGAGAAGGGGTGGAGAGCGGGCTGCGATATTAGGGTCATGTCCCTGACACTGAAGCCAAAGGGCCCCTCTGAAGGACTGTGTTCTCCCTGTGAGAGGACACAGTGGCATTTCCAGGGAGTTGAGGTGCTGGGTCAGAACTCCTGGAATATCTGGACCAGGGGGATCTCTTTCAGGTTTGGGGTGACAGCCCCCGCAATGGAGAACCCAGGCAGAATAGGGAGTAGTTTCGGCTGTCCTAATGACTTGGGGTTATTTCCTTAGAATACAGGCCTCCGCCTCGAATTCAGCTTCATAAAAGGGTGTTTCCTCAAGTTGGGGGGGTCTGGATCTCAGACGTGTGGGGACATGGGCTTAGAACTGAGCTGTCCCCTCAATGAGGCCATGCCCCAGGCACTAGGTTACCTTCTTAGAATCAAGGTCTTCCCTTCAAGGACGGGAAATGGGGGTGGTGAGGCTTGAGGGGACGCTCCTGCCAAAGGGTTACCCCTACTCTGAGGCCGGGTCTGCGTCACCTGGGGGCCACTCTTCCCTTCGCTCACCCTCCCCATCCCGGTCCCTGGCCCCACCTCAGGCTTCTTTTGCTTCCTTCTTTTCCCGCCTTTTCGCTCCTCCACAGCTAATTGGCTGTGCCCAGGCCCCGCCCCCTTCATTTTCCCTCCCACTCAGTGGCGGGCGCGAGCGGGGGCGTGTCCACAGCGGACGTTGGGCTGCCCGCCGTTGGCGAACTGCGCGCGTGGGAGCCCTACCCCACCCCAGCTCTCCAGGGAGTCTCGCGCCCGCTCCGTCTCCTTCTCTTTGAAGTTCGGAGACAAGGAGACATTCCTGCTGCGCATGCGCTGCGCCCCAAACAAGGCGGGTAGTGGAGAAAGGCAGGCATATTGCTCGTGCGCAGTTGAGACGGCCTTAGAGGGGAAAAAAAAAAAAAAATGGACAGGGCTGAGTGACAGATTTTGCGCATGCGTCCCACTGCTGGATGAAGGCGAACCTCCGGGGGGGCCTCCTTGCACATGCGCAGGAGGCTCAATGACAGCCGAGCGTTGGCTAAGGTGAGGGGAGGGAAGGGGATTGCATGGCCAAGGCAGGACGGCCCTGCACCGTCTAGGTAGCCTTTCCGAGCTTCTCCTATGGTCCTAAAGTCCACCTCATCGCCTAGACCCCGCAGAAACCAGTTGTACCACTACAGGTTGTCTGGGCCCTCAAAACGCCCCAGGACCTAAGACTTCTCTGGCGCAGGTCCTCCGAGCAGTGTGGGAGGGGACCCGCAAGAATTGCTACGAGGCGAGCGGATGGGCGCTGCGCCCCGCCTGGGGTGGCGACAGCTCCGGGAGGTGGCGAGGGCGCTGGTCCATCAGATGTCCTTTGACCCCCCTACCCATTTCCCTCGTTTAGGCTCTGGGGACAGGGGCTGGCCATGTTGCACGTGACCCGGGGGGTCTGGGGATCCCGCGTCCGAGGATGGCCGCTGTTGCCCCCGCTCCTCGGGCCCCCCCGGGCCCTATCCTCATTGGCGGCCAAGATGGGGGAGTACCGCAAGATGTGGAACCCCACGGAGCCCCGCGACTGGGCACAGCAGTACCGCGAGCGGTTCATCCCATTCTCCAAGGAGCAGCTGCTCCGCCTCCTAACACAGGTACCGCCCGTCCGGGGTCCAAGAGCCTGGGGCCTCTGACTCCCGGCAGGCCTTGCGGCGGCAGGGCCCTGCGTGCCAGAGAGGGCTGCCTGGACCCCTCCTGGGAGTTGTAGTTCACGTTCCGCTTTCCGTCCCTAGTGGGCGCGAAGTGCATTGGAACAGAGGGGCAGGGGGCGGGGGAAGAACGCCGAGATGCAAATACAGCAGCAATTCCACCCTAGCGTGATCTGGGGGCTTGAACAAGCGCTCTGCGGGGCATGGTTTTTCCCTCCGCAAAATGAGTGTAGTCATCTTCATCATGACTATCACTACTACCTAATAATTATTAACCTATCTAGCTAGAATCATAATTATCACACTGAGCTCTTACTAAAGACACGGTGCTAAGCAGTTTCCATGTATTGAATCATCAGAGCAACCCAGTAGAAGGGATACCACCATCATCCCCATTTTATAAAGGAGGGCACTGAAGCAGGAGAAAGAAAGTGACAAGCATAAATAATTGGTTAAATAGGTGTGCTCTGGAGTCAGACAGGGCTAAGCGGGAGTCTGTTTCTCTTTATCTAGGCGTTGTGGCCCTCAGCAGGTGACTTCCCTGAGCCTCATTTTCCCCCTCTGACAAATGGGGGTTGTCGTTCCATGGGCCTCCTTGCATCTCTGGAGGATGATAGCATGTGGGCAAGCGGTACCTGGGTACCGTCAGCATTGTATGAATGTTGGCAAGTCAGTGTCAAAGTGAAAACTTGAACTCTTAGCTCTTCCGGTGCTCTGTTTTTCACTCTACCGGCTACCTCAGTTTCTTGGTCAATACAAATGACACCTTCCCCCAAACAAAACCAAATTTTGAAAAGCCCAGAGCCCTGCTTGCCTGTATGGGCTGCCAGGGAAAGAATTCCTCCCCAGGAGGAAGGGGAAAGAGGCCTAAAGAGCAGTTTTGCTTCCTGAGGTAACAGGAATTCCACTCCAGTCCTGCGGAGAAGGCGGCTTTGGAGGAGTTCTCGGCCCACGTGGACTTCTGCACCTTGTTCCACTACCAGCACATCCTGAGCCGGCTGCAGGTGAGGATGGGGCCCCTCCTGCCCTGTCGTGCTTGTTTGCTTATCTATTCATTCAGCAAAAGTTCTCTGAGCACCCACGTGGAACCTGGCCCGGTTTTAAGCCCTGGGGATGCTGCAGTGAACAGGACAGATGACACCACACCCTCAGGGAGCTGGCATTCCAGTTGGGGAGATAATAAATAAATATGAAATATGATACCCAGGAGTGGTAAGTGCTGTGAAGAACAACAAAGCAGAGATTAAAGGTTAGCTAGGGCCTGGCTGGTGTGGCTCAGTGGTTGAGCGTCGACCCATGCACCAAGAAGTCGCCAGTTCGATTCCTGGTCAGGGCACATGCCCAGGTTGTGAGCCCGATCCCCAGTGGGGGGCGTGCAGGAGGTGGCCAATCGATGTTCTATCTCATCAATGTTTCTATCTCTCTCTCCCTCTCCCTTTCTCTCTCTCTAAACTCAATAAAGAAAAAAAAAAAGCCCTGGCCGGTTTGGCTCAGCGGTTACAGCATCGGCCTGCGGTCCAGAGAGACCCGGGTTCGGTTCCCACTAAGGGCATGTACTTTGGTTGCAGTTTGTCCCCGGCCCTGGTTGGGTCGTGCGGGTGGCAGCCACTCGGTGTGTCCCTTTCACATCGATGTTTCTCTCTCTCTTCCTCCCGCTCTATCTGAATAAAAAATGGAAAAATGTCCTCCGGTGAGGATAAAAAAAAAAGGTTAGCCAGGGATGAGATGGGGGCCTATTTTAGACCAGGCGGTCAGGGGTAAGCTAAGACCCGAGAGTGTGCCTGATGGATGTCTGGGGGAGGGTGTGCCAGGCAGAAGGAAGAGCAAGTGCAAAGACCCTGAGGTGAGAGAGGGCCTGGAGTGTTGCAAAAACAGCCAAGGGACCGCTAAAGCTAGAAGGGAAGATGAGGGTGGAAGATGAGAACAGAGAACGAGTGGGGCAAATTGTGCCTGGCCTGTGGGCTGTGGTGAGGACTTGGTTTTACTCTAAGCAAGCTGGGAGCCACAGGAGGGCTCTGAGCGGAGGAGAAACTCCAGCTGATTTAGGTGTTAACCACATCCCTCTGGCTGCTGTGTAGGGAACGGACTGTCAGAGGCAGAGAGATCCAGTAAAGGGTCTATTATGTTTGCCGGGGCGAGAGGTAATGGCAGCTCTGATGAGAGTAATAGCAGTGGAAGTGGTGGAAAGTGGTCAGACGCTGGTAATAGTTGGAAGGCTGCAGCATTCAGCTGTGTGGGCAGGGCCATGAGGGAGAGAGAGGAGTCCGGGGTGCCTCCTGCTGTTCTGGCTTGCTCCCCCAGAATGATGGAGCTGCCATTTGCTGAGATGTGCAGGACAGGGCAGGGGCGGGAGGCAGATCTGCAGGGGAGATTGACAGCTCAGCTTTGGACTTAGGAATTTGAGCTGTCTATCAGACAGCCAGGTAGAGAGATGGACTTGAATGTGGGGTCTGGAGGTCAAGGGAGGGGTTTGGGCTGAGAAGCAACAGGGAGGATCTAGACGGTACTAAATGGTGCCATGCAGGAATTATCTGAACCCTGGGGTGTGCCAGCCTTGAGATCAGGAAAGGGAACAGAAACTGAGGAGGAGGGTAGGCAAGAGCAGCCAGAGAGAGAAGTGGAACCCCAAGGGAGAGTGGTCAGGAGATAAATTCTTAGCATCCTCCTTCTCCTCCTCCCTGGTCCTGCCTGTGTTGAGGGTCCTCAAGACCACCCTCAGATTTTCTAGAGGGACTCCCAGGGTTCAGGAAAGCTGTTATGTTCACAGTAATAGTTTGTTACAGTGAAAGGATAGTAAACAAAATTAGCAAAGGAAAAGGCTATGGGGCGGGGTCCAGGGGAGACCAGGCCGGAGCTGCCACTTGTCCTCTCCCATGATTGTCTCAAGAACAGCATTTAATTCTCCCTCCAACGATATGTGATGACACTTATGGAACATTGCCAACCAGGGAAGCTCACCTGAGCTTTGTTCAGGGTTTTTATTAGAGATTGGTCATGTAGGCCTGGCTGGCCACCTGTGTGGCTGCCTTAGTTACTCAGTCTCCAGCCCCTCCAGAGGTCAGACTGCTACCTCATGGCCCAAGACCCCCACCATCAATCACATTGTTGGCATAGACTATCCAGTGTGGCCCAAGACACTCTCACCAGGCAGGGCATTCCATGGACCTAGAGGTTTCCACAAGAAGCCTTTTGTTTGAAATGTGCAGGGTTTGGACAGCCCAGGTCTGCTGAGTTAGCCCTTCACTGTACACTGCCACGCCCTCCTACAGGTCCCCTCTTTGCTTTGAATAGCAGCCACGGACAATGACCCCTCGTTGCTGAGCGCTCACTCTGTTGGGCTCATTGACTCCTTCCTGTGGCACCTGGGTGCAGCTGCATTCAGCCCCATTTGCAGAGGGCCCAGGATGTGCCCAAGGTCGCACAGTTCACAAGTGGCAGAGCCAGGACTGGCGCCCTGGTCCATCTGCCTCCAAGCTCTTCCCTAGGGCACTTGTGGCCTCTGGAGTCAGGTCATTTTATTGTTATTTAAAAAAATATTATATAAACATTTAACTATATAGAAAGAATAATCAATGAAGATGCATATTTCTGTGGAGGCAGGAGATTTTAAGATATTTTTTAATTGATTTTTAGAGAGAGGAAGGGAGATGGAGAGAGAAAGAAACACCAATGTGAGAGTGGAACATCAATCAACTGCCTCTTGCACGCCCCCTACCAGGGATGGAGCCCGACCAAGAATCGACCCGGTTACCTCTTGGTACATGAGACAATGCTCAACCACTGAGCCACACCAGCCAGGGGAGGCAGGAGGTTCTATTTATTTATTTAATCCTCATCCGGGGGAATTTTTAGAAAGAATGGAAGGAAGGGAGGGAGGAAGGAGAGAGAGAGAGAGAAACATCCATCGATGTGAGAGAGACACATTGATTGGTTGCCTTCCACATGACCCTGACCGGGCCTGGGGATCGAACCTGCAACCCAGGTACATGCCCTTGACTGGAATTGAACCTGAGACCCTTTGGTTCATGGGCCGATGCTCCAACTGCTGAGCCAAACTGGCCAGGGCAAAGCAGCAGGTTTTAAACTGAGGTACTAAGAGGGGCAGGGTGGAAGCACCAGAGGGGTGTGAGACACTGGGTGACCACTTGTTGATGACCTAAGTCCCTAGGGGACGCAACCCAGGACAGGAAAAGAATAAGAATAGCCCCGGTTCAAAAGCTGGCTTTGTTGTTTGCTAGTCATGCAGGTGACCTCTCTCTGCTCCTCCTTTCCCTCATTCATTCATTCATTCATTGAATTTGCTCAGGATATATTTATTGAGCACCTACTGTGTCCCCCAAATGGTTCCATACCCCGGGACACAGCAGTGAGCCTGACAGATGTGTGTATCTGCCTCATTTGGTCATGTTCTAGTGAGGGAGACAGACCCTCAACAAAGGGAAGAAGGAAAATATGTTAAGAGATGTTAAGTGCTAAGGATAGGGTTGCCAGGTAAAGTACAGACTGCCTTGTTTATTCCTTTACTACTACTGCCAAACAAATTACCATGAACTGGGAGGCTTTAAAAAACAGAAATGGCCCTGGCCAGTTTGGCTCAGCAGTTAGAGCGTCAGCCTGTGGTCATGGGTTCGATTCCCAGTCAAGGGCACATACCTGGGTCCGGGTTGTGCAGGAGGCAACCAACTGATGTGTCTCTCTCACATTGATGTTTCTCTCTCCCTCCCTTCCTCTCTCTCTAAAATCAATAAAGGGAAACAATTTAAAAAACAAAAACATAACTGTATTCTCTCCGAGTTCAGGAGCCCAGAAGGTGTGGGCAGAGTTCGTTTCTTCTGGTGGTTCTGAGGGAAGAATCGTTCCAGGGCTCCTCTTAGCTCCTGCGGCTGCTGGCAAACCTGGGCCTTCCTCGACATGTGGACACATCGCTCCATCTCCTTCACATCTCCTTCTTCTCTGTGCCTCTCTCTGGTTTCTTCTGTCTCGTATAAGGACACCCTCATTGGATTTAGGGCCCGCCTTACTCCAGTATGATCTCATCTTAATCCTCAATTACACCTGCAAAGACTCTTTCCAAATGAGATCATATTCTGAGGTTCTGAGAGGACATGAATTTTTAGGGGACACTATTCAACTCTCTCTACCCGGTTAAATTTGAAATTCAGAAAAGCTTTGAATAATTTTTAAAAGCATAATTATGCCCCATGCACATCAAATATTGCATGAAAAATTATTTGTCATTGATCTGCAAATCAAATTTAACATGGTGTCCTGTATTTTTTATTTTATTTTTGCCTAAATCTGGTAACTAATTAAAAAGACAAAGAAAGCAGAGGTGTTTTGTAATTTTAGGTAGGGTGGTCAGGGAAGGAAGGCCTCACTGAGGGGTTGGAATTTGAGCCGAGACCTGAAGGTGGCGAGAGTGAGCCATATGGAGAGGGGCAGGAACAGTAAGTACAAAGGTCCTGAGGCAGGAGAAACAGCAAGGAGGCTGGTGGGGATAGAGCTGAGTGAGCAAAGGCGACAGGGCTGGAGGTGAGAGCAGAGATGGGAGTGAGGGCAGATCCCGCCGGGCCCTGTGGGACACAGGTGAGGACTCTGAATGAGGTGGAAGCCACAGGAAGACTCTGAGCAGAGGAGGGACATGAGTGGACTTAGATTGCAGCAGGCGCCCTCTGCTGACCGCACGGGGAACAGACAGGGTGGGGATGGAGGTGGGAGCAGGGAACCCGGCGCTGGGGCCACTGCAACCGTCCAGGGTATATGGGTGGCTCAGACAGGTGTTGAGAAGTGGTCGGATTCTGGATCTGTTTTGAACGTGGTACCATCAGGATTTGCTGATGGGTTGAATGTATGAGAAAGAGGGGTGTCCAGGGGGACCCCAGACTTTGGGCCTGAGTACCCAGAAGGATGGACTTGGCCTCTGAGTGGGGAGGATGGCGGGAGGAGCAGGTGTGGGGCGGAGTTTCAGGAGCCCAGTTTGGGAGGTAGAGCACACAGAGGCTTTGAGAGGAAGCCCACGGGCCCGGGTGGATGCACCGAGAGGCCGCGTGGCCATCGTGTGGAAGTGTTGGGTAGGCTCTTGGCTGAGTGAGAGTGGAGCTCAGCAAAGACGTCCGGACTGGAGACAAATCTGGGCGTCCTCAGGAGACAGATGGTATTTGAGGCCCCAAGGGAATGCTTGAGGCTAGAAAATGGCAACAATTGCCACAAAAACGCCGGGACATTTTCCATTCGTTCAGCGGATGTTTGTGCGAGGCCCGGTGCCAGGTGCCGGGGCCTCATGGAGGAGCCAACTCGAGCCTGCGCCCTGCCCTCTGGGAGCTGAAGGCAGGTGATGGCGACAGCCGTGGATCAGACTCTCTCAATGAATGGATCAGTTCGGATTGTGAATTCGAGGGGCACAGTCCCTGCGAACGGATAACAAAGCTGACCTTGGTCTCGGTACCAGGGTCTGTGTGCAAATGAGGAAAAGGCACCCCTTTCCCTAGCCAGGGGCTGTCTCAAAGGAGGGTTCCCATGCACATGTGGCTGTTTAAATTTGGAATAATCAAAATTCAATAAGATTTAAAAATTCGATTCCTCAGTTGCATTCACCACATTTCACGTGCTCAGTAGCCAGCCACATAATGGGGGGTGCGGACCTAGGTGTTTCCATCATTGCAGGAAGGTCTGTCGGGTGGTGCTGCGCTGTACCCTTTATTTCCATCCGAAAAGGTGACTGTTAGGATACATGTCCAGGTCTTCGGCATGTACAGTGATGCCTCTTAGATCCTGCCCAAGCACACGGGTGGCCCTGCTCAGCCTAGGAAGCGGAGGAAGGCTTTTGGAGAGTGATAAGAGCTGGAATACAATAGAGGAGTAGACATTCAGTAGTGGAAAGGAAAGGAGGCAGGAAGGGGGCCAGGGAGAGTCTCCCAACAGCATGTGCAAAGTCCCTGTGCCTGGAGGAATGAAAGCCAGGATGGCTGGGGTAAAGGGACCAAGGGGGTTGTGGGGTAAAGGGAGCTAGGGGGCTTGCAGGCCATAGTGCAGAGCCCCGTCCCCTCTGAGGGCAGTGGGAACCTTGGAAGAGTTTTGGCAGGAGCTTGACATAGTTGGATGTGTAGTTCCTGGTACCTTACTTCCTGGCTCTGTGAACTCGGGCAGTTACTTCACCTGTCTGTGCCGCAGTTTCCACATCTGTCAGTGAGGATAACAAAAGTACCGTCGTCACACTGTGAAATGTGTACAACACGCTTCTAATAGTGCCTGACACACAGTAAGTGCTGCATAAATGTGCGCCTTTCTTATGTGTTACTACTACTATTATTGTTTGCTGAGCTCTTCCCTGCTTCTGTGTAGGGAGCAGATTGGCAGGGGAGGGGGACCAAGGGGGTTGGGGGAGACCATTGAGAAGGCTGTTGGACTCACTGAGGAAGGAGGAGACGGTGGTGGTGTGGACGGGGAGGAGAGCGCTGGGCAAAGTGGAGGTGGGATGGACAGGGGGTTCACTGTTTGAGGGGAGGGAGCAGCTGGGGTCACCTGCAGCATCCAGGTTTCTGGCTTGAAGCCCTGGTGAACTTGAAATTCCCAGAGAAGAATCTGGCTCGCAGCAGACATTTGATGAATGTGGATTTCTCTCTCCTCCAGCTCTGAGATTCCCTCACTCTCAAAGAGCAGCTCAGCCCTGGGAATGGAATTTCTCAAGGTCACTCCATGAGTCTCAATGTGGCCTGTGGGACCTGCTCTGTCAGCCGGGGCTGAAGGACTCGGACACAGGTCTTTGCTTTGGCCTCAAGTCTTAGCCTCAGCCAGCAAGCCACAGCCCTGAGAGTTAGTTCTGAAGAGAATTAGCTGGGCTTCCCTCTCCCCTGCATCACCAGGCTCCTTGCTCAGTTTCTGAGGCCCTGGGCCTTCCCACCTCCAAACCATTGCCCAGGCTGTTCCTCCCACCTGGAACACCTTCTCTTATTTCCTGCCACTCATTCAAAGTCACACCTGGCCTAACCAGGTTGTTCCTTAAGGCTCCCTTTCCTGAGAGACACACAGAGGGCAGGTTTATGGACTTGTTTTATGAAGGGGTGGTTTCCCTCTGAGGCTTGCTGTTTGGTCTGGGACAGTCATCCTGAAACTCAACCTCTCCTTGAGCAAAGTAAGCTAGGCAACTGGAAGCTCGCTCATTCATTCAGCAACTTTGGGGTTAGGTGGGCGGATGTGGAAGATGATGTGGGCAAGGCAGAGGTTATCTCTACAGGGACCTTGACGGTCATGGAAGCGTTCTGGACCATGTTCCAAATGCAGTGGGAAGCTGTGGGAAGGATAGGGTGTGGGCTCTGTCCTCTAAATAAGCTCTTTGGGGAAAGTGGTTTGGAAGTGGCGAGACGAAGCAGGCAGAGCAGGAGCCCGGTGCAGCTGTTTAGACAAGGGGCAAAGGTGACTTGGACAAGAAGGCAGCAGTGGCAATAGAAGGGAAGATAAAGTCAAGAGAGATTCAGAGGTTCAGCCAGCGAACTTGCGAAAAGACTGGATATGGGAGTGATGGCAAGAAAGGAACCAGAGCCTCCGAATGGATAGTAGTGCCATTTCCTGACAGGAGAAGCCTGGGGTGGGCTGAGAAATGAAGCATGTTCCTCGGGCCATGTTAGATACAAGGTGCCATGAGACATCCAAGTGGAGAGGTCAAAGAGATCATTGAATCTAAGAGTTTGGCACTCAGGGAGAAGCCAGGGATGACTGAAGGGAATCGGTTTGAGACAGGAAATCCATTCGGTGGTTTTGTTGGAAGGTTGGGGATGGGAAGGTGTGCTCTGTGGATTTGGCATGTTAGATTTGAGGTGACTGGGACATCCAAAAAGAAATGACAAGTAGAAAAAAAAAAAGAAAAGAAAGAAAGCAATGGCAAGTAGAGAGTTTGTATTAGTTTGTATAGAGGCTTAGCTGCTATAACAAGCAGACCCCACAATCAGATGGTTTAAAGGAGATGGAGGATCATTTCCCTCCCACTTAACAGCCCGGTGGTAAATGGGCCAGGCTGCATAGGCTTCCCTGTCCCACAAGAGATTATGCTGGGACCCAGTTTCTTTCCATCCTGTTGCTCTGCCATACCCTAGGACATTGTCTTCATGTCTCTGTGGTCAAAACTGGGTCATGGGTAGAACAGTGTTCTAAGCTGTCAGAACAAGGAAAGAGTGGAAAGTGCAGAGGGACACCCATCACTTCTGCTCACATTCTATGGATGAAACCTTTGTCTTTTGACCACACCTAGCATCAAGGGAGACTGGGAAATGTAGTCTCTCTGGGAAGTCTGTGTCCACCTTTACTTCCATTTCTGTGGGAGATCAGGAGAACCAATGCTCACGCACTGGAAGTGGGTATTAGGTCTGGCACTTGGAGGAGAGGTCCAGGCTGGAGATGTGAGTGGGCAGTCATCTGCCAGAGAGGGTGTTTAAAGGCATGGGAGTGGTGAGGCCACTTAGAGCAAGGCTGGAGAGAGAGAATGTAAGAGGGGCCCAGAGTCAAGCCCTGGGTTACCCCATCATTTAAAGGATGAGGCCAGGAACATCCTGAAGTTTACCCACGACCGCTCATGCTGTGACCTAGCCTGTTTTTCTTCTCTCTGACTCTCTCCTCAGGCCTTATATGACCCCATCAACCCTGACAGGGAGACCCTTGACCAGCCTTCGCTAACGGACCCCCAGCGTCTGTCCAATGAGCAGGAGGTGCTTCTGGAGCTGGAGCCCCTGCTGGCCCAGGCCAACTTCTCCCCACTCTCCGAGGACACCCTGGCCTACGCTTTAGTGGTCCACCACCCTCAGGATGAGGTCCAGGTACCTGTCCTCCAGAGGAGAACCAATACTCCCAGGAGGCCCTGGGGCAGGGGTGGGGCCTTTGGGGGAGGCAGAGGCTGCTGGGAGTTGTAGTTCTGCACACAGGACACTAGCCCAGTGGTGCCTTTGGTGAATTAGAAAAAGACACCTCTTTCTTAGGTCACTTCACTGCCATCTGTTGGAAAAGTATCATAAGATATGGATCCTCTTTGAACTAAAGATTTTATTGCCACCTGCCAGAAAATTATAATAATAGATAATACAAAATGCTCATCCTTAAAGTCAACATAATTATAATAAAAATACTAACAGCTTCCAAAATTCCTTATTTTTGTGATTTTAAGATGTGCTGTTCTGGAAAATCATATTTTATTGTCTCCAAAATTGGGATGTAACTTATAAGCAGTGGTGTGATACAGTTTAATTGGCAATATATTTTCTCTTTTAGTTGCTTTATAAAATAATGGAGTCGCTTAAAATCAGTGGCATCTTATATTCAAGGAAATATGGTAGTAAGAACTATTGAGTGAATGGTGCCACCTTAGACGGTGTGCTCTGTGCAGTGTATGATCTGAACAACCGTGCATGGCTGCCCTGCCCAGACACCAGGTGATGATAAGCCTGGGAGAGGGGCAGGGTCACCAGGGGGGAAGGCGTCTGCTGTCCATATCCTGCACTCACACTCCAGCCCAGGCTCAGCTTTCTCCGCTTCCTTTGTGCCCTTGGCAGGTGACAATAAACCTGGATCAGTATATCTACATGCAGTTCTGGGCCCTGGGCCAGAGAGTCGGACCGATGCCTCGTAAGTCCAGCGTGGGCTCCAGGCGTAGCTTCTTTCTCAAGTCGTCCCCTGCAGAGAGGTGAGGCAGCCCTTGTTCCTCAGCTGCAGTGAGGGGGGCAAGGTTAGAGTTGAGAGGGGACTTGGGGGTCTGGGGCCCAGGTGGGAAGTCGAGAAAGGGGGAGGGGTGAATCATCCAAATGCTACTTTTTTTTTCTTTTTATCTTTTTGTTGTTGTTGTTAATACTCACCAGAGTATTTTTTCCATTGATTTTCAGAGCAAGTGGAAAGGCGGGGCGGGGGGTGGGGGGAGAAACATCGATGTGAGAGAAACACATCCATTGGATGCCTCCATCACAACCCCAACCAGGGTCGGGGACTGGACCTGCAACCCAGGCACATGCCCTTGACTGGAACTCAAATCCGAGACCCTTACGATGTGCCGGCCGACACCCTAACGGTGATCCACACCGGCCAGGGCCAAACGCTGCTTTTTCCTTCCCAAAGGAAAGTAAGAACTATAATTTCCAGGGGAAGAGAAAGGGTAGGGACATTTTCTCCAGTTTTCAAACGAGGGAAGCTGGGCTCAGAGAGGGAAGACCACATTCTGAAAAAGTGGCGCAGCCAGCGTTCTGATGAACATTATATTTTTATTTTGTTTATTTTATTTTATTTTTTATTGATTTTTTAGAGAGAGAGGAAGGGAGAGAGAGGTGGAAATATTGATTGGCTGCCTCCTGCACGCCCCCTTCTGGTGATCGAGCCTGCAACCCGGGCATGTGCCTTGACCGGGTTGTGGGAATCAAACCAGGACCACTCAGTCCATGGGACGATGCTCAATCCACTGAGCCACACCGGCCAGGCTGAACATCATAGTTTTAACAGAGGATATTCAAATACAGAACAGGGGCAGGAGAGCCAGATCTCCTCACAGTCAGTCAGTGGGCCTGTCCATTACCCAATCTTTCTGGAAATCAGTTGATTCGGTCATATGGTCACGAATCCAAAACACCAAACCAAAATAAAAACCAAAGACAAAGAACCCCTTACATCCCTTAAACCAGTAATTCCACCCTCAGGGATCTATTCCAAAGAGGTATTTATACTTGCGCAGTGTATGCTTAATTATCTGTCTCTCATGCTGCTCACAAAGGCAGTGACTGAATCATTTTGTTGTCTTTTCAGAGCTTCGTAGGCTCCCTGGCACCTAGCAGCCACTCTAAAATATATGGAGAATTTGAATTTGAAAATTAACTAAACAGCCAGGCCGGTGTGGCTCAGTGGTTGAGCATCGACCCATGCACTAAGAGGTCACCAGTTTGATTCCCGGTCAGGGCACATGCCCAGGCTGTGGGCCCGATCCCCAGTGGGGGGCATGCAGGAGGCGGCCAATTGATGTTCTCGCTCATCGATATTTCTATCTCTCCCCCTCTCCCATCCTCTCTATCTAAAATCAATAAAGAAAAAAAATTTTGTAAAGAAAAAGAAAATTAACTAAACAAAAGAATTTTACTCAGCTCTTCTTTATCAAGTACATAAAATCAGAAACAACCTATGTGTCCAATAATAGGGGATTGGATTATGTAACCCATCCCCTACTGTTGGGCACCTAGCTTATATCTGACTTCCCTCCCATCGTTGTTATGTAGCCTTTAAAATGACTGTGACTGCAGAGCTAGAGAGTGTCCTGGGCTTGGAAGCAGCTCCGGGGCAGTCCTGACCACCCTGGCCTCTCTGTCTCTATCCTGCAGGAGATACTTTAAGCGGGTGGTCCTAGCAGCCCGAACAAAAGGGGGCCACTTAGTGCTGAAGAGCTTCAAGGACACCCCCCTGGAGGGCCTGGAGCAGCTGCTGCCTGAGGTGAAGGTGCGCACGCCCACCCTGCAGCGGGCCCTGCTCAACCTCACGCTGGTGGTCTCGGGCGTGGCGGTCTTCGTCAATGTGGGCATGGTGGTGCTCACAGACCTCAAGGTGGGCACCTCCCTGCTGCTGCTGTTCTTCGCTGCCTTCATGGGCCTGCGGGCCTCCAAGGTAAGTGGGCCACCCCCATGCCACCTGGGTCCCTACTTCTAGGCATTCAACCAGAAGGTCAGGACGCCCCATGTTTTTTTTATTTGGTGCATTATTCCTGCTTCATGGTGTGCTTCACACCTTCCCTTTCCGTTCCTTTGTCTTTCCTTCCTTTTCTCCTTTCTTCCCTCCCTTCCTTCTCCCATTCCTCCCTTCCTTCCTCTCTTTATATACTCAACACAATCTTAAGCAGGTCTCTTGATCTCTCTGTGCTTCCGTTTCCTCATCTGGAAAATGGCGGTAATAGTGAGACCTACCTTATAGGTTGTTACGAGGATTAAATGAGCGCATCCATGAGAAGCACTGGGCGCAGTGCCTGGCGGGTGGTAGGTGCTACATTTGTACTCACAGCTACTCACTGAGCACCTGCTTTGAGAGGCACCTAGTGACAGGGTGAAGGGTGTGTGTTTTAGAACCAGACTGCCTGGGTTTGAGTCAACCTCTACTGTCTTCTAGCTGTGTGACCTTGAATAAGACGCTTAACCTCTCTGTGCCTCAGCTCCTGCATCTGCAAAATGAGGATGTCAATAGGACCTAATTCATGGAGTTGTTGTGGGGGTTGGATTAATTAATACATACGGTACTGAGAACAGAGCCTGATACTTAGTACAGAAGGTACTATATGAGAGTTAGCTATTGCCATTATTATTATTATTATTATTATTATTATTACTACTACTACCTGGGATATTGTGCCCTGAGTCTGGGCTCTCCATCCTGGCCAGGAATCACTATCACCAGAGGAGCTTTTTTTATATAGTTTTATTTTATTTTATTTTATTTTATTAATTTTAGGGAGAGAAAAACTTCGATTTATTGTTTCACTTATTCATGCATTCATTGGTTGATTCTTATTCTTTTTTTTTTAATCCTCACCCAAGGATATTTTTACATTTATCTTCAGACAGAGGGGGAGGGAGGGAGGGAGGGAGGGAGGGGGAGAGAGAGAGAGAGAGAGAGAGAGAGAGAGAGAGAGAGAAACATCTATGTGAGAGAGATACATCTATGTGAGAGAGATACATCTATGTGAGAGAGATACATTGATCGGTTGCCACCTGCGCAACCGATGTATATGCCCTTGGCCAGAATCGAACCTGGGACTCTTTGGTCCATGGGCCAGCTCTCTATCCACTGAGCCAAACTGGCCAGGGCCATTGGTTGATTCTTGTAAGTGCCCTGACCGGGATTGAACCCGAAACCTTGGTGTATCCAAATGGCACTCTAACCAAATGAGCCACCCGGCCAGGGCCAGGGGAGCTGTTATTAATGCAGCCTTTTGGGCTCCAGCCCAACTGGACTGAATTGGAAACTTTGGGACTGGGGCCCAGGAAACTATTTTTAACATGCTCCCTTCTCGATTCTGCCACGTGTGAGCGCAGGGCGGCCTCATGCAGCTGCTCAGGTTCACTAAGGATTCACAGGGAGAGGACAGGTGGGGGCTGGCACCCAGTCTCTGCTTTGCTGGCCGAGCTGTGTGTCCTGTCCGGGTGCTGAGTGGGCCCAGGGGGCTGCCTTGTACTGACTCTCCCCAGGGTTGGCACTAGCCCTGGGAGTATGGACTGGCATGAGGCGTCTGTTGTACCCGATCATTCACGCGTCGGTTCATTGGTTTTCAAGCTGTTTTCAGCCATCCCAATGGACTGTTAGGAAGACTGGTAATAAATTCCGCAGATAACAGCCAGGCTGTGCTGGCTGAGAGGGGGCGGGGCTGGGGCAGGGCGCAGGGAGCAATCCCTAGGACCAGGGATCAGGAGGATTGAGGACAGCATTGAATGGGGAGGACTGAGCCTGGTGGAGAGGGGGCTGGGTGCGCCCGGTTTGGGGGAACTCCCAGGACTGGAGTCCAGGGTGCAGAGTGGAGAAGGGGGACCCCAGAGGCGGCCTTGAATGCCAAGGCAGGGCAGCAGGAGCCAGGGAAGGGTTAACATGTAAACATGAGAGTGCCTGACCCTCGGTCTCCAAAGGGCCCAGTTTAAAACCCAGTTCTGTAGTTAATTCAGTACATCCGTTAAATGTTTTCCCACGCCCCCAGCTGAGCCTCCGAGCCTTAAATATGGGCCGCCTGCAGCCTCAGTCCAGCAGCCCCATCCCTCACTGGTGCACACTGATGCCCTCTTGTAGGTCACTCCTAGCTCGCTGTCTCCACTGCAGGCTTTTCTCCCAGTCCCCCAGCCCTTGTCCCCACCTGCTACTTGGGCACGCCCAAACCTTCCCACATGCACCTCTTCCCCACTGGGCTCAGCATCCGTCTTCCCCAAGCCCCCTTCTTCTCTGGAGTCCCTATCTTGGGACGGTCACTCATATCAGACACCGGGGAAGCCAGTTTTGGTGCAGGATACACACCCCACTTTTTTCACCCTCAAAGAGCTCATCCACTTCTGTGGTTCCCAAGCACAGTTCTCCTGGTTTCCTAGATCAGGCTGCTCTGTGCTTAGCCTGGTGCAGCCAACTTCGCCACCCGGAGCACATCCCCCACCTCCACCCGCTCCTCCTCCTGGTTCTTCATCTGCAGATGGCCTTGTTTCCCCCCACTCACTTGCTAGACCCCTAGAAGTTGCCCTCGCTCTGCCTTCAGTTTGTCAGCCCCCAGCCTGTCCTTCCTGCACCCTGAGTCTCTGTGCTACCTGCTCTCCTCTGTTCCAGCTCCAGCTCAGACCCTCTTCCCAGCCTCTCAGTCCGTCCCCTCCAGCCCACCCTGAGGGCCCCAGGCTGGCCCTGCTCCCATGCTCACAACCTATCACAGAGACCCCGGCTCCCCAGCCTCAGCCCACACAATTCTGTGCGTCAGCTCCCCCTGCTTCCCTTCCCTTCTCTCCCTTTGCACATGCTGTTCCTCCCACTGAAATGTCTTTTCCCCCTTACTGGCTGACCAACCCCGCTCAGTCCTTACCCTCAGCTCAGGGGCTCCAGAAAGCTTTCCTAGACTCCATGGGCAGGGGTGATGCTTCTGTGGGTACCCGCCATGCTCTGGCTCACTGTGGGTTTCAACCCAGCCCAGGGCAGGCCCGAACCCAAGGACACGGCTGCTTCTCTGTGGGAAGTGATATTTATCCTGAACCTTGATATCGAGGCAGCGAGTATTTTCTAAGAATGATGAGAGGTGGCTTGGCTTGTTCCAGAGGCCGAGAGCAGGGCACGCTCAGGGTAAGGTTCAGGGTAAATTGGCTTGTTAAACGGGCTTCACTCAGAGGGGAGGAGTGGGAGGTGAGTGGGAGAAATCCTCAGGCCTAGGCCAAGGAGCTTGGACTCTCGAGGGCACTGGGAAGCCATGGAGGTGCTCTGAGCACGGTCACCTTTGGGGCTGTGCAGGGACAGACTGGAATGGGGAGACCGAGTTCACAGAGAAGGCTGGAACAGTGCACTGGGCGGTTGGTGAGGAGGGGATGGCAGAGAAGACAGGGGGACTGGGCTGGAGGCTGACAGGCTGGTGGGAGTGGGTAAGGATACTGCCAGGGGTCTGGCCTATGGCTGGACAGATGGTGGGGTTGCCCCAGATAAGGACTCCAGGGGAGGAGGGAGGAGTGAGCTAGGGGTTAGGTGAGGGGAGACCCTGAACACAACGTGGGCCACAGTGAGTGTTGAAGGGAACGTGCCTTCTCCAGGGACAGGTCTGATCTCATCTGCGTGCTGTGGAGTAGCACGACCTGCTCATTTAACCTATGAGAACTCGACACCATCAGCTCGGCAGAAACAGACACAGAACCCAATGCATTTTCATGCCAGACGGTCCCTAACACGCGCAATTCCTGCATCTCGTCTTCAGCCGTAGGAATGGTGATTCGTTCCAGTGCAGGGACATAAACCAGCTGTGCTGGGCTTGTGAGAAGAGAGCACAGTCCCCACACAGCCGTGTCATCAGTACCGTGCAGGCCGTGTCAGCGGATTTGCAGGGAGGTGTTGACTTGAGGCATTTCCCTCGGGTCTCTGTGTAAGAAGGGCAACACTCTGTGGGGGAAGATTAAAAGGCGGCCCCCAGCCCAGGTGTGGATGAATATTTAGTCGTAGCTAATATTTAAATGCTTTCAGGGCCCATGCCGTGTGCCAAGTGTTTCATTAACCCTGTATTGACGCCCACTTCCTGTCATCTGCCTCAGAGCCCAGACACCACCCCCTGAGGTCTTTGGTCTTAGCTGTGGGGTCACAGCAGGGAGGGGGCAGAGTTGGGACTTGCTTCAAGGCCTGCGGTCTGAGGTTTTGTGGATGAATGGAGGAAATTGGTCGGAGGTTTTTGGTGTGAGCCCCAAAAGCCATGGGTGTGCTCTCATTCCGCTGCTTAGGGACACCGAGGAGGGAGAAAGGAGTTGGGGCCGGAGGGGCTGAAGAGTAGGGAAGGGTGCAGCCAACAGACAGCTGGGCCCCAGACCTGCCCTTCCCCCTTCTCCCCTTAAAGCTGCTCTTCCAATACACACATTTTTTAAACATTTTTTTCTTTATTGTTTTTTTTTAGAGAGGAAGGGAGAGGGAGAGATAGAAACATCGATGAGAGAGAACATTGGCTGGCTGCCTCCTGCATGCCCCCCACTGGGGATTTGGCCCACAACCTGGGCATGTGCCCTGACTGGGAATCCAACCAGTGACCTCTTGGTGCATGGGTCGATGCTCAACTACTGAGCCACACTAGCCGTGCACAATATATGTGTTTTTTATTGACTTTTAGAGAGGAAGGAAGAGAGAGAGAGAAAAGAAAAAAGAAAAAAAAATCTCTGTGAGAGAGAAACATCAATCGGTTGTCTCCGGTACCCACCCAGACCTGGGATCAAACCCGAAACCTTTTTGGTGTACAAGACAACGCTTTAACCAACTGAGCCACCCAGCCAGGGCTGCTCTTCCTGTATTTTTGTCTGTAGCACTTCTCTTTACAATGTACTATGTTAAACCATTTTTTTTATTATGGAAAGGTTTTTAAAATGCAGAAATAGAATAGTATTATGAGCTCCTCTGTAGCCAGCATCCGGAGTCTACAATTAGCAACAGTCCCCTTTCACCTAAAGACCCCACTCTTTCACTACTGAGTTATTCTGAAGCAAATCCTAGACATATCATCTGCAAATACTTTCTTATATGTCTAAAAGATAAGGACTTAAAAAAAATAATTGTAACAAAAAGTTCCAAGGCTACAACTTGTATCGACTGGAAATCCTTGCACAAATCCATTAATTCGTGCCTCAGCTGAGCACACCAGCCCAGCGGCTGTAAAATATTGTCGGCGGCCTGGGGTCACCCGCGGGAGAGCGAGAAGATTAAAAATACAAATAGCCAGGGCCCAGTCCTGGGGACCTGAACCGAACAGGTTTGGGGAGGGCTTGGGAGTCCACAGGAAGGGCCCTACCAGCGTGAGTGACCGAGGAGGGTGTGTTCCGGGTCCGAGCACGGCCCTGCCCCTCCCGGTGGCCGAGCTGCAGCTGTCCCGCCTGCAGATGTTCGGACAGCAGCGCAGCGTGCAGGCGCTGGAGCTGGCGCACATGCTCTACTACCGCAGCACGTCCAACAACTCGGAGCTGCTCAGCGCCCTGGCCCTGCGCGCGCAGGACGAGCACGCCAAGGAGGCGCTGCTGGCGCACAGCTTTCTGACCCGGCGGCCCGGCGGCGTGTGCGGCCCGCCGGATGGTAGGACCCTACCCTGGAACTGCCCTTCCCACCACCTCCCCCTTCCCCACCCGGCGCGCTAGGGCGCCCCGCCCCTTTGTGGCCCGGCCCCACCCCATCCCTGCCGGGATCCTACCGGGCCCCACCTGAAACAGACTCTATCTACACTGTCACTACACGGTTGAGACTCCCCCAATCCCAAGGAGCCCTGCCCCCGTGAGACACCACCCCTATGCTGCCCGCCCCCTACTCCCTGCTCCCAGGGGTGAACCAGGCCAATTCCCACGTGACCCTGGCCCTCAGCAGGTGGGACCCCTGAACCCAGCTTACAATCTTGATGGTCGTGGTTTTTTCCTGGGGTGGCGTCCCTTTCCTGACCTCAACCTTGTTGGGGGTCTTGGATCAGACTCCTGTTGTGGCACGCCGTCCTTTGCGCCCCATTCCCTGCTTCTCCTTCCTACAGGAGCCCTGCTTTCCCTACAGGACCCCTTGTCTCTTCCCTGTGTAAGTCCCAGGTGAAGCCTTCCCAACAGGAGCCCCCACCCTTTCCTGGCTTGTCCCCACATGAGAGCCCCACAGCCGAGCCTCCCAGGCCTTGTCCCATCCCCCTCCTACCCTCAATATACCTCTAGGCTGCTCCCAAACTCAGGCCCTTTTCCTTGCCCTGCCCCACCCCAGGTCCCTCTGACCTTACAGCACCTGCCTCTCCCTCTACAGAGACTTCCCAGTGGCTCCAGTCGGAAGTGGAAAATTGGCTCCTGGCCCAGACAGGCTGTGACGTGACCTTCAATGGAACTCGGGCTCTGGGCCACCTGCAAGCCCTGACTGCCAGCATGGGGACGTACCCTCCCCCGGGTTTCCCCAAACTGGACCGGTTGGCTACAGTCACTTCCCCCAAGACCCCGCCCATCAGTGACAACCCCTGAGAGAACCCTCTCACAGCCCTGCCCTGCCCTGCCCTGCCACCTGGTTAGGAACTAAGCCCCGCCTCCTCCAGGACAAGCTGTCAGTCACACTACTATGCTTTACAGCTCCTCAATTTCCAGTGCCAGGCAATCGTGTTACAGCCCCAGTCAAGACAGCCTCCGTTGGCTATCCCCACCCCTTCTGATGAACAGCGAACCCAAGCTTTTTGGTTCTGCCTCTAGTCTATTCCAGCTCTGAGTCCCACCCCCTATGCAAACGACCAAATTGCTTTCCGCTGAGGAGAGAGTGTCAGCCAATCACAGCGGTTAACACTACCAACCACCTGGCACAGTCGTTAGGCTGTGCCCTCCTGAGGCTATATATCATTGTCTTTTTAGCCTGTTCTGGGCAAACTGCCCATCATGTTCACCGGGGCAGAGCCCCTGCCCACAGCCAATGAGAGTCACACTGCCAATGGCAGCTTCTGGGCACTCAGCTTTTGGGTAGACAGTTGCCGCTGCATAGAAGCAATCAGAATTCCTAAAAGAAACCTGATCTTTCTATCAATCACCACTACTCATAAGGCAGACCATCTGGTCAACTGCTGGTCAGCTTGTCCAGGCTGAGGTGGGGTGGGAGCCCAGTGCCAGCAGGAACTGTGGGCCAGGAGGAACCATCCTTACCCCCAAGATGCCCTTCCACTCAGGCCCCACAACCTCAGGTGCCTTCTCTGCGCTGGTCCCTCACCCTTTCTATAGAAACTACCTCGGTCCAGACCGTCCTTCTGCCAGTGGCCTGTGCAATATTTATTGGTCTGTCAATTCCCCCCTCTCCCAAATAAATCATGTTTAATAATCTGGATGAGTAGAGTGGTTTACAGGGGTACCATCTAATTTTTACTAGGGTGTCTTTTTTTAAATTTTTTTTTTATTGATTTTTACAGAGAGAGGAAGGGAGAGGGGGAGAGAGAGAATTATCGATGAGAAAGAACATCAATTGGCTGCCTCCTGCATGCCCCCTACTGGAGATCGGGCCCACAACCTGGGCATGTGCCCTGACTGGGAATCGAACCGGGGACCTCTTGGTGCATGGGTCGCTGCTCAACCACTGAGCCACACCAGCCAGGCACTAGGGTGTCTTATGGGTTAGAGGCAGCATTTGGGGGTGAGGGGAAAGAGGAGGTGTTGGGTTGTAATGAGGGACGAAGACTACATTCTAAGAGGGAAGTGTTTCGTGTCTTCCCAGAGGAAGGTCAGAGTGAGAGAAAAAGAGACCAACAATCTAGAACACCCCCCCCCCCCCCAGCTGAGGGAATGAGACAGGCCCTTTCGCCAGGAAAGGGAGGACCGGAAACCCAGAGCCCTAGTTCTTTCCCAGAGGCGTCTGAAGGTTCCACTGCAGAGGAATCCTGAGACTTGAGATGGAGGGGTTCACAGCCTTGGGGCCCTGGACTCCTGTGTCCTAATTTAAAAGGACCTGGGGCCCAGCTGGTGTGGCTCAGTGGTTGAGTGTCAACCCAAGCAAGAGGTCGCTGATTCTCTTCCCGGTCAGGGCACATGCCCAGGTCGTGGGCCCAATCCCAGGTGGAGGCGGGTGCATGCAGGAGGCAGCCAATCGATGTACTTTCTCATCGGTGTTTCTAACTCTCTCTCCCTCTCCCTTCCTCCCTAAAATCAATAAAGAAAAAATAAATAAATAAAAGGACCTGGGGCCTCGGAGCTGGACATTCTGAAGGCGGAACTGCTGGTGGTGGGGGCTATCCCAGCTTCAGGTGAGATCAGTCAGCCTAGGTCCCTGGAGGAGGAAGGAAGGAAGGAAGGAAGGAAGGAGGCAACGGCAGGTGGTTAAATGGTTTTATTTTCTGGAGGCAGGTGAGGCGAAGGGGCTGGGAGCAGGCTGGGGCCGCGACGCACAGCGTTCACTCCCGTTTCCGCAGGTGGATGTAGATGACGCCACTGGCCAGGGCGAGGGGGAAGGCCACCCAGGCCAGGGCAAAGCAGTAACCGAAGCTACCCCCAGGCGGATGATCTGCCAGGATTTCCTTGGCATGAATGGCGTAGATCAGTGCCCCGGTGAACACCGCCAGGCCTGTGGGGAGAAAGGAACCAAGTGTCACACCATACCCTCAAGAAGACTGCATATCCCAACAGCCCATGGGACCAGGAAGCCTCCGGAGGGTAAGTGGGCAGCACCCAACTCCATGCAACCAGGCTACCGCAGACTGGCCCTGGGCACTTTAATCTCTGGGTCCCCTTATCCATAAAGTGGGAGGATAATATCTACTCATTCATTCATTCAAGAACTATTTTTAGTGTCTTTCTACCAGCCAAGCACACAAAGAGTAAATTAATAAAATAAGATAAGGGCTTTGCAGGAACTTGGGAAGATAATGTTCCCCAAACTGAGGACTATGATTAACTTAGCCCTTTGCACATGAAGTCAAAAAAATTGAAAAGTATATCAAACTCCCTGAAGTGTCTGTTGCATGGTACATCCACCAGAAACAACAGTTGGCTGCCTTTACAATGACAGGATCACTACTATCATGATTCAGAGTTCTGAGGCATTAATTGTTCGCCTATCCCTGTTTCCCCCCACCTCCATTCCTAGGATTTAAACTATTTGCCCATCATAGCCTCTCTCAGCCCTGGCTCCTTGAAGCCCCAGGGCCCTTCCCCATGACTCAGAGACACAAACCACCATTGAGTCACTGAAGACTACAACTCCTGTAAGTCCTTGGGGGCAGAGAGATGCCATGAAGGCACCTCAGGTGGTCCTTGGGCTGTTGAGAATTGTTTCCTTTTACCAGATGTCCAGTCTCAGGGTCCCCAGCATCCTGATAGGCCCCTTCCCTTCCCTTCAATTCCCAAGGAACAGTGCTCACTGGTGCATAGTTGGCAGAAGCCAGTGGCGTAGAAGAGCCCTCCTCGACGCATGGTGTAGAGCTGGAACATGAACAGGATGAAGGACAGACAGCAGAGGATGAGGGAAAGTACCATGAGGACCTGCACTGCCTTCAGCCAGCCTGCAATGAGGACGAAATAGAGGTGGAAGTCACAGCAGGTCCAGAGTTCCAGCTCCACCTGCTTGCTCATCATCTGCAACAACCCCACCCCTGCCCCCAGTTTAGAGCTACATAAGTTTGGATATTTAGGGGTATCACATTATCAACTTTGATTCCTGCAACTTTGCTAAATTCCCTTATCAGTTTTAGAAGCTGCTTTGCAGTCTTTGGGATTTTCTACAGAAACATGTCCACTGTCAATAGAGACATTTTTACTTCTTTCTTTTCCATCTTTTTGCCTTTTATTTCTTTTTCTTGCCTTGTGGCATTGGCTTACCTCCAGTACAACATTAGATATGAGAACAGAAATTCTTGCTTCACTCTTAGTGAACTCATTTCACCTTTCACCTTCTTTAACTTAGAAATGTTGATGGATGCCCCTTTTGAACTTATATGCATCTGCCACTGCTCCTCCTTGAGAACCCTGGGAGGATTCAGCTCCACCTCTTTAGAACTTCAATGCGGTTCCAGCCCCACCCTCTTGGAACTTGCACACTTTGGTTCCAGCCATCCATTCAGAACACCAGTCCCATCTCCTTGGAACTTTGGAAACATAACCTATCTTCTCAGAATCTTGGGAGCATTCTCCCAATTCCTTAAACCTATAGCACGTGGCCTCCACTCTCTGAATATAAGGGAGGAGGCTTTTAGCTCATCTTCTTTAGAACATGAGCACATTGCTCCCTATCACCAAGACGGGTGCGACATACATTGGCCCCTCTCACTCAGCATTGGGAGACAGACCTGCCCACTCAAACTTTGGCGGGTTCCCAATCCTTGGTCCTGGGAAAGAGCCTTGGATTACCCCTCCCCTTTGCAGATCAGTCCCCAGTGCCCCTCACCATTCTCGCTGACATTACTGCAGGCCCATGTTTTGTTGACATTGATCCACGTGCAGTCATACCAGAGATTCAAAGACTCCTTCTCGGGGAGGGTCCACCAGGACTGGGATGGACAGAGAAACAAGGGCAAGGATAGGAAAGCAAAGTGGAAGAGGTCAGGGAGTCTGTGGGAAGGGTTAGAAAAAGGGTGTGGTGCCCAGAAGGGGCTGAATTGGGGGGAAAACGGGTTTAGTAGGAAAGGGGAGGGGGTCAGGGAAAAGGGTAGGGTGGGGGCACCAGAGGCTGATGCTAGGGAAAAGGGGCAGGGTGGAGTGCCTTTAGAGGGGTGTGCTTGGAGTCTGCAGGAGAGTGGGGGCTCCCACTGCTACTGCTCCAAGTAGGCTTACCTTGTCCAAAGTGGCCACGAACAGGAGGATGAGAATGAGGATGTGGAGGGCAGACACCACCAGCAGGAGGAGTGACATGGCTGCAGTGGGAGCCTGGGGTAGGGGATGTCAGGAGATGGTTGGTTCAAGAGGTTGGCATAGGGGGTGGGGGGTGAGAAGCCTGAATCCTCGTGGAGAAATAGGCTGATTCCAGACTCTTGGGTCTGAGGGAGGAGGGGGCTGGGGGCTTGGACTCCCGAGTTCCCCAGAGGCTGAAGAGGGCCAGGGATGGACTCTTTTTTTTTTTTTTTTAATCCTCATCCGAGGACATTTTTTGCATTTATCTTCAGATAGAGCAGGAGGGAGAGAGGGAGGAAGAGAGAGAGAAACATTTTTAAAGAGACACATGGAGTGGCTGCCATCCACGAGATCCCAACCGGGGCCGGGGACAAACTGCAACCAAGGCACGTGAGCTTATCAGGAACCGAACCTGGGACTCTCTGGTTCGTGGGCTGATGCTCACTGAGCCAAACTGGCCAGGGCCAGGGATGGACTCTTGAGTCCAGGAATGAATAGAACTAGCAGTGTGCTTCACTCTATGGCCTCGGAGTCCTACCCCGGGTGCATATGGGTTCAGGATATAAAAATTCAAGTTGAAACCCCTTCAGATTCATCAGAAACTGTGGGCTGCCCCAGAGACAGGCATCCTTGACTCACCCCATCCCTCTCCTGGGGTAGGGGGAGGAGGGGTTCCTGGTGAGTCATCAGTGACTCATCCCAGCCTCCAAGTACCAGGGAAACCCCAGACCCTGACTGTGCCCCCGAGGTCCCCACCCCACCCTGCTGCCAGACTGGTGCCCACTGGGCACCTTGCTGGGAAGATGGATAGGATCTGTGTTTGGGGAAGAGGACTGAGAAGAGGGAACCAGTCTGCCACCACTATTCAGTGTCCGGAAAGGGGAGGGGGCCCAGATTTGGGGTGTTCTCATGCAAAGCATTGCTCTGGGGGGGGGCCCAGGGGAGAGTGGACATCCGTGGGGAAAAACTGCTAGACCTTTTCAGGTGGAGGGCTCTGCTGGGAACCCCCAAACCTTGCCGGGCCTCACCCCTTCTTGAATTCTCACCCCAAGTGCTAACAGATCACTTCTGAAATTACAGGGATTTCCATGGGGGTGAACTTCTCAAACAGCTGCATTCCCAAGTAAATAAAGAAATCCCAGTCCGAATAACGGACTGGAAACTTACCGAGAGCTGCAGAAAAAGTCAGAGTTGGAGTCTGTCCCTCGCTTGGGCCTCCGCGTCCCGCCCTTCTCCTCCCTCCTTCCACCCTCTCGAGGCCCCCGCCTCCTTCGCCGCCTTCCTCCCTCCCTCCCTCACTCTCCCCTCTGGTTCTCTCTGTCCTTCTCCCCTCCAATCCTAGAACCTGTTCTCTCTCACTCTGTCTCTCCCTGTCCTCACTGCCTACACCTTCTTCCTTCTCTCTCGTCTCACTCTCCTGGTTTCTCTTCCTTTGCTGCTCTCAATATATACTGACCCTTTTATACCCACCCTCACCGCACCCATCTGAGGTCTGCAGCCAGAGGGAGGGCTCAGGCACTCCAGTTCTTCATTCTCTGAGCCCGCCCACTAAGCCTTTAGACGCGATTCTTTTGGGGCTCCCTACCAGTCCTTGGAGGGAGCAGGAGCCCCGGGGTGGGGCAAGCCTCAGCGGGTGGGAGGGCCTGATTCTCAGGCCTCTGCTCTGGGTCTTGTCCTGGGGCCTGGCACCTGGGACTGCATGTCTGCTTTCCTTGATGGGGCTTTGGGCTGGACACTCAGAAGGATGGGAGTCTGAGGGAGAAGGCCAGATTCCTGGGGTGTGCAGTGGGCTGAAGGCTGTTGGAGCTGGCACCATGGTGGAGGTCAGGGGATGGGAAATGGGGAATTGGGAAACTCTGGAAGGAGGCAGGGGGTGGAAGTCAAGGATCCCACTGCCACCATTTCCTGCCTGGGGGACCTTGACCAATTACATCAACGATCTGAGCCTCAGTTTCCTAATCTGTGTGTATAACAATACTGACAATGTACTAATACTGACAATAGTGAGTCTGACACATTCTAAATGAATAAGGTAATACCAGTACATTAACACACCTAACACATTCATTCCTTTCTCCATCAAACATTTATTGAACATCTATTATGAACCAGGAATTAATTTTTTTAAAAAGAAAACCAGACGTGAGCCAACTGTTACTGTGCAACTTACCTTCTTAGGAGGAGGAGAAAGACAATAAAGAGAGAACATCAATAAAAAATATAAATTTCAGATAGTGATAAATGCTTTGAAGGAAACAAAATAGTGATGGAGATAATGATGGTGTGTGTGTGTGTGTGTGTGAGGTGGGGGATACTTTAAACAGGGAGATCAGGCAAGGCCACTCCAAGGAGGTGACATCTGAGCTGAGACCTGAAGACAGCCATCTGAGTGCTGGGCGAAGAGGAAGTGCAAAGACTCTTGAGAACAAGCTCAGGTTGTTTGGGGAGCAGACAGAAGGGCCAGTGTGTCTGGAATATAGGGAGCTAGAGGGAGTGTAGGAAGGGAAATCAAAGAGGGCCCTTGAAGACTAGGGGAGGAATTTGGATTTTATTCTAAATGCAATGGGAAGTCACTGGAAGGTTTTAAACAGAAGTGCAGTACCAGGGACTTAATGTTAACTCTTATTATTATTATTATTATTAATTCTTGGATTATTGAGTTAGGGTGGGTGGATGGGGTGATGGACCGGGTCTCTTAGAAAGGCTGGGTGATGCTGAATAGTGAGGAACAGGGGTCCTGATATGGAGTCGAGAGCTGGAGAACTGAAATTTTGGGTCCCTCCATAGGAAGGAAAAGGGATGATAACATGTCTGGGTATCTGTTGGGGCCAGGGCTGGGGAGGGAGACTGGTTGGCCATGTAGGCTCCCTGAAGGCAGTTCAGTGACTAGATGGGTACTAGGGGGACCTGGAAGCTAGGTACCAGTACAGCACAGGCTCTAGAAACACACCGGCTGGATTCAAATCCAAGATGCTTTGCTCACTAGCGATGATTTTGGCTCAGTTTTTCTATCTGTAAAATAGGGATACTCGTGAATGCATCACAGGGTAGTGTTTGGCACATCATAAGCTCTGTTATTTTAGATATATCAGGTATTGGGGCCTTGAGTGAATGGATTCAGAACTGGTGGACCCTAGATCAAGATCTTGAGAATTTGAGGAAGAGGCAAATTCTTGGGTCTACTGCGTCCAAAGACTATAAAGTTGGAGTACAAAAGAGGGTCCCTGGGGTTGGGGAATAGGTAGGTAGTCTCAAACTTGAGTCTTTGAGAGGGACAGAAAGAGGGGATCTGAATTCAGAATCCAAAGCAAGCTAGAAAGGCTAGGTTGCCGAGGGAAAAATTCGGAGCTAGAGGGCCACATGCTTTTCAGGGCGAGCTGGCAGAGGGGCCAGGGGGCTGGACCTGGTCTGGGGAGGAGTCCAGGAACCAGGAGTTGGGAAGATGGAAATGTGAGCGGAGAAGGGGCGGGAGGTGGGGGTGGGGGGCCCTGAATCAAGTTCCGTGATGGTGTCCGCGCCATACTTGCGTATCCTGGGATGTTCAGGAGGTCCCCCATGTTAGGGCCCCGTGGAAGGGGAAGAATCGGTGGATCTGAGAGCGGTGGAGGGCTCTCCCCTTCTAGGGCCTCCGAGGCAACGGGCTGAGCTGAGTGCCCGCGGGCCGCTTCCTCCCACAGGAAACCGCAGGCGTCAGGCACACCCAGCCTGCGGAGAGCATTGCCCACGGCGGGGAGGCCCAAGTGGGTGGCAGCAACCAGCTGCGGGGGTGTGGCCTACAGGGGCGTGGCCGGAAAACGGGACTGGAGCGGCGCGCGCGAGGCCACGCCCACTTCCGCCTCTCAGTGCTGATTCCGGGCAGCTGAGAGTTTTTGGCGGCTTCTCTGGAGGCCGTTGGCCGCGCATGCGTAGTGAACCGCTGCGAGGACCAGAGGCGGTGGTGAGCGTTATCTTCCCCTCACAACTTCTGGCGACGGCACCGCCTCCTTCCTAATGAACCCTCAAAATAGCGTGGTCTTAGCTTAAGACACGCTTCTCTCGGGCTGGTCCAGAGTCTTCCAGACGTTTCCCTCCCAGGCCTGCCATCACAGGCTTTCACCTCCTGCCTCCCACTCCCGGATACACACAGCCCGTCCCTCACAGGCCCGTGCTCCCAGGCCGACCATCCCGACCCCCCACAGGCCCTTTCAGCCAGAGGGCCTCCTGGTTAGCCCCGTCCCCTCAAGTCTTGGGAACCCGAGCCCTTCCAGCGCCCTCCCAACAGGCTCCTCACGGGTTCTTCTAGCCACGCCCCTAGCCAGCCCCCGAAGCCACGCCCCTCAGCTACCTTTGCTCCTCCCCTCACTCCATCCCGTAGCCCCGCCCTCCTCGGGTGCCCTCGCTCCTCCCCTCACACTATCCCGTAGCCCCGCCCTCCTCGGGTGCCCTCGCTCCTCCCCTCACTCCATCCCGTAGCCCCGCCCTCCTCGGGTGCCCTCGCTCCTCCCCTCACACTGTCCCGTAGCCCCGCCCTCCTCGGGTGCCCTCGCTCCTCCCCTCACACTATCCCGTAGCCCCTCCTTCTTCAGGTACCAGCATCCCACCCCTCACCGATTTAACCCTAGCAGACCGTTCCAGCTCCGCCCTTTACAGGTCTCCCGGCCCTCTCTTGCAAGCCCCGAAGCCCCGCCCCTCAACACCTCTCAGCCCTACTCTTCTCAGGGCTCCAGGAGATCCCAGCTGGTCTCGCAGCCTCCTCGGCCACTCCCTCCCAGCTTCCTCCTCCACGGCCTCCTCTGGCTGTCAGTCCCTCCCGGGCCGCTGTCTCATTGGCCCCTTGTCTCCCCAGTAACCAGACCACAACAGTGAGCTAGGAGCACCGAGGACAGGTCAGGCACTCCAGCAGGTAGGGACTGGGTCTTACTCCACGCAGCTGGCCTGGCTGGGGTTTCCCTTTCCTCCGTGATTCCTTCCCCCAAACAGCCCGCCTCATAGATACCCAGAGCCTAGGGGACCTGCACCCACGCCACAGGCAGAGCTGCCATGCAAGACAGAGAATGTGAGAAGCAGGAGGCTGAGAGGAGAGGGGAGAGGCCTGAGAGGAGTCCCCTTCTGATTCATTGGAGGAACTGAGACTCAGAGAGAGGCCAGAGTTGGCTCTGGGGTCACCTTCCAATTCCTAGTCCCTAGTTCATTGCCCACCTCCTCGTCCTCCTCTCCTGCTCCCTGTCTGAAGGGGTCCTGTGTTGCCTCTACAGGAGTCCCACCCTCTTTCGCTAAGATGCCTTTAGGACTTTCTGCAGGGACCGTCCGCTCCGAGGATGGAAGTGAGGTCTTCCTGGAAGGAATGGGTAATTCATACGTTCTTTATTTCACTCATTCTCTTCCCAGGTTCCAGGTCTTGTGTTGAAGGGCCCTGGGAACAGGGAGGCCTTCCAAGAGAGCCCTTTAGTGGGGGGAGCACATGTGAGGGAATGGAGGTAAAGCTGGGCATGTGTATGGGCCAAGCCTGGAGAGTGGGGTGGGCCAGGAAGACTTCCTGCAGGAGGAGATGTTTGAGTGGGGCCCAGAACTCCCTGAATTACCAACAGGAGGAGGAAGGGAAGAGTTTCAGCACAGAGACCAGCATGTGGCTTGAGCAGGGTCTCTCAACCTTTGCATTGTTGACACTTGGTGTCAGGTAGTCCTTTGTTGTGGGAGCTGCCCTGTGTGTTGTAGGAAGCTTAATAGCATCCCTGGCCTCTACCCACTATATGCCAGGAGCACATTCTGCACCCCCACACCTGCAATTAAAAATGTCTCCAGACATTGCCAAATGTCCATAGAATCGCTCCAGGTTGAGAACCACTGGCCTGTGGGAGGTGGTGAGCTGGTGGAGGAGACTTGGAGAACTGGGTAGGGTTAGGGCATGTGGAGCCTTGAACATCAGGCTAAGGAGTTGGGATTTTGACCTGAGAGCACTGGAGCAGGGAAGGGGCAGGGTCCACTGTGGGTGTAGAAAGACCCTCTGGGGCTGTGAGGGGAGCCTGGGAGGTTGGGGAGGAGGCTGGGGTGATAGTCCAGACAGGAGAGGATGAGACCTGAGCCTCGGAGATGGGCTGAAAACAAGGAGGTGGGAGAATGGGACTGAGGATGGCTGGGCGGTGGGGGCTGAAGGCGAGGGAGGGAGCAAGAATGCTACTCTGGTGTCCTGTCCTCAGCTTTCCCAAGTTCCAGGCCTGTGTGGTGGGTCTCTGAGGACCATGAGGTCTTCCAGGAGCGCCCTCTAGTGGGTAGATAGATATATGCCCAAACTGGCGAAGGAGTGGGTTTGGGGGGTGAAGTCTTTCAGGTTAGCTTGGGGTACAGGAGAGTATGAAGGAACAAGAAAGCTTGAGGCAGTCCTAGAGGCGTGTTGGGGACTGGGTCTGCAGTTCAGTTGGAGCTTGTGAGATCTTAAGGGATCCAGGATTCCTAGGTCCTGGGGAGGAAGGGGCTGGGATCTGGATTCCTACTGAGTCCCTTGTTTGGCCCCTCCCTCCATAGACTGGGAGCTGAGCCGTCTGCAGCGACAGTGCAAAGTGATGGAGGGTGAAAGGCAGGCCTACAGCAAGGAAGTCCACCAGCGCATCAATAAGCAATCGTGAGCCAAGTGCCTGGGTCTCAGAACTGGAGAGGGGGCTGTTAAAGGGGCTGGAGGCCGGACTCTTGGGTCCAAAGTCTGGGCAGGCTCAGTGTGTCTGGCCTTTAGTGATGCTGAGCTCTGCTCCTTGCTGGCCTTCCCTCCACGTGCCTGGGCAGTGAGGAGATCCAGCGCCTACAGGAGTTGCGGGACAAACTGCAGGTGCAGATCAGCGTTGCCCAGAGCCAGGTCAAGCGTCTGCAGGACAATAAGAGGCTGGAGAACATGAACCACTTGCTGAAGTGCCGGGCCCAGGTGGAGGCTGAGATCAAGGAGCTGCAGAAGCAGAACAGAGCCCTGGACAGGCAGGTGGGTTTGAGACCAGACTCTTTGGATCCTACTTAGGGGCAAATATCTTAACTGCTTTGAGCCTTAGCTTTCTCATCTGAAAAATGGGGTTATCGAAAGCATGCATCTCGGAGAGTGGTGCTGAGGCACCATGGGAATGCGGGTGTTTAGTGATGAGCACAGTCCCACATGTTCAGGGGGCTTGTGCAGTTAAGGGGAAAGGTGCACCTTCTGGAACCCGGTCCTGCCTCGTCAGAGCTGTGTGACCACAGGCAAGTCTTCACCTCTCAGGACCGTACTTCCTCCATCTGCAAAAAGAGGGTGTTGGTAATGGAGCAGAGTCGAGACAGGTGTCTAATCCCACCTGCCTCAAGATCTTGCTACTTGACCTTGGAAACAATGTGACTTTTCTATGCCAGTGCTCTTTCAAGTTTTTATGACCATGACTGGTGACACATACACAGATGCATATGGATATAAACACACACACACACACACACACACATACACCTATCTGAAACAAAAGTTTAATCAAATCATACTTTTTTTCTATGTGGGATTCATTGTTATTTTATTTTCTACTTTTCATTAAAAAGAGTTACTTGCCTATACCAAGTGATTTCTTGTACACCATGGGATCACAAACAGGAATTTGAAAGGTATATGCCTCAGTGGTCTGCATTAGTTTTCCTATTTCTGCTGTAATAAATTATCATCAACCGGATGGCTTAAAATAATACACATTAATTATCTTATGGTGCTGGAGGACAGGAGTCCAAAATGGGTGTCACAGGGCTAAACTCGGTGTCAGCAGGGCTGTGTTCCCCCAGGAGGCTTCAGGGGAGAATCCATTTCCTGGCCTTCTCTAGCTCCTGGAGAGGCCACCTGGTCCCTTTACTCGTGGCTCCTTTCTTTACCTTCTAAGCCATTCAATGATGACTTGAGTTTTTCTTTTTCTTTTTTTTTTTTTTTATCCTCACCCGAGGACACTTTTCCATTTTTTGTTCAGATAGAGTGGGAGGGAGAGAGAGGAAGAGAGAGAGAGAGAAACATCGACGTGGAAGGGACACATCGAGTGGCTGCCACCCGCACAACCAACCAGGGCCGGGGACAAACTGCAACCGAGGTACGTGCCCTTAGCGGGAACCGAACCCGGGTCTCTCTAGACCACAGGCCGACGCTCTAACCACTGAGCCAAACCGGCCAGGGCCAAGTTGAGTTTTTCTTATGACCAGTTGAGTTTTTCTCTGACCTCTGCTTTTGTCATCTCCTCTCCGTTTCTTATTCTGACTCTCCTGCCCCCCTCTTTCACTTGTAAGGACCCTTGTGATTACATTAGGCCCACCCAGATAGTCTAGGGCAATCTCCCTATCTCAACAGAATTAATTACACCTACAAAGTCGCATTTTGCCATTTAAGGTCACATATTCACCGGTTCCAGGGTTTAGGATGTGGACATCTATTGGGGGGGGGGGCATTATTCTGTCTACCACATCGTCTATAATTATTATGTTTGACTTCCAATCAATCAGTTTGTTCAGCTCTCAATATCACCCTGAGCTGCCTTTAGGAAGCTGAATATTGATTCACACATGCCAAACTTTTGGGTGTTTCTTGGTAGTACAGTGGCTTAGTGGGTGTTGGCTGCTTAAATTGGTTTTCCTTAGTCTTTCATGGAAACTCACCAGAGTCATGCCCAAGCAGGATGATTTTATCTCGACCCCATGGATTCCTTTGCCCTAACAAAATTGATTATGCAGAATTATAAGTCAAGTGGGGGGTAGGGTCCCTAGAAGAGAGCTCTAAAATTCCCCATGAGATCAAGAAAGGATGTAGTTATCTGGTGACATGCATTCACAAAGCACATACTTATTGAGTGCTCACCAAGTGCCAGGGACTCTTCTACATGTTGAGGACCCAGCAGTGAACAAAACAGACACGGGCCCTCTTCTCATGCTGTTTACATTCTACTAGAAAGACAGATGATGAGCTAAAAAAAAAAAAGCTGAAGAAAGAATTTGTTCAGAACCAACTCAGAATCCAGCACAGAGAGACAAAAAGATCGGCAATATGGACGAGTGGTTAAGTGACATTGCTCCCTGACTGGCTTGGCTCAGCAGTTATAGCGTCAGTCAAGGGCACGTACCTGGGTTGCAGGTTTGATCCCCAGCCCTGTTTGAGGTCGGGTGGGAGGCCACCAATTGATGTGTCTCTCTCACATCAATGCCCCCCCCCCCCATCTATCTAAAAATCAACGAAAGAATATCCTCAGGTGAGGATTTAAAAAAAAGAGAGAAAGAGATATTGCAGATATAGTGAGGTTAAATATATATCTAATAAGAATTTAAGAAGACTAGAAAGAGAGTGGGACAGGGGTAATGTGTGACGAGATAGTACCTGGGAATATTGTGGAACCAATGAAAGAACAAATCCACAGATTCAAGATGCCTTAGAATGCAAAACAGGGAAAGTTGTCGACTTAGAATTCTATATTCAAAGAAAATATCATTCACAAACAAGAGAGCAGAATTGACATTTTCTGTCAAAGAATAATGTAGATTTAGACAGGGTGTTTCTCAAAAGGCTTGTGTCTTTTGAGACACAAATTCAACAGAACCCCAAAACACCATTTCTAAATGATTACTCTCATTTTTTAAAAAAATATTTTTTATTGATTTTTAGAGAGAGAGGAAGGGAGAGGGAGAGAGAGATAGAAACATTGATGAGAGAGAACACTGATTGGCCGCCTCCTGCATGCCCCCCACTGAGGATCAGCCCACAACCTGGGCATGTGCCCTGACCAGGAATTGAACTGGTGATCTCTTGGTGCATGGGTCGATGCTCAACCACTGAGCCACACCGACCAGGCTACTCTCATTTTTTTTTTAATCCTCACCGGAGAACATTTTTCCATTTTTTGTTCAGATAGAGTGGGAGGGAGAGAGAGGAAGAGAGAGAGAGAGAAAAAGCGACATGAAAGGGACACATCCAGCCCTGGCCGGTTTGGCTCAGCGGTTAGAGCGTCCGCCTGCGGTCCGGAGAGACCCGGGTTCGGTTCCCGCTAAGGGCACGTACCTCGGTTGCAGTTTGTCCCCGGCCCTGGTTGGTCGTGTGGGTGGCAACCACTCGATGTGTTCCTTTCATATCGATGTTTCCCTCTCTCTCTCTTCCTCTCTCTCCCTCCCACTCTATCTGTACGAAAAAAAAAAAAAAGAAAGGGACACATCCAGTGGTTGCCACCTGCACGACCCAACCAGGGCCGAGGACAAACTGCAACCGAGGTACGCGCCCTTAGCGGGAACCGAACCCGGGTCTCTCTGGACCACAGGCTGACACTCTAACCGCTGAGCCAAACCAGCCAGGGCTCATTTTTTAAACTTATCATGTGGAGACTGATGACAGACAGTCCTTATATGTGTACCAGTTCATAGTACCAGTCTAGGTAGGTATAAAAAAAGTATTTGAGCCCTGGCCGGTTTGGCTCAGCGGTTAGAGCGTCAGCCTGCGGTCCTGAGAGACCTGGGTTCGGTTCCCGCTAAGGGCATGTACCTTGGTTGTGGTTTGTCCCCGGCCCTGGTCGGTCGTGCGGGTGGCAGCCACTCGATGTGTCCCTTTCACATCGATGTTTCTCTCTCTCTCTCTCTCTTCCTCTCTCTCCCTCCCACTCTACCTGAACAAAAAAATGTCCTTGGGTGAGGATAAAAAAAAAAAAAAAAAGTATTTGATAAAATTCAGCATCTCCATTCATGTTAAAAAATCTTAGAAAGCCAGGGATAAAAGGAAGTTTCCTGAATTTGATAAAGGGCAACTATAAAACTTCTACAGGAAACATCATATTTGATAGTGAAACATAAAAAATTCTTTTTGAGATCAGTAACTCCACTAGCATGATTGCTATTTAACTTTGTACTGGAGATCCTATCCAGTGCCATATGGCAAGGAAAAGAAAGAAACAAAAACAATTTAAAGATTGGAGATGAAGACATGAAATTGTCATTATTTGCAGATGGTATATTTGTGTACATAGACGATCCAAAAGAATCTAATGCTAATTTATAATTCATAGGCATTTTAACAATATGGCTATATACAAAATTAATATGCAAAGTTAATGATATTTCCCTGTATTAGCAGTAACTATTAGAAAATAAAACCCCTGGTCAGAGTGGCTCAGTTGGTTGGAGTATCGTCCTGTACAATAAATGGTCACGGGTTCAGTTCCCAGTCAGGGCACATACTCAGGTTGTGGTTTCGATACCTAGTCAGGGCACGTGCAGGAGGCAACTGATCAATGTTTCTCTCTCACATTGATGTTTCTGTTTCTCTCTCTCAAAATCAATTTAAAAAAAGAGAGGGAAGAAAAGACATTTATAATAGCCAAAATGAGTACCTAGGAAGAAATCTAACAAAAGTGTGCAAGACTTCAGTGGAGTAAATTGTAAATTTTATTGAGGGATACCAAAGAAGATCTTAATAAACATAGAGATAAGCCAATATTCATGGATTGGAAGAGTTAGTGTTGTAAAATGTCAGATCCCCAAATGATTTATAGGTTCAGTGCAATCCCAAAGTACTAAAAGCGCCTCCCCCCCCTTAAATGGATGGAGCTGATCAGCATCTTCTAAGCTTTACATGGAAGTGCAATGAACAGGCTGACTAAGATTACTTAAAAGAAGAAGAACAATGTAGAAGGCTTTACTCTACCAGTCTTCAAGATTTATTATAAAATTCTTGTAACTTGTGCAGGGCTAGTCAAATGGATCGACGGAACAGAACAGGGAACCCTGAAAGAGACTTATGTATATGTAGACACTTGATATTTGACTTCAGGAAATGGGAAAAGGAGGACAGTGTGGATTTTCATACTGTAAGATGAAACCAGATCCTTACCTCACACTCCACACCCCCAGAACTAATCCCAAATGGGTCAAAGGTCTATATGTGGGAAGGTGGGAAGAATTCCTTAAGTTACAGAAATCTCTGCTTCTAAAGAAAAGATGTGTGTATCCCATGATCTTAAAGTTAATAACATCTGTCAAAAGAGCCATAAAGAGTATGCAAAGTAGGTCTCAAAATGGGAGGTTATTTGCAATGCATACAGCTGAAAAAGGACAGATATCAAGACCATATAAGGCACTGTTGTAAATAATTAAAGTTTTTTTTTATCCTCACCTGAGGACATTTGTTCCATTTATTGTTCAGATAGAGTAGGAGGGAGAGAGAGAGAGAGAGAGAGAGAGAGAGAGAGAGAGAGAGAGAGAGAGAAACATCGATGTGAAAGGGACACATTGAGTGGTTGCCACCTGCACGACCAACCAGGGCAGGGGACAAACTGCAACCGAGGTACGTGCCCTTAGCAGGAACCGAACCCGGGTCTCTCTGGACCGCAGGCAGGCGCTCTAACCGCTGAGCAAAACCGGCCAGGGCATTAAAGATTTTTTTATAAAAAAAGCCAAAGAATTTGAGCTGACACATCACGTAATAAGAAATTCCGATGTACAATAAATGTAGGAATTATTCATCACTCATTAGTAATCAGAGAAAGGCAAATAAAAGTCACAAGATACCCTTAAACCCTCACTGGATTTTCAAAAATCAGTGTCTGAAAATACCAAGTGTTGGGGACAGAAAGAGCAGTGGAAACTCTTACGAACTGTTGGTGAGAGTATAAATTGTCATATGTATTCTGGAAATCCCCCCCCCCCCATTATTTGTTACATTTGAAGACAGACATACCCTGAGATCCAGGGTTGCATCCACTCGGCATTCACTGGACGCAGCTTGGGATCCAGTAGGCTGCAGTCTGGCAGCAGGCTCACTTAGCTCTGTGGAAGATAGAGGATAGGAAACAGCAGCATCTTAGCATGACAACATCAAACATTTTTCTTGAGGGGCCAGGGGCTGCTTCTCAGCACCTCCAGTTGTATGATATTGCATGAATGTGTGGGTGTTCCCTACCCTGACATAAGGAAGCTTCATACACAGAGGAGCCACCTCTTGTAACTGCTCATGAGGGTGGCTTCTATGCCCTACCAGAAACATATTCAATTATAAGAAATACCCCACAGAGAAACCAGGTTTCTATTTAGTCTTAGTCACATACGCCCTTGGGACCCATGAACTCACTCACAATCCTTTCAGGGGTCATTTTTATAATAAACTTTGTTGCCTGGGAACACAGCTGGTATTCCGTATTTACCTTAACCCAGTATGTTCCCATGGAAACCAAAGCCATCTTCCGATAGAAAACAGGTTTATCTGTTAATTTTTTCTCCCACCCAGCAATTACACCTCTGAGTATATATCCTGGAGCCAGGGTTCATGAAAAAGAATGTTGAAAGAAGCATTATTCATACAACTAGCTTCAAACTGGAAGCAACCAAAATGTCTTCCAATATTGAATGAATAAACTGTGGTATATTTGTATAATGAAATAGTATACAACAATGAAAAATGAATGAGTCCCAATTATACACAGCAACGAGGATGGATTTCACATTTGAAAGAAGCAAGACAGAAACTATATAGGTAGCATTATTTCATTTACATAAAATTCAAAATCAGGCCAAAACCAAACTTTTATTTAGGGGTTATCTAAATTAAACAATAAAGAAAAGTTAAAAAAAAATTTCTGTCTGGCCGGTGTGGCTCAGTGGTTGAGCATCGACCCATGCACCAAGGGGTTGCCGGTTCGATTCCCAGTCAGGGCACATGCCCAGGTTGTGAACCAAATCCCCAGTGGGGGCGCATACGGGAGGCGGCCAATTGATGTTCTCTCTCATCAATGTTTCTATCTCTCTCTCCCTCTCACTTCTTCTCTCTCTAAAATCAATAAAGAAAAAAAAAAGATAAATTTATTTAAAAATAAACAAATTTCACTTAAAGAAACAGAATAATGAGCCCCCCAAAGAGGTCAATGTCTTAATCTCCAGAGCCTGTGAATGGCAAAAGACTCTGCAGATGTGATTACAGATTTTGAAATGGGGAGATCACCTTGGATTACCTGGGTGGGCCCAATGTGATCACAAGGGTCCTTAAAAGAGAGGAGCAGGAGCCCTGGCCGGTTTGGCTCAGCGGTTAGAGCATCAGCCTGCGGTCCAGAGAGACCCGGGTTTGGTTCCCACTAAGGGCATGTACCTCGGTTGCAGATTGTCCCCGGCCCTGGTTGGGTCGTGTGGGTGGCAGCCACTCGATGTGTCGATGTTTCTCTCTCTCTCTTCCTCTCTCTCCCTCCCACTCTATCTGAACAACAACAACAAAAAATGTCCTCAGGTGAGGATAAAAAATTAAAAAAGAGGAGCAGGAGGGTCAGAACCAGAGGAAATGTGGTGACGGAGAGAGGCAGTGTAACAACAGAAGTAGAGGCGGGAGTGGCCACAAGCCCAGGAATCCAGCCTCTCGAAGCCGGAAAAGGCAAGGCAGGAATTATCCCCTGGAACCTCTAGAAGGAGCCCAGCCCAACTGACACCTTATTTCTTGACCCAGTGAAACTGATTTCAAACTTCTGATCCCCAGGGAGTAAATCCGTAGTAGTTTCTTACAGCAGCAATAAGAACTAACAGGTTGCAGTTTGTCCCCGGCCCTGGTTGGTCGTGCAGGTGGCCGCCACTCGATGTGTCCCTTCACGTCGATGTTTCTGTCTCTTTCTCCCTTCCTCTCTCTCCCTCCCACTCTATCTGTACAAAAAAAAAAAAAAAAACTAACAGGCAAGAGAGTGGTACCACTGTAAAGAGGAAGGGGGTAGTGATGAGAAGGGGACATCCATAACGTTGTCAGTACTCCAGTTCTTGACCTGAGTGATGGTTCAAGGATATTCACTTAAAACTTCCGTATATATTAAAACATACAGACAGGATCTGTGCATTTTTCTGTGTACAATAACATTTTTAAAAGGAAAAAATGATATTAACCATCATAGACCTACATGTAAAACCTAAACCTATAAAACTTCTAGAAAGAAACCTGAGAGAAAGTCACTGTGAGCTGGGAGGGAGCATCCGCTCCGTGCCTCTCGCCCAGCCTCTGCTGGTTTGCTGGCAGCCTTTGGTGTTCCTTGATGGGCAGATGCATCACCCCATCTTTGCCTTCATGTTCACGTGGCGTTCTCCCTGTCTGCTGTCTGTGTGTGCAAATTTCTCCTTTGTATGAAGACACCAGTCCTATTGGATGCAGGCCCACCCTAAGGACCTCATTTCGACTTGAGTACCTCTGTAAAGACCCTGTCTCTGGATAAGGTCACATTCTGATGCCTTGGGGATTAGCACTTCAATGTACAGAATCTTCCGGACACGTGCAACCTGTGACGCGCACAAGCTGGGAGACGCAGTCTTAAGCAATTCATTAGTTCGCCTGGTCTGCACGTTTTGTTAAGCACCTATTCTGTGTCGAACCCTAGAAAACAAAAATCTGCCCTCATGGAGCTTCCAGTTTATTTAAAATTTTTTAAAATTTATTTTTTCCTTTATTGATAGTAGAGAGAGAGGAAAGGAGAGGGAGAGAGATAGAAACACCGATGAGAGAGAACATCAATGGGCCACCTCCTGCATGCCCCCCACTGGGGATCTGGCCCACAACCCAGGCATGTGATCTGACTGGGGATCGAACCAGAAACCTCTTGGTGCAGGGTCAATGCTCAACCCGTGAGCCACACCTGCGGACTGGAGCTTCCAGTTCAGTTGGGGAGACAGCATAGCCCAATCAGTGAAGATGAATATGGAAAGAGGACAGGTTGGAAGCTGGTTTCCTGTAACAGACCAGGGACTCTAATGGCATCAGGGCTCATTCTCACCATCTCTCAGTCTCTTGTCTTCTCTTTGCCTACTAGCCTCGTTCTCCCAGGCTGCTCGGTGCGGTGGGGACTATGACAGCAGAAGTCCTGGAGTCCCATTCATCCAGATCATGCATTTCCCCCCAAATACCGGGAAAGGGCGCTGGCTGGCTCAGCCCGGGTCACATGGCCATCTCTAGGCCAATCGCTGTGACTGTGCAAACCTGGGTCATGTGGCTGGCAGGGTGGCTTGTTGTGGTTGGAAGCCAGATCCACACGGAAGGTTGGGGACTGTCAGCAGAAGGGTAGGACAGATGTCTGGGGCCACCAGGATGGAAGACGTGAGTCACACTCAGCCACTCAACTTCCCACTCATCCCTTTCCTTGGTCTTTCAGTCTCTCCCACATTCAGCCAACAAACAGGTACAATCCCCTTTCCTCCAGCTCCAGGACTGGGAGACCCGGATCTTTGTCTGTGGTAAAGATGCCAGGACCCCAGGAGTCATCCTGGATCAGAAGGCCAAGGTCCGGAAAAGGATCAAGGTTGTGGAAAACCAGTTGGACAGGGTGAGAGTCAGCTCTAGGCTCTTTCCAGGTCAGAACTCGGGGTAGGGGAAGAATGAACAAGGGGTCAAGTTCTGGAAACAGTGGAGCAGATTACTGGATTCAGGAAGTCCTGAAACACTGAGTTCCTTGAGGGGGGTCAGACAACAGAATCCTGGAGGGATGGAGGATCCCCAGGGAAAGGAAACTGATGTCTGAGCCCTTAAGGGGGTGCTGGGTGATGCCCTCAGTTTCCCCAAATCAGACAAATGCTCCCTCCTTGCCTGAGTTTGGAGGGACCTGGCAGGCCAGGCCTCAGACAGACTTCGCCTCCTGTCCCCAGGTCACCTGTCGCTTTGACTCCCAACTGGTGCAGAATGCAGCTCTGAGGGAGGAGCTGGATCTCCTACTGATCGAGAGGAACCGCTACCTGAATGGGGACCGCAAGCTGCAGAAGGTCAGTGGCCCCCAAACCCAGGACCCCTTGGCCCCACTGGGGTGGAGGAGACGACAAGAGTCGCCTTGCCTTTTTTCTAATACTCAGGCCTCAACTACGGAATTGACGAAGTCATAGGTTCACTTTAGTTCAGAGGGAATGGAGACCCAGCCTCTGAAAAAGAAAGCAGAGATGTTATTTTGACTGTTATCACCCAGGGCAACCACTGAGCAAGCCAAACCATTTACATTCCACGGGTTTCTCAACAACCTTTGAAGTCCTCTGAAGAACCCTCCCTTCCTCTTTCCACCTTCTCTTCCCTGAAACAATAGAACAAAGAACTACATATCCTTCCCCAAGATGGATCATTTGCCACATTTACTCTGTGTAATTATTATCTCTACTGAAAATAATGTATCATTATGTTTGCTGAACTAGTTGAGGGTACACACAGACGTTGTGTCTCTAAGAACTTAAGTGTGTATTTCCTAAAAACAAGACCATTTTATTTTTATTTATTTTATTTTATTTTTTTATCTTCACCTGAGGATACTTCTCCGTTTTTTGTTCAGATAGAGTGGGAGGGAAAGAGAGAGAAACATTGACACGAAAGGGACACATCGAGTGGTTGCCACCTGCACGACCCAGCCAGGGCCGGGGACAAACTGCAACCGAGGTACGTGCCCTTAGCGGGAACCGAACCTAGGACTCACTGATCTGCCGGCCAATGCTCTAACTGCTGAACCAAATCGGCCAGGGCTCTTTTTTTTAAATTGATTCTTTAGAGAGAGAGGAAAGGAGAGAGATAGAAACATAGATGTGAGAGAGAAACATCCATCAGTTGCCTCCTGCACACCCCCTGCTGGAGATCGAGCCCACACCCAGGCATGTGCCCTGATCAGGAATGGAACCGGGACCTCTCAGTCCATGGGACGCTCAGTGGACTGAGCCACACCGGTTGGGCAAGACAATCTTCCTTCCTTCCTTCCTTCCTTCCTTCCTTCCTTCCTTCCTTCCTTCCTTCCTTCCTTCCTTCCTTCTCTTTCTCTCTTTTAATCTTCATCTGAGCATGTGTTATTATTGATTTTAGAGAGAGAGGAAGGGAGAAGGGGAAAGAGAGTGAGAGAGAGAGAGAGAGAGAAACATCGATCGGCTGCCTCCCAGACACACCCCCACCAGGGATTGAACCTGCAACCTGGGTATGTGCCCTGACCCGGAATTGAACCTGGGAACTTTTGGTGTATGTGGCGATGCTCCAACCAACTGAGCCACACTGACTGGGGCCTGTGTCCTTTCGATGCGCCATCCTGTGCTCCAGCACTTCGTTACTTTCTGGCACAGGAAGATATTCCAGATTCTTTCATACTTGTTCTGTCTCAAGTCTTGTTAGTCATTCTCCAAGGGGTCCTGGTTCTTTCGAGTGGGGAGTAGGTGTTGAGAAACCAAGATACTGACTGGCACTAAGTCCTCATTGAGGACCTTTGCCTAGAGAGAGCTAGGAAACTCATATATCGTTTAAAATCATGAGTTCAGCCCTGGCCAGTTTGGCTCAGTGGTTAGAGCGTCGACCTGCGGTCCGGAGAGACCCGGGTTCGGTTCCCGCTAAGGGCACGTACTTCGGTTGCAGTTTGTCCCCGGCCCTGGTTGGTCGTGCGGGTGGCAGCCACTCGATGTGTCCCTTCACGTCGATGTTTCTCTCTCTCTCTCCTTCCTCTCTCTCCCTCCCACTCTATCTGTACAAAAAAAAAAAAAAAGGAAAATATCCTCGGGTGAGGATAAAAAAATAAAAAAATAAAAAATAAAAAATAAAGTCATGAGTTCATGTCGATACCTCTACTTCAATCCAGCATCACTAGGAATTCTGGAACATTCCCCATTTCATCTTTTTTCTGTTTAATCCTCACCCGAGGACCATATTTTATTCAGAAAGAGTGGGAGGGAGAGAGAGAGAAGCATCGACGTAAAAGAGACACATCGAGTGGTTACCACCCACATGACCCAACCAGGGCCGAGGACAAACTGCAACCGAGGTACATGCCCTTAGCGGGAACCGAACCCGGGTCTCTCTGGACCGCAGGCTGACGCTCTAACCGCTGAGCCAAACCGGCCAGGGCCCATTTCATCTTTTGATCTCTTCTCCCACAGCGGAAACCCTGGCTCAACACACTTAATCATTTGCTCAGTCCTACGTGCACATAAAAAATATTCAGAATCGCTGCAGCCATAATCCCACCTGCATGTATATAAGTGTGTATGTATACTGCATATACATTAACACACATTGTACACGTGTAAAAAAAATACATCATTTCCTCCCTTTTTTCTCCTGAAAGAACCCTAACTGCACAGACATTTCCGTGGACGCAGAGGACAGATGAGCATGGTCACAATGATGACATTCGCACCGATTTCTGCATTGGAGCAGAGGTTAGGTCGGTACTCTTAGGAATATTCTGGCTTGCGCGTGTCACCAGGATGAGCCCTCTGAGCCAGCAGCCAGCTCATCTGTGTGGCGTTCATTGACTGTGTACATCTTTCACATCCCTCGCTGGGCTGTGCTCATTGGGAGCTCCATATTCACAGGCGCCGGAGCTCCACCTCTCGCTGGGGAGACAGGCCCTGAGACAGGCCCAGGCTGGGAGGCCGTAAGAGTGGCATCTGCTTTGTTCTCTCGGCAGGAGATCCAGCACCAGAGGGACAACCTCAGCGCCCTCATCTCCTCCTCCACCTCAGCCTACACCCTCAGGTAGGGCCCTGGAGGTGTCCCGGCTCACTCTGTCCGCACCTTTCATTAGGCCGTGGCGGGAGGTTCCGGACTCAAGAAATTGACCAGAACTTACATTGTTTTTCATAAGGTGCCCCTTACTCTCCACGAATTTCCCAGCAGCCTTGGGCAAGATTCTGCTACTTGGGTGTATGAATTAACCCCTTTGCCCCAGTCTGTACATGGCACGTAGCATGTCGGGATGTGGAGAGAATTACCAGGAGGGAGTAGGTAGCACACGCAGCACGGGGCTCTGGACAAGGACGCATGGATGAATGCGAGTAATTGGATTGGTTGACAGGGACAGAGAGTCTCTCCAGCCACCGTCAGATAAAGAGGCAGGTGTAGAATGGAGAACCCATCGGCTCTGCTTATCAGCTCTGTCTCCGGGGCTCTCATGGGCTCCATCCCCCTCTCCCTCCAGAGCCCCAGCCCTGTTCTCTTGCTCCGGGCGGTTTCCTCTGCGCACTCAGTATCTTGTTTCCCCCTCGTGATTTCCACTTGCTCCTGGTTCATGATTCCTCCTGACATCAGCTCGAGCCCAAGACGACCTTACGGTTTCTGAGATCGTCAGGACGCGCAGACAAAATTCACTGTTTTCAAGTGGCATTCAGCACATCTAGATCGAAAACAGTTTCCTCACCCCAGAGGAAACCTGTCCCCATTAAGCGCCACACTCTCTTTCCTTCATCCCCAGTGCCCTGGAAACAGCTCTCTTCCTGTCTCTTCAGATTTATCTATTCCAGACAGTTCATGTAAATTCTGTCCATATGTGACTTTTTTTTTTCTTTATTGATGTTAGAGAGAGGAAGGGAGAGAGAGATAGAAACATCAATGAGAGAGAACATTGATTAGCTCTCCTGCATGTCCCCCAGTGGGGATTTGGCCCACAACCTGGGCATGTGCCCTGACCGGGAATTCAACCGGCGACCTCTTGGTGCATGGGTCGACGCTCAACCACTGAGCCACACAGGCCGGGCCATTATGCAACTTTTTGTGCCTGTCTTCCTAAACTTAACAGAATGCTTTCAAGGCTCATCTCTGTAGCAGCGTGTATCAGCATCCCTTCCATTTTACCGCCGATTCTGTAATCTCCCCCGTCATGACCCCTGCAGAGCCCTGACTGTACCTCGTGGCTTCGGCTCAATCGTAGCTTTGGCTTCTACATAACTGGGCCTTCGGAACAGGACCTTTTGTGGCCTCTCTCTCTACGTGCTTCTCCTTTCAGCTTCTGGTCCCATTCTTAGCATTTCCCAATTCACTTCCTGAGGGACAGATGTGACTGGCCGCCTCATCTTTTCCGCCAGCCCCACAGTGAGGCCCGGTGACCTGTCTGCGCATGCCAGGACCTAGCCCCCGCCGCACTCCCCCACTTGATTGCGATGGCAGCCTAGCTGGGTCAAGGACAGGGTGGTTTCAGCTCGAAGGCGGGACAGGTGTCATCCCCAACACTTCTTGTCAGACCAGGCAGTGTCACCGGTGCTTCCTACTGGACGATCTGGGCCAGGTCACTTCCCCTCCCTGAACCTCCACTGTGACAGGGCAATAAGGATGGTGTCTACCTCACAGGGACGGTGTAGAGCACCCCTGCGGGGCCTGGATGTCAGGTGGTTGGGATCCCTCTTCCCTGCCCAGGCACATAAAGAGCTGTGAGTCCGCCAGGCCGGTGTGGCTCAGTGGTTGAGCATCGACCTATGCACCAAGAGGTCGCCAGTTCGATTCCCAGTCAGGGCACATGCCCAGGTTGTGGGCCAAATCACCAGTGGGGGCATGCAGGAGGTGGCCAATCGATGTTCTCTCTCATCGATGTTTCTATCTCTCTCTAAAATCAATAAAGAAAAAAAAAGCTTTAAAAAAAAAGAAAAAAGAGAGATGTGAGTCCTAATCCCCAAGGGGCTGCCACCAGAGGTGAGGGGTCACTGGGCTGGTGGGTGCCAGGGGGAGCGTCTCACCGAGGAGGGTTGACCTGAGTGAGCCTTTAAGGACTCAGACTAGAGCAGGAAGCTGGTGGTCTGGTGAAGGCGGCCCAAGTCAGCAAAGGTGCGGGGGTGGGCACTGGAATGGTCCAGGGGCAGGGACCTGAGGAAAGTGGGCTGCTAGTCTCCCAACCTGTGACCCTCTGACTGGACCCTGTGCCCGGGACGCACGCACTTGGAGCACCTGCACCTTCAGTTGGCTGCAAATATTTAACAGCTTAGAAGCTGCACGTTCAGAGGTGCAGGCCAGGGGAAGTTCAGTGAATAGGCTTCTAGGGTCCCCAACGTCCTCACGGTGTGTGTGCAACTGCTGCTGATGTCGCCTGCCTGTCCACATGAGGTCCTGAATGGTCCAAGCCCCTTATATTTCCAACCCCACAGTCCCCAAACTCCAGCGCCCTCACCTTGTCGGCGGGTCTCCCCTCCCTGGTCTGAGCATACTCTCTAGCTGTGCCCTCACTGCCATCTCGCCTCCCGTTCCACGGCTCCCGCGATAATGCCCGGCCTCCTGGATGCCCCTGTGCCCTGGTAACCAAAGAAGAGACCAGGCTGTAACAGAGAGCAGGGCTTTGATCTGAGCGAAAGGGTTCAATCAGGGAGACGGGTTCAGGTGGCAACTCAGCTGGCTCTGGGGAGGACAAAGGAAGGCAGGTGTGAAGGCCAAACCCACAAGGCGTAGTTCTCTCTGCAAAGGAAGGCTGGCCGGCAGGACCGGGGCTGCGAGGAGATCCGGTCCATGTGGTCCACGGGGCAGCTCTGTGCCAGGATGTTGATGGCTCCAGGCTCTTTAAGGCTCAGCCTTGAACTGAGTTTAGCAACTTAATAGCAGCTCTGAGAACCGCTGTTGTGAGGCAGACCCGCACGGACCCCACTTCCTTAATAGCCTCCACTCCAATTTAAGTGACTCTTCGCAATGCCTGCTCCATTTTATTGTTTCCACTGTCAGCATGCACTGCAGTGCCCCCACTGCGGGCAAGGCGTCGCTTACGGGGCCCAGCACCCCCATCGGCCCATTCTGGCCCACCTCTAGAACCTAGAATGTCTTCTGCCTTTGTGACCTCAGGATAACAGTATCCTGATTCCACTCCATCCCTGGGACCCCAGGCTGACCCCACCCATCCATCCCCCAACCCCATGCGGACTCCAATCCAACCTCCAATCGCCCTGACCCGACCGGCCTCCCCCAGGGAGGAAGCGAAGACCAAGATGGGGCTGCTGCGGGAGAGGGTGGACAAGGAGGTGGTCCAGAACGAGACGGAGGTGCAGGTCCTGCAGCGGCAGATAGCGCACCTGGAGCAGCTGCACCGCTTCCTCAAGCTCAAGAACCACGACCGGCTGCCGGACCCGGTCGTCCTGGAGAAGCGCGAGAAACGGGGTGAGGCCCGGGCCGCAGGTCTCACAGCGCACGGGCGGGGCCTGCCTGCAGGGGGCGCGGGAGAGCACCGAGGTCCCCGACAGGCGGCAGCCCTGCCCGCGGGGGGAGAGGGACAGTGAGGTCCCCTCCGACTTCACTGCCCCTTCCCCCCAGCCCGGGAGGTGGCCGAGGGCCTCCGGAAGACCTCCCAGGAGAAGCTGGTGTTGCGTTACCAGGACGCCCTGAATAAACTGTCCCAGATGACCGGGGAGAGCAACCCGGACCTGCTGGTGGCCAAGTACTTGGAGAGTGAGTGCCTGCGCACCCGGAGGGGGTGAGGCGCGGCCCCCAGCACCTCAGTCGGGGATACACTGTGCTTTCTCTTGGTCACCGAGGGCCCTGGGGTCTCTTCCACCTGCGGGAGGAGCAAGCTGGTTCTACACACCTACTGTGGGCCCGCCTCAGCCACCCCCTCCCCGCCCATCCCCGGTCTCCCCCCTCCAGTCTCTCCCCTCCCCTCCCCGCCCATCCCCGGTCTCTCTCCCCTGCCTTCTGTTTGTCTCCCTGCGAGAGTCTGGGACAGTTTTTCCTGTTTCTGTCGGATTTCTCTGGGCGTGTCTGTCTCCCGCCTACCCCATGTCCCCGTCCCCTTTCCTCCCTGCTCTGGGCTGTCATTCTTGGGCTGGGAATCACTCTCCAAATGTTCCCCTCCACCCTGCTTCTCTCTGGTGTCCCTGTTGCTGTCTGTCTCCTGGGCGTCCCGATCTTTCCACCCACCTCTACTGTGTTCTCTCCCTCCTTTCTGTTTGTCTCTCGCTATTTCTGCATCTCTTTGTGACTTTCTTTCTGTCGCTCTTTCATTCCGACTTTCTGTGTTTGTTTCTCTGCTCGTGTAACTGTCTCTCTGTCTTATCTCTGTGTTGTCTTTTAAAACATCTCTTTCTCTGTCCCGTGTGTCCCCGTTTCTGGTGCTCTGTCCCGTGTCTCTGGCTGTCTCCCTGGACCCTGCCTTTCCCGCTCTGCCCCCAGTGGAGCAGCGGAACTTCGCCGAGTTCAACTTCATCAATGAGCAGAACTCGGAGCTGGAGCGTCTGCAGGAGGAGATCAAGGAGGTGAGACCAGCCGGTCCTGAGTCCCCCCCTTGCTCCTCACCTCCGCCCCTGTCCCCTCTTTGGCTGGTCAGCCCCTTGTCCGGGAACTGGAGCCCACGCCCCACCCCGCCCTGCAGATGCAGGGGGCCATGGAGAGAGCGCGCACTGGCGAGTCCACCCGGCAGTCACTGCAACAGGAGAAGGGGGCCACGCTGCAGCAGCGCTTAGAAGCAGCGCGCTCCGAGGCCGATAACCTCGAGGCCCGCTCCCAGGAGCTACAGCGGCAGCTGGAGAAGCTCAAGGCCGGTGAGCACCCGCCGCCCTCCATCTGGGAGCACGCCGTGAGCACGTGGCTGCCCAGACCTGGGCTGGCCACTGGGAGGTTCCCAAGAATGTGTACTCACGTTTGTCCATGCCATAACCATCGTCCATCCATCCCGGAGTATTTTTTACCCCCCCATCCATCCAACCATCGTCCATGAATCCAGCCACCCACCATCATCCACTCAGCCGTCAGCGCAGGGCGCTCCGGAGCCAGGCTGCCCGGGGTTTGAATCCCAGCTCCATCTGTGTCTTTGGTGTGTGGGTTCCTCTGTCTGATCCCCTCTGGAAACGGGATGGAGCGCCTCCTCAGAGGGTGGTCAGGAGAGTTAGATGGGATGATGGATGGAAAGCTAAAGGTGGAGAGAGACAGAAAGGTGGCAGCGGTGACAGGGAGCCAGCAGGAACGCCACCTCATGGCGCACAGTAGGAGCTCAATTACCGGCAGCTTCGCCTTCCCAGACACTGAGGCCACTGTGCCAGACCCTGTGCTGGGTGACGAGGACCTGGTGGGGAGGGGTGGGAAGAGCCTGACATGGACACTGCGTCCTTGGAACCCAGGGGCTAGGATGGAGGACCGCAGGGCACTTGGAAGCAGGAGTGGGCCCTAGCTCAGTGTGGAGTGTGGGACAGTAATTTTGGGGGCCAGTGCAGAATTAAAGTGGGGGGCCCCTTGTTAAAAATTTGTCAAGAATTTCAAGGTGGCAACAGCAGAGCAAATGCAGGAAGTCTTCCTGGAAGCAGTGATGCTTGAGGCTGATCTTGAAGGACGGATATTTAACTGAAAAACTAGGCAGGGGGATGCTCCCAGCAGGTGGGGCCAAGGCCTACAGGGTCGTTCAGGGTCGTGGGTGGGTTCTTCGTGCAGAGGACGGAATGGAGTGGAAGAGGGCCTGCTCCTGAAGGGATGCCAGGCTGCGGCGCTTCCTGGCAGTGCTGGGGAGCCATGGAGGGTTGTGAGCAGGAGACGGTGGTGGGTAGGGAGGTGAGGGGGAGGAGGAGGAAGAGGAGGGGGCACAGGTATGAGATTGATGGGCTCTGGGGGATAAGGGGCCAGGTACACTGGGTTGGGCCTGGCGAGGGCAGGGCCCCTTCCTGAGATGAGGAGCCCCAGAGAAGGAGCAGGGTTGGGAAGACCCTGAGCTCAGGGTGGGCGGTCTGGGGGTGTTCAGGGAGGAAACTGCTGTGCTTGAGCCTGGAGCTCAGGGGGAGGAGGCACAGGGCAGGCTGGTGTGGATGCCATGTGGTTGGGTGCAGATTTTTGACAAAGTTGTGGTGCCTTCTTTTTTTTTTTCTTCTTTCTTAATCCTCACCCGAGGATATTATTCCATTGATTTTTAGAGAGAGTGGACAGGAGAGGGGGAGCGGGAAGAGAGGGAAACATTGATGTGAGAGAGGCATATCGATTAGTTGCCTCCCATACGACCCTAACCAGGGTCGGGGATGGCACCTGCAACCCAGGCACGCGCCCTTGACCAGGAATCAAACCCACAACCCTTCGGTGCGCAGGCTGACACTCTAACACACCGGCCTGGGCTGTGGGCGCCTTCTTATTTCATTAACAATGACCGGTTAACTAACAGAAGCAGGTCAGGCACAGGCCAGTTGTGCGGCTGGGTCATGACAGCGGCTCAACCACGGACAGCCGTGCGCACCTGGAGTCCAGTATCGAAACAGAGGGAGCACGTGCGCGGACGTCCCTCTGGGAGAGAGCCTGGGCTGCGGAGCAGGGGGAGCTGGTGCTTCTAAGTGCCAGGCTCCTTCAGGGCAGGGGCCTTAGGTTTTCCTTTGACCTCCCTCGCTGTTTGCCTTCCGTTGTTGTGAGCCCTGTGCCAGGTGCACAGTGATGCCCTGTGCACAGTGATTTCCCATTCACTGCCTGGCTGTCTGCCTTTGGGGACATCCTTGAGCCTGGCTCTCTGTCTGCACAGAACAGGGCAGTGGGGACTCGAGCGGAGGAGAGGGCTGGCACCCAGCGGGCACTGGATCCATGCCAGCCGGTTTCCCCTGACCCTAGCCATCCAGACGCTCTTCACCAGGGCCAACTGTGACAGCACCATCATTGACGACCTCCTGGGGGTCAAGACCTACATGCGTGACCGCGACATACACCTCTTTCTGGGCCTCATTGAGAAGCGACTGGTGGAGCTCCTGACAGTGAAGGCCTACCTCAACATCCAGGTGGAGAGGCCAGGGGTGTGGGGGACAGGGAGCCAAGCCTTGGAGCCGGGGCCCCAGGGATGGACCCGAGCTGACCACCGGCTTATCCCCTCCAGAGCTACACCTCTTCCAGCTTGGCTACCGCTGCCCTCCTGGTGCTGGGCCAGAGCCCCGAGGATCTTCCAAAGAAGGTGGCCCCACCTCAGCTCCCGGACAACCTGTGAGCACGAGAATCGTGCGGCAGAGGGGACGAATGGAATGCAGGGGTTTAGGGGGGCTCTTTGGGACCCCAGGGTGGGTGTCACTCTGGAGGAAGTAGATGGTTGTGCTTTGGGGAACCAGAGTAGGGCTCCTGGGGATGGTATGGGGAGATGGGCCCCGGGCACACCAGAGGGAAGGGGCCCTCAGGGTCTCTGGGTACGGCAGTGAGGAGCATGAGCCCCGTGCGGGTGGAGAATGTAGTCCCTTCCTGCCTGTCCCCTATTTTAGGGAGGACCCCCCAGGCTTTGAGGTCAAAGAAGACTATCCTCTGAGCAAGGAGGAGCTGCTGAGCCATGTGATGAAGGCGGTGAGAAGGGGAGCCGGCCTGGGGGGCAGGAGCGCAGCTGCCGGTGGGGCCTAACGCAGCTCCCCCGCAGCTGGAGGCCCGCGAGCAGTCCCGGGAGCAGCACCTGAAGGAGCTGATGGAGATAGCGAAGAAGATGGACAGCAGCTTGAGCATGTCCCTCTCCAGTACCCAGAAGGCCGGCTCGGGCACACCCCTGGCGATCCCCAGGAACGCCAGCGTTGCCCCTGGGTCCCTCATGAGCCATAGGACTAACGGCATCCTGATGTCCCCTGGCCATGCCACCAGCTCCACTATTGGCCATGTCACCTTTGGTGACCCTAGCTCCACTGTAGGCCACATGACCCTTAGCTCCACCAGCAGCCAGGGCTCAACTGGGGGCCGCATGACCTTCAGATCCAGAAGCCCTAGCAGCCACCCGGCGTCCACTGGGTACTCGGAGTCCAGCGGGGGCCCCGAAAGCGCGGGGGGCAAGCAGAGAGGCACCGGGTCAGACCTGAGCGCCGGCCCTGCCTCCAGCACCAGCCCCGGCTCCACCGTGAGCAAAGACACCGAGAGCTTCGACTAGGTACCCAGCCCCCCACCCCCGCCCATGTCGGCCCTCTCCGTGTCTGCCCCCACAGCGGTCTCCGCCGCCTCCTCATTGAGTCCCTCCCTGGGTCTGTTCCATCAGCTCTTCATCGTCTCGTCTCTGACTCCTGGTCTCTCTCTGTTCCCCACCCTCCTTTCCCCTTCTGTCTCCCAGTCTCCTGTCCTCTCATTTCCCATTCATTGTGCGTCTGTCTTGTCTCACATCAGTCTCCCCATCTCTATTCTGACCTCTGGTTCTCCCCCCGCTTCCTGTTTCTGTTCTTCTTTCTTTTTCTTTTTAAAGAATAGTTTATTGATTTTTAGAGAGAGAAGAAGGGAGAAGAGAGAAACATCGATGTGAGCGCGTAACATCCATCGGCTGTCTCCTGCACGCCCCCTGTAGGGGATCAAGCCCACAACCCGGGCATGTGCCCTGACGGGAACCAGCAACCTCTCCGTGCACCAGACGATGCTCAACCAACCGAGTACACCTGCCAGGGCTCTGCTTCCCCATTTCTCATTCCTTCTCCTCATTCCCATCTCCCAGGCATTCCTGGCATCTCACGTCCCTGTCTCATTAGCTTCTCATTCCATGCCCTCCCCAAGAGTCCCCAGTTCTGAGCCTGGGGAAAAAACCGGGGCAAAGAGGGTCAGGGTCAGCGTGAGCTGTGACCATAGGAAATAAAAGTCAGAGCCCAACTTTTACCCCAGCCTGGTGACAAGTGTCTATATGAGAAAGCAATCTAGAGACGTGGATGTTTCTCGACCTGCAGCCCAGAGGAAAATTTATGGCCTTGTTTGTTCATTCATTCATTCATTCATCCATCCATCCAGTCACTCATTATTTTGTTGAGACCTCCACATTTCAGACTCTCCTGAGAACTGGGCACTGTATCAGTCAGGATAGGCTGTGTTAGGCTGCAGTAACAAACAACCCCAGGATCTCAGTGGCCTAACGTAACAAAGGTTTATTACTTGCCAGTGTTATTGGTCTATTGAGAGTCAGCTCAGGGCTCTGCTCCACCCATACTTGTGTCCCAGGCAGATGGAACAGCATCTGTCTGGAGGGTTGCCAATCTCTGTCACTGGGGAAGAGAAAATAGCAAAGCTGTAATGACTTAAATCTCCTACCTGGATACGATACATATCACTTCTCACATTTATTGACCCAAGCAGGTCACATGACCATACTTAACTTCAAAGGTGGGTGGGAAGTGCAGTCTGGAAGGAGAGAGGAAAAGGAATATTTGTGGACAACCCTAATGCCTGCCTCAGGGTCGCAGAGCCAAAACAGACTCTGTCCCTTTCCTGGTGCGGGGCGGGTTCGGGAGTGAGAGAGATTTGAATGCCATGGATAATTCTTTCCTGTCATTGTCAGATGCCCTGTCAAAATTATTTTTAGAAATATTTTTATTGATTTTGGGAGAGAGAGGAAGGGAGATGAGAGAAACATTTATGTGAGAGCAAAACATTGACTGGCTGCTTCCTGCACACCCTCTACTGAGGATTGAGCCCGAAACCCGGCCATCTGCCCTGTCCAGGAATCAAACCAGCAACCTTTCGGTGCTTGAGACGATGCCCAACCGAGCCACACTGGCCAGGATGCCCTGTCAAAATTTAATGTAGCCCAGCCGGTGTGACTCAGGGGTTGAGCTTCGACCCATATACCAAGAGGTCACTGGTTCGTTTTCTGGTCAGGGCTCATGCCCAGGTTGTGGGCCTGATCTCCGGTCGGGGGCATGCAGGAGGCAGCCAATCGATGTTCTTTCTCGATGTTTTTCTCTCTAACATCAATAAAGAAAAAAAAAAACAGCAACTCCCAAAAAAGACAAAAAAATTTAATGCAACTAAATCCAGACAGATAATCCACCTTCCTAACTCAGGAAGGTAAAACTCTGGGTCTCCTTCCCTTAAAATGGGTTGATAATAGTCCGTACCTCAGAGGAGTTTATTTTTTAGAATAAAAATTGGTACATGCAAAGCCTCAGAACGGCATGTAGTAAAGGCCAACAAATGTCTGTGATTATGGGGATGATGACGACAAAGGCGAAAGTCAGTGTAGTGTCTCCTCATCGTTCAGACAACCCAGGCTTGCCCTGCCTTCACCTGACCCTACAACCCGGTGAGACTGACCGATCCGTCTGCTGGTAAATGTGTAACAACTGGCTCTTCAGGGCCCCAAAATCCTGACTCGTAGTGTGTACCCGTTTCTGTGGTGTAAATATTGCCATGGTAGATTCATTTTGCTCCATATGAAGACTTGCATTTTTAAACCCCGGCTCTGGAACGTCAGAATTTACATACACAGTGTAAGAAGATAGCTGACCCCAGCAGCTCAATCTCATGAGCAAAAGTGGAGGAAAGGCTGAATGAAATCACACCCCACAGCAGTGACATTTGGAGTATTCGGCGACTTCTCCAGGAGGGAGGCAGGAGCCGTCGCTGCTGCACACGAGCTGAGTGTGTTCACTGTGTGAGCGCGGTTCCTCAGCGGGAAAGCAGAACCAGAGTGAAATACCACCCGGGTGAAATCTCACGGGGTGTGGGCGGGGTGCCAGCCCTTTCTCCGTCTTAATTTGTCAGCAGGGATCATCTAGGACAGGGGAAAACACTGTTCTAGTTCTCAGTGGAGGCTCAGACAACCAGGAAGTCAATTTAAGGGGATTTAACCAGCATTTAAAAATAAAGTAGAATAAAAAGCATTATGCAGAACAGGGTGGAATTTCACCGAACTGTGTGTTTGGTATGAAATTATTTCTTACTGTGTATCAGAAAAGTTTGGAAGCCACTGGTCGAAGGCCCCCAGCTCGGAACACTGATTTTCTTAACTGACTGTTAACTCCCTTCGATAGCAAATACTTCGGGTCTCCCGCCGCGCTGTCTTACAGCACTCGGCCGCCAGGTGTCGCCCGTGTCCCGCCGTGAGCGGTTCTGCTGCGTCCTGCGATGGGCCAAGGAGGTGATTTCTTTCTGGTCGTGTCGCCCGGAGAATCGGTTTACTGGGACTAGATGCCCTGACCACGAAGGCAGTCCTGAGCAAAGCGCGGCGGGAGGGCTCCGGTCAAAGGGATGTGACCATCCTGAGACCCATTCATTCCTTCTTCATTCCACGTGTTCTTTAAATGCCTCTGTGCACCAGAAGTCCCGGATCCCAGAGCTCACATCCCAGTGGGGAGGACAGACAAGACCCCAAATCCCCGACCTCGTCAGTAAGGGAGGCCTCCCCACCTGGTCTAGGGCGGGACAGACCGCGGTGGGCCCGCTGTGTGACCTTGGGCAGCTTGCTTAGCCTCTCTGTGCCTGTTTCCTCTGCTATAAAATGAGAATAATAGCACCTACTTCCTAGGGTTATCGTGAGCATTAAATAAGCTAATATTCATAAAGCACTTCAAAGGGGCCTGGCATGTATGTTAAGCCAGTTGTTAAAAAATTCTCATTTAACAGCTGTAGGAACCGAGGCCCTTGGTCCTCGGGTGGGAGTGGGGAAGGAAAACGCACTTTGGGGGGCGGGCTGAGGGAGACAGAGCCAACCTGGAGCGTCCTCTCCCCCACAGGGTGGGTCCTTTGCCCCCACATCTTCCCCAAACACCAAAAGCTACCTTAGCAGAGCCTTTGGGTGCCACGCAGCTGTGGGCATTGAAGAGAACCTGTCAAGTTTCTCTCTTTCCCTCCCAGGTTCATTAAAGTATAATCTACCAGAGTCCACCACTGTCAGTGTACAACTCAATGACTTCTCATGAATTGAACAGAGGTGTGTAATTATCATCACAGCTCATGACCCCCAAAAGTTCCCTCTCGACAGCTTGCAATCAATTTCCTATTCCCCCTCCAACCCCTCGCTGCTGCTGATCTGGTTTCTGTCTCTAAAGTTCTTTTTTCTGGAAATTCCATATAAAATTTTACAATCCTATTTTGTGTAAAATACGTTGGTCTTGTTCATATGTGGACCATACAAGCCAGCACATCCACGTCAAGGGCGACTTCTACAGATTCCATCGGGAGCCCTGTGCAAACGCAGTTTTAACTCCAGCCGGTGTGGCTCAATTGGTGGGGCGTCCTGTGCACCAAGAGGTCAAGGGGTCGATTCCCGTCAGGGAACACTCAGGGTTGCAGGCTGACCCCCCCAGGAGGGGACATGCAGGAGGCAGTGATGTTTCTATCTCTCTCTCTCCCTTCCTCTCTCCAAAAAATCAATAAAAACATTAAAAAAAAAAAAAAAAACAGTTTCAGCATCAATGTTTGCAATGTCTACAGTGAAACACACGACAAGCGTCTCTTAAATAAATTTAGCTAAAAATTTACCTACGGGGTAGTGACAAAGAAAGAATGAATAGCCCCTGCAACCCACCTGGGCTTCTCTTTCTCTCTTTGAGTGAAGCAAGACACAGAAATATTCAATATGATACCATATGCAGTATAAAAATCAGCCAATACAGAAACTATGATATTTGGGGATTTATGCTCAGGGTGAACATAAAGACGAGCCAGGGAGTGAGTGTAAGACAGTGGCTTCCTCCTGGGGTCAGGGGGCACCACCTGCACAGTACAGATGTAACTGCCTGGCACTTGATGATGCACTGTGTGGACCTGGACGGTGGGTGTGTGGCGACCACCTGATTAACTTTGAACTCTGTGCTTACATTTGCATATACTTTTGGGGAGCCACATTCCCCAATTTTTAAAAAATTGAACAACAAAGGAAACCATGAACAAAATGAAAAGACCGAATGGGAGAACATATTTGCTAATGATATATCTGATAAGGGGATAACATCCAAAATTTATAAAAAACTTATATGACTCACCCTGGCTGGTTTGGCTCAGAGGTTAGAGCATTGGCCCATGGACTAAAGGGTCACGGGTTTGATTCCTGTCAAGAGCACATACCTCGGTTGTGGTTTGTCCCCACCCTGGTCCAGTTGTGTGGGAGGCAACCACTCGATGTGTCTTTCCCATCCCCCATCCTTCCCACTCTATCTGAAGATAAATGGGAAAAAAATATATTTGTGACAAAGAAAGAATGAATAGCCCCTGCAACCCACCTGGGCTTCTCTTTCTCTCTTTGAGTGAAGCAAGACACAGAAATATTCAATATGGATTAAAAAAAACCCATAAAACAAAAAACCTTATACAACTCAACACCAAAAAAGAAACAATCCAATTTAAAAATGGGCAAAGGGTTTGGCTGGGGTGGCTCAGAGATTGAGCATCGATCGTCCCATGGACTGAGAGGTCCTGGTTCAATTCCCAGTCAGGGCACATGCCCTGGTTGGGGGCTCAATCCCCAGTAGGGGGCGTGCGGGAGGCAGCCGATAGACGTCTCACATCAGATTTCATCTTTCTCTCCCTTCCTCTCTCTAAAAAAATCAATAAAAACATTTAAAATCAACAAAGTGCTGGTGGATGTGGAGAAATGGGAACCCTCGTGCACTGTTGGTGGGCATGCAGATTGCCACTGTGGAAAGCAGTATGGAGTTTCCTCAAAAATTAATAATGGAACTGCCATTTGACCCAGGAATCCCACTTCTAGGAATATATTCTAAGAAGCCTGAAACACCAATCAGAAAGAATATATGCATCCCTATGTTCATAGCAGCACTATTTACAATAGCTAAGATCTAGAAACAGCCCAAGTGTCCATGAGTAGATGAGTGGATAAAAAAGCTGTGGTACATTTACACTGGAATAGTATGCAGCGGTGAAAAAGAAGGATCTATTTATTTCCCTTTGAGACAGCATGGATGGACCTGGAGATGATTATGCTAAGCAAAATAAGTCAGAGAAAGAAAAATAATACCATGTAATCTCACTTATATGTGGAATCTAATGAATAAAATAAACTGGTGAACAAAATAGGACCAGAGGCATGGATACATGGAGCAGACTGACAGATCTCAGAGGGGAGGAAGGTGGAAGGGACTGGAAGAGATTAACCAAAGAACATATATGCATAGCTCACGGACACAGACAACAATGTGGTGAAGGCTGGGGAAAGACGGAGCAGGGGCTGGGTGGAGGGTGGCAAAGGGGGGTAGGAAGGTTAAAAGCTTTCCACAGACCTAATCTTCACAGACTTTCTTTCCAGTGTGAATGTTCCCATTTCTGTAAGATACAAGCGTTCCTGGAAGACTTCTCCCTGCACATTAAATTACTGAGTTCTCTTCCAATATGGGCTCAGGATTTTGAGAAAAAGAAAGCTTTCTTCATATTCCTTTCATTCCGAGGGCCTCTCTCAGTTGTGCTTCTTGAGATGGCTTTTCAGCGCTGAATTATTGGTATAGCCTCGTCCGCATTCCTTACATTTATAGGGCCTCTCTCCAGTGTGAATCCTTGTGTGTATGGTAAGGTTCCAGGCCTTATGGAAGGCCCTCCCACATTCCTTACATTTATGGGACTTCTCCACAATGTGCTTTAATAAATGTTTATTAAGGTGTAAGGAATATCGAAATGCTTGCCCGCATTTCTTACACTTATAGGGTTTCTCTCCAGTATGAATGCTCATGTGTTTCACCAGGAATGAATGATAAGCGTAGGATTTCCCACAATCTTGACATTTATAGCTTTTCTCTCGAATCCTGGTGCTGCTTCCTTGTGACTCCGAATTTGGAACGTGGGCAAAGGTTTTCCCACGTTGATTATTCTCATTACCTGTCTCTGCTGTGTGAGATTGCATCTGCACACCATGGATCGAGTTCCTTTGGAGGATGTTTTCGTACTCACGAGACACATAAATTTTCTCTTGAAAGTGAGTCTCGTGTGCTCTAAGGACACGGTCTTTCGGGGAGACTTTCCCAAGTGGATTCCATTCATGGACATTTCCCCCCATATACATTTTATTGTGTGTAAGAAGCACACGGTTCTGATGGTCAACCCACGGGCTTGATGTCAGCTCTGTTGGAGTTCTCACATTTGCGGCTGATGGATTGCGGTGCCTCCATCCTCTATCATCCTTTCTGTTTTCAGAGCTTTTGCGATTACTTGTTAAGATGCAATTTTGCTTCAAAATACTTTGGGGGATGTATTTTCTGGTGGAATCTCCCCGTGAAGGCACACGCTTTGAGCTTGGTTCAGGGTTCTCCCTCGTTTCAGGATATGCACAGACTTGAACCAGAGGCTCAGCTTTCTCTCGGGCAATAGCCACACGCTTCTCTTTTTGCCCCCTCTGCTTGTGTGGCTCCTCTGTTTTGTGGTCTTCCGAGTCTCCCCCTGAGGTGGAATTGTTGCTCGTGAGACACATTCTGTTGGCTTCACGAAATGGCTTTTTAGCAAGAATGTCCTGCAGAGGGACAGAGTCTTTGGTTTTCTGTTCAATAACCTCACCTGAAATAAAGCAACAGGAAAGTTAAATTCTTTGTTGAAAGTAAAGGAGGCTGGAGAGGATACAATTGGTAAGCGCCCATGTGGGCTTCTTTTCTTTTCTTTTTTTTACTATGCCTATTGTTATTATTACTGATTTCAGAGAGAGAGAGAGGGAGAGAGAGAGACATTGATGTGAGAGAGAACATCCATCGGCTGTCTCCCGCATGCCCCCTACTAGGGCTCAGGCCTGAAACCTGGGCATGTGCCCTGGCTGAGAATGAAACTGGCGACTTCTTGGTCATGGGATGATGCTCAGCCAACTGAGCCACACTGGCCAGGGCCATGTGTGACAGACCCTGACCTCTGACCCATCTAAGACAACAGACCTTGTATTTAACCCATAGTACTCACCCACCCAACTCTAATACGGCCGAATCCTGCCTGGGAACAGAGCCTGCTCTACATTTGGACCCTGCTGATGCCAGCTGTGCCCCAGAGCCCCCACCTTAGCCTTTAAAGAGCCCCGAGAATCCTCAGTCCCTCACGGAGATAGGGCCGTTAGCTCTCTATTAACCTCTTTCTGCCCAGTTACTCTTCTCTGCGAATTCTTTCACAACCCGTGCCTTAAATCGAGAAAACCGCCAGGGCTCACCTAACAATGTGGGCTTCTTTTCAAACATTCACTTGGATGTAAAAGAAGCAAATGTGAGCCCTGGTCGGTCTGGCTCAGCGGTTAGAGCGCTGGCCCGCGGACCAGAGAGTCCTGGGTTCGGTTCCCGCTAAGGGCACGTACCTCGGTTGCAGTTTGTCCCCGGCCCTGGTTGGGTCGTGTGGGTGGCAGCCACTCGATGTGTCCCTTTCACGTTGATGTCTCTCTCTCTCTCTCTCTCTCTCTTCCTCTCTCTCCCTCCCACTCTATCTGAACAAAAAATAGAAAAATGTCCTCAGGTGAGGATAAAAAAAAAAAGAAGAAGAAAAACTGAGGATGCACAGTACTGTCTCCAGCAGAGGCCATCCTGACCACAGCTGACAAGATTTCCAGCGCCACAGGGAAAACCTACGTCCACCACAGCAGCAGCCGGGCTCTGGAACTGAACACGCCGGGTCCCATGTCTCGGCAGCCGCCCGAAGCAGGGGGCAGGCTCACCTACGAAGGCCAGGTTCCGCAGGTTCTCCAGCATCACGTCTCTGTAGAGGCGCCTCTGCTTAGGGGCCAGCAGGGTCCACTCCTCCTTGGTGAAGTTTAATGCCACATCCTTGAAGGTCACCGGGTCCTAAAATTAAACACCCTTTTTGGCTCATTGAGGTACGCTTCTGTTGTGTTATTTTTAAAATATTTTTCTTTATTACTTTACAGAGAGAGGAAGGGAGAAGGAGAGAGGGATAGAAACATTGATGAGAGAGAACATCAACTGGCCGCCTCCTGCATGCTCCCCACTGGGGATCGGGCCCATAACCTGGGCAGGCGCCTTGACCGGGAATTGAACCAGCGACCTCTTGGTGCATGACGCTTAACCACTGAGCCACATCGGCTGGGCTTCTCTTTTATTTGTCAATCCTCACTTGAGGATACTTTTTTCCATTGAACCTGCAATCCAGGTACATGCCCTTGACTAGGAATCGAAACTGTGACCCTTCGGTGCGAGGGCCAATGCTCTAACCACTGAGCAACACCTGCCAGGGCTCACTGAAGTACTCTCAGAGCTGAATTGTGTCCCCTCCCAAAGATATGTTGAAATCCTCCAGGACCCTGAGTGTGACCCGATTTGCAAAGAGGGCCTTTGTAGACGCGAAGGAGTTAAGATTCGGTCACACTGGAGCAGGGTAGGCTCCTGAGACGAGAAGACCAGGACAGAAGGAAGGACATCACACACAACAACGGAAGTGGAGGCTGGAGCGATGTGTCTACAGGACAAGTACAGGCTGTCCCAAGTTGTGACTAAAACTGTCCCACCTCACCCTGGCCAGTTTGCCTCAGAGAGTCGGCCTGTGGACCGAAGGGTCTCAGGTTCGATTCCTGCTCAAGGGCACATACCTGGGTTGCAGGTTCAGTCCCTGGCCCCAGTTGGGGTCATGCGGGAGGCAACTAATCAATGTGTCTATCTCACATGGATATTTCTCTCTCTCCCTCTCTCCCTCTAAAAAAAAAAAAAGAATCAATGGAAAAATATCCTCAGGGGAGGATCAACGAACAAAAAATTGTCTCACCTCTAATATGAAGGCAAGTTAGGCACAATCTACCAACATTTTATGTGCATTTACCCCTCGATCCAGCATGTGCTCGTAGGATTATACTATTGAAATATCCTGGCCTGAAAGCCAAATGACATACACATATAATTATTTATTTAAGGTGATTTCTAACAGCCAGTGAGTGGCAACCACCCCCAATATTCAAGAACAGGAATTGCTTGAACTCTAACCTGCATCCGCCTTACAAAGAAGTACACAGCGCCCTGGCCGGTTTGGCTCAGCGGTTGGAGCGTTGGCCTGCGGACCAGAGAGTCCCGGGTTTGGTTCCCGCTAGGGGCACGTACCAAAAAAAAAAAAAAAAAAAAAAGTACACAGCCACAGACACGAATGAGTAAAACCTCTTCTATGCAGATACAAAGTTATGTTCTGTGGTCTTCAGGTTATATTTTATATCTTAAGTGGAAGAAAAAAAAAAAAGTCACAGGATATGTACCGGAAACCACAGACTTATCAGTAAGACACAGGGTAGAGGAGACGAGAGAGTGGTAAGACATCTCAATAGAACCTTGTTATATAGATTTTTTTTTTTATCCTCACCCGAGGACATTTTTCCATTTTTTGTTCAGATAGAGTGGGAGGGAGAGAGAGGAAGAGAGAGAGAGAGAGAGAAACATCGATGTGAAAGGCACACATCAAGTGGTGGCCACTCACACGACCCAACCAGGGCCAGGGACAAACTGCAACCGAGGTACGCGCCCTTAGCGGGAACCGAACCCGGGTCTCTCTGGACCACAGGCCAACGCTCTACCCGCTGAGCCAAATCAGCCAGGGCTGTGAACCTCCTTTTGCCCCACCCTGTACATCAAGGTGGCAGGTCAGTGACTGGGAGTAGACAGTTACTTTGAGGCACTCGCGAACCTCAGGGTGTGAGATTCAATAAGAAAAGGAGCCAGACCCTCGCCAGGCGGCTTTACTGGGAAAAGTAATATTGTCACTGCTTCTTACAAATATTTCCTACTCACTGCAGGATCAGGCAAAGGGATTATGTTCATGTTAGGAAGCAAGATGTTTAATCTAAGAAGAACGATTCAAGTATAAAATAAAAAATGTTTTTAAAAGTCAGCCTCCTGCCTGGCCGGTGTGGCTCAGCGGTTGAGCAATGACCCATGCATGTACCAGGAGGTCCCTGGTTGGATTCCTGGTCAGGGCACATGCCCAGGTTGTGGGCCCGATCCCCAGCGGGGGGCATGCAGGAGGCGGCCAATCAATGTTCTCTCTCATTGATGTTTCTATATCTGTCTCCCTTTCCCTTTTACTCTCTAAAATCAATAGAGGAGAAAAAAAAAGATGTATTTTCTACTTAAAAAAAAAAAAGTCAGCTTCCTGGTGATGAGTACTGGGCCAATCCATACAGAGAAAATGGTTTGGAGGGGGCACTTGAGATCTTGCTCCCAGCATGTCATCAGTTTGGCTCAAGTAAACTCTTAAGACAATTTTTAAAAAGAAAGAAAGAAAATGGTTAGGACGGTGAATGAAGCAAAGAGAAACGGCTGACTCAGAAACAGGAAATAAGAGCTGGGAGGCCGAGACGCGGTGCCAGAGGCGGAGAAGCCATCGTGGACTGTGTCAAGACGATGCAGAGGCCCGGGCAGGCGTCTCTGGGTGGCTCCACTTAGACTGTCCTACAGCACAACATCCCGATCGCTTGAAATACCCTGCAGACTAAAAGCACGTGAACTTGGAATGATACTCAGGAAGGGAGTCAAAGGGCAACCGAAGAGCATTTTTCACCACTAGAGGGAGCCTGCGTCCTTAGTCGGAAACTTTGTTATTAAAGAAACTTGACAGAACTTGAGCTAAAAACTTAGAAACATACTTGTGTTGAAAAGCCAGCATTTTGCAACCCCGCTGAAATAACTAGTTCAAAAAAACAAACCTCAGTGAGGACATGGAGGTGTCTTATACAACGGCTAGAGTCACCATATTCATCCGAAGGCCACATTGCCAAAGGTGCACCGCTGCAAAGACATCCACCTTAATCTAATCTCACTTTAGGTCTAACTTTCAACCACACGCAGATCCACAGCTGGGACCACCGACTCCATCAGCCCGGTGACTTCAACAGTCAAGGTCATGAACAAGAGGAGGCAAGTCCCACTTAGACTATGAGACCTGTCGGAGAAACACCATTTATGCAGTGTGTTAGCATCCCGCTTAAGGGGAATCTAACTCCAAAAGATATTTTTGCTAGAAACGTGACATTCAAACTCCGGCCAGGTGGGTCATAACTTTTTTTCTTTATTGATTTGAGAGGGAGAGGAAGGGAGAGGGAGAGAGAGATAGAAATATTGATGAGAGAACATCGACTGGCCACCTCCTGCATGCCCCACACTGGGGATCGGGCCCACAACCTGGGCATGTGCCCTGACCAGGAATTGAACTGGTGACCTCTTGGTGCATGGGCCGACGTTCAACCACTGAGCCACACCAGCCAGGCTATAATTAAAAAAACAAAAACAAACAACAACAAAAAAAACACACAAGTGGCTGATTCCTCAATCTGAGGACCTACATGTTGCTTATATAAAATTCAACTGGAGCCCTGGCTGGGTAGCTCAGTTGGTTAGAGCATCCTCCGGATATGCCAAGGTTGTAGGTTTGATGGCCAGTGAGGGAACATACAAGAATCAACCAATGAATGCGTGGATGGGCGGAGCAACACGTCAACATTTCTCTCTCTCAAATCAATAAATAAAAATTAAAAACGAAACACATTGATCTAGTACATATTCAAAAATAAGTTGTGAAACAAAATACAGTTTACAGTTAAGTAACTCCATTGATTTATAACTCATTTGACTTTTTTTTTTTTTTTGGTACATGCCCCTAACCACTAGGGCCTAGCGGAAACCAAACCCGGGACTCTCTGGTCCGCAGACCGATGCTCCAACCGCTGAGCCAAAGCAGCCAGGGCTGACTTTCTTACTTTGAAATCATATTTTCTGGCTGTTAAAGAGAAAATCACAGGCCCAAAAAGGTTCTAAAAGCCTATGATACAAACCTAGATTTCATACCTGATTTTTTTTTTTTTTTTATCCTCACTCGAGGACATTTTCCCATTTTTGGTTCAGATAGAGTGGGAGGGAGAGAGAGCGAGAGAAACATCGACGTGAAAGGGACACATTGAGTGGCTGCCTCCAGCACGACCCAACCAGGGCCAGGGACAAACTGGCAACCGCGGTACATGTCCTTAGCGGGAACCGAACCGGGTCTCTCTGGACCGCAGGCCTATGCTCTAACCGCTGAGCCAAACCAGCCACGGCTCATACCTGATTTAATCTTGGTTTAAACCTTTCCCAGTAACATAGTCTTAGTGTGGAATTTTCTGAGCAAGTACCAGCAAGGTAATCTGCCCTCTCCAGCCCCCACATCAAGAGGCAATATGCATGATAAAATCACTTCTCATTCCCTTCCTCCAAAGAAAAGATGACCCAGCCCCTTAATATCCCTTTTTTTCCTTTTATCTGCAGCTCCCTTGCCCCACCCCGCTTCCTATAAATCTTTCCACCTTGTTCAGCCCCTCAGAGTGCCCTTATAGTTGCTGGATAGGATGCTGCCCAATTCATAGGTGGCTTAATTAGGTCTTTAAATGTCGATTTTTTTTTTTTTTTTTTTAAACACAGCTAAAATGACCTTGTCATGTCGAAATCTCTAGGGGCACACAAAACCTGTGTTCGTCCACTCAGAATGGGATTCCTACATCTTTTTTTTTTTTTTTTAATGTTTTTATAGATTTTTTTAGAGAGGAAGGGAGAGAAAGAGAAACATCAATGTGAGAAACAGATGGGCTGCCTCCTGCATGCCCCCCACTGGGGATTGAGCCGCCAACCTGGGCATGTGCCCTGACCAGGAATCCAACCGGGACCTTTCAATTCTCGGGAGGGTGCTCTATCCACTGAGCCCGGCGGGATTCCTACATCGTAAATACTTAAATATACCGATTCCATTTCTTTAGAACTATGCAACCGATTTGGGAGTATCCAAAAATTCAAATATTTATGTTGGGCCAGAAAGCCCCTAGTAATCGCTCCTTTGGACTCTCATTACCTCAGGTGTTCACAAAACAAAACGAGATGTGAGACTCAGGTAAAGTGATCAAATGCCTGCCTGGGGTCAAAAACAGAGGTTAGAGGCAGAGAATGTAGATTTACTCTGTGGGGATGTCAGACTCGGATGACGGGGGCTGCGGCAGAGTCGAAAAGTTTCTCTCTCTCTCTCTCTCTCTCTCTCTCTCTCTCTCTCGTTTACTGTTTACTGTTTTAAGACACCGAGAAACCTTGTGCTCTGAACATCACAGCCCACCTAAAACGTGGCTGTCTGACATCATAGCAGGAAGAAGGGACAGCCCACCCTTGCCTGGGGCATCTAAGTCCCTGGGTGGGAGACGCAGGGTTTCAGATAAGGGTTTGGACGCAGCATTCCGCAGCTATCTGCAGCTTGTGGTTTCCAAGGACACCGCCAGAAGGGGTGATAAATCCTCCGCTGTGGCTCGCTAAACGGCGGCTCCATTTCAGGGTACCCTTTCCCCGATCCGGTAACGAATGACCCCCACCTTCCCCGACCAGGCAGGGTCCTCCCGGCCCGCAGCAACCAGCGCAGCTGGGGCCGCAGCCCCGTGCCCGGGATCCCAGGTGCCTCAGCTTGGGCGGCCGGGAACCAGGGAAAAGCGGGTACAATCCCGGGGCAGCAGGTAGGAGGAACACACGCACCAGGCAGATGGGGGCCCCTGCACCCTCCTCCAACTGGTCCTTTTATAGACTCCCGCGTATGGGGGCCCTCAGTTACCCCAAAGGAAGAATGCCCCCCCCCCCCCGGCCCCATCGAACCAAACGCCAACCCTTTGTCTGGAGTCTGGAAGAACCCAACCCGCAGCCTTCTGGGGCTGCCGGGCCGTTTCCGCCCCCCCCCCCATCACCCCGACTCCGACACTCCACGCCTGTGTGGATCCCCAAAACACGGCCCCGCCGCCCTTGCATCGGAGTCTCTCCGGGCTCAGGGACGTTTTGCAAAGTTGCAGCCTCCCCCGACCCCAAGGCGAAGGGCGAATTCAGGGCGCAACACGTGGACCGCTCCGGGCCCCCCTGCTCCCCGGCGGGGAAGCGGCGTTTGCAGACCGCGGCTCCCCGCCCCCCGGAACCCGGCCCGGCCCGGCCCGGCTGCGACCCGCGGCCACACTCACCATTTCACCAGCACCCGCTCCGGGCGCCGCTCGGGAGCTCGCTCCGGGGCCGAGAGGGCTGCAGCGCGGCGGGCGCGGGCGCTGGAACCGTACCAGCGAGAGTCTTCACAGAAACCAACAAAAGGTGCCTCGCCCCCGCCCCAGGAGGGATGCAGGACAGAGGTGAGTCCTGCCCAGGCATACCGTATCTGCTTCCAGACCCCCTCCTCAAAACGGGCAGGTTAGGGGGTTCATGGGAGGAAGAGGAGCCAAGCAGGAAGGGCACCCCGGGGCCTGCACCCCAGCCCGCCCTCAGGGCCCGACCTCTCGGAGAGCAGGGTCTGACCCCGCCCCCAGGAGATTAGCAAAGCCCCAGACACTGCAGATCCTGGGAGGCACGGACACGCCAGCCTTCCTGCCTCCCACAGCCTTTGACCCTCACTGTCTCCTCCACCAGCCGCACGTTCCCAGACTTGGAACCCCGCTCCAGGAACACTCAGGATTGTCCTCCCGAAGTTTCCGTATTTCTAGTCTAAGGATTTTATATGGTAAGACCCCCAACAAGTCCCTTTGGGCTGAGCTGCTCAGGCTTTATGGAGGACAACAGATGACATGATGGCATCCTGACACACCTTACTGGGCTCTGATAGCAAAAACAATCTTAAAAACTTAATTTTTGTCACAAACAAGTGGATTTGAAATATCAAACCAACACACAATTTTTATGAAATGTCTCTTCATTTCTAGTAATGCAATTCTACCCTAAAGCTTACATTGTCTAATACTAATATATATATACCTGGTTAATGAACAAAATTCAACCGACTAAATTGGAAGATCTAATTGGCTTTACTAAGTGATTCATGATTAGGGCAGCATCCCATCTAGCAATTAGAAAGAAGGTTGTACAAATGGAAAGTTTTTATAGACACAAAGAGGGTGGTGTGGAGAAATTATGTAACAGGGTGTAGGGTATTAAAAAAAACTCACATATAATTAACTAACTAGTCAAGAATGAAAAATAAGACTATACTAAAAAAAACTTATAATCTAACATATTAATAGTTTCCTATTTGTGCATATTGCAGGCATCGGCTGTTCAGTTCCCCTTTTGCCAGCCTTGACCACAGAAGTGTAGCAGATGCCAATGGCAGGCCAGGCCTCTAACATCCTGTTTTCAGACATCAGCAATAAAACCTGCAGAGAGAGAGGAAAAAAAAAAAAAAAAAGCCAGACACTGACATACATGAAAGAGAACATCAAAACCACCCCGAGAGCTGAAATGTGAAACTGCACATCACCAGGATTCCTTAGTTCCCCTCTTCCCACAATCCCCCTATAAAAGCCCTTGCCTACCCTTAGATGTTAAAATGGTTGTTAAGGTATGAGCTTGCCATCTTCTCAGGTTGTCAGCACCTGAATAAATCACTTTCCTTCCATCAGCACCTCTGTCGTGTCTTTGGCTTCAGGGCAGCAGCTAAAGAATCTGAGGGTTGTTTTGGTTGGTTTCAATTATACCCTATCCTCATACATGTATAGCCTTCCCCCTTACCATCATCACTCATCAGAATGCTACTTTAAAAAAAAAATCAGAGCCCTGGCCGGTTTGGCTCAGCGGTTAGAGCGTCGGCCTGCGGTCCGGAGAGACCCGGGTTCGGTTCCCACTAAGGGCACGTACCTCGGTTGCAGTTTGTCCCTGGCCCTGGTTGGTTGTGCGGGTGGCGACCACTCAGTGTGTCCCTTTCACATCGATGTTTCTCTCTCTCTCTGTTCCTCTCTCTCCCTCCCACTCTACCTGAACAAAGAATGGAAAAATGTCCTCGGGTGAGGATGATTAAAAAAAAAATCAGAAATGAACCTACAGTGACACATCATAATCACCCAAAGTGTGAAGAACAAACACATGCTATGTGAATGTACAAAACGATTTTTCCCATTAGGCAGACCTCACTCCCTGGACTTTAAGAATAGCAAGAACTAGCAGCCAGAATTAATAGTTAACCATTATATTGTGTAGGTAACAATTGCAATTGTACAGACCGAAACTGCTTGCTCCCTCAGGCATAACGGCTAACTGCAGATATCTGCTTCTGTACATGCTTGCTTGCTCACAAATCTTTAGCCCAATTCCTTAACAGGGGCTAAGACAACTATATAAGCAACCCACCCCCTAAGTTCAGGGCTGCTCTCTCCTCTGAGTAGGATGGGACAGTCGCCGCGTGGCTAACAAAGCTCTTAATTTGAGCCCAGTTTGGAGTCTGAGTCTGGTCTGTCTCATTGGTCTACAACAAAAGTCTATTGTTTACCTTAGGGCTCACTCTTGATGTTGTGCCTTCTGTGGGTTTGGACACATGTATAATATATCATAATATCAAATATCATCCAGAGTATTTTTACCCCCTAAAAATCTCTGCTCTGCCTGATCACCTTCCCAAACTATATTTCTGTATTCATTAAATTCTAGCTCCCTATTTCCTTCCCATCCCCCTCGGCCCCTGATAACCTCTAGTCTACTTTTTTTTTTTTAATCCTCACCTGAGGATATTTTTCTATTTATCTGCAGATAGAATGGGAGGGAGATAAGGGGAGAAAGAAAGAGAGAGAGGGAGAGGGAGAGGGAGAGGGAGAGAGAGAGAGAGAGAGAGAGAGAGAGAGAGAGAGAGAGAAACATGACATGAGAAGGACACATCAACTGCTTGCCTCCCGCATGACCCTGACCAGGGCCAGGGACAAACCACAACCGAGGTACATGCCCTTGGTCAGAATTGAACCCTCAACTCATTGGTTCATGGGCTGACACCCTACCACTGAGTCAAACTGGCCAAAGCTCTAGTCTACTTTTTTTCTTTATTCATTTTAGAGAGGGAGAGAGAGATAGAAACATCGATGAGAGAACATCGATTGGCCATCTCCTGCATGCCCCGCTCTAGGGATTGGGCCCACAACCTGGGCATGTGCCCTGACCAGGAATGGAACTGGTAACACTTGGTGCATGGGTCGACACTCAACTACTGAGCCACACTGGTCAGGCTGTTTTTTTGTTTTGTTTTGTTTTTTTAACTATTTTTATTGATTTTTAGAGAGATAGGAAGGAAGAGGGAGAAAAATATAGAAATATTGATGTGAGAGAACTATCGATTGGTTGCCTCATGCACGCCCCCTACCAGGGACCAAGTCTGCAACCCAGACATGTGCCCTGACCAGGACTTGAACAGGCAACCTCTTGGTGCATGGGTGGATGCTCAACCACTGAGCCACACTGGCTGGGCCATATATTTCTCTTTGAAGAAGGTGCCTATCCCAACCTTGTAGCAGGAAGGGAAAAGTGACTCTTATTAGACAAGATTTGGAGTCAACATCAAGATGAGTTCACATGAACAGACCTTATTAATAGTCTGCATCTTGCCCTGGCCGGTTTGGCTCAGCGGTTAGAGCGTCGGCCTGCGGTCCGGAGAGACCCGGGTTCGGTTCCCGCTAAAGGCACGTACTTCGGTTGCAGTTTGTCTCCGGCCCTGGTTGGTCGTGTGGGTGGCAGCCACTCGATGTGTCTCTTCACGTCGATGTTTCTCTCTCTCTCTCTCCCTTCCTCTCTCTCCCTCCCACTCTATCTGTACAAAAAATGGAAAAATATCCTCGGGTGAGGATAAAAATAGTCTGCATCTTTCATTAGTTCTGCTCATATAGTTTCTAGTCTCCTCCCCCACCATTTATTGTCCCTTAAAACCCAAACCCTCTTTCCTTTGTTAAAAGGGTATATAAGCCCCCATGTCTGTTTCTTTGAGTTTTACTTCTTTTCTGTGAACTCCTGAGCATGTAACTATGAATAAAAATTGTGTGCCTTTTCTCCTGTTAATTCTTTTATTAGTTTAATTCACAGGGCCCAGACACTGAACCTAAGAGGAAGAGTGTAAGGTAGCCAGGCGCCGCCGGTGGGAGGTGGGAAGAAACCGAAGAGCCAAACAGCCGAATAAGCAGAAATCGGGCTTTATTGGGTACACTCCGGGTGGGTTCACAGACTCGGGGGGTCGAGTCCGAGAAGCCGCGCCCGATGCTGGGGTTTGTGATTTTTATATCTGCGCCTGTGGCAGCGGGAACTTGTTGTTAGGGTTAGGTCCCGAGGGGCTACGCATGGGGGCCCCTGGAATGTGAGTCTATTGTCCCGGAGCAAACAGTTCCTGGACTGGGACAGGAGAATGGGACAGGAGTTGATCTATGAGTTCGGGGCAAACAGTTCCTGAAACAGGGAGGGAGTCTAGGTTGGGTAAGCGAGGTAATGGCTGAACAGTTTGCCTGGCGCCAGTTCCCAGGCTCTCGGACAAAGAGGAAAAGGTTTTCCTTCTCAATTTGGGTAAATGGTTCAAGAAATCACAAATGGGGCCATAGCCAGGTAGCTCAGTTGGTTAGAGCATTGTCCTGATATGCCAAGGTATTGGGTTCAATCCTGGTTAGGGCACATACAAGAATCAATCAGTGAATGCATGAATAACTAGAACAAATTGATGTATCTCTCTCTCTCTCTCTCAAATAAATAAACTTTAAAAGAAATCATAAATAGGACAGATCCTGTAATTCTCTTCTGTAGTGACTGAGTGTCCTTTGAGATATGGAAAACAACTCTGTATTATCATATGACCCTATTCCCTGATTTGAAACTGCTCCACTTTGAAAATGAAGAAGCAAAAAGTTCCCCCGTGGCAGTTTAGTGTTTTCTCCTTCAGCATGACATTCCAAAGCTGTTGTCCGTTTTATAGTCATTGATCTTGTTTTATGGCTGAGTTTTATTTTTTTTTAAATGGGCACTTATAAATCAACACATTACTCGGAACTGAGTGGCTCAAAACAAAACAGATTTATTCTCTTGCAGTTCTGGAGGTCAGAAGTCTGACCTGGATCTCACTGGGCTAAACTTGAGGTATCAGCAGGGCTGATTCTTTCTGGATCCTCTAGGCATGAGGTGTGATTTATAATAAGAAACGTATAGTTGGTTCCTGGCACAGATCAGCTAAAACCCTTGGAATTTTCTCTGATCAGACCACAGAGGTGTCTTTTGCTGTCAATGAGGTGATTTTTGGAAAGCCCCTACTTAATCTAAGGATGGGGGTTGGTTTCCAGGGAACCAAGCATGTGATTAAAAGGTTGAAACTTGTAATACCCCCTCCCCCAAACACACACACGACCTCCAGAAAGGGGAGAGGGACTGAAGGTTGAATCAATCGCCCGAAGGGGTTAGTAACATTTCAAAGGATAAAGGTCAAACCCTGCAAAAGGTGGAAACTGTGAAGAATGTGTTGCTTTCATGACCTTTGCTCAGCCTTCTGTTGAGTAAGGATTATCGGATTATCCGCAAGGCAATGAATCACCCAGCAGATGCAGGGTGTCATGCGGACCAGTCCAACTGCAAAGTGGACAATGGGCCAGGCAGAGTACGTCAGTAGGAACTGCTGGAAGCTGGAAGCAGAGTATATAACCTACACCCCAACTGTTATCTGAGGCTGACTCCATTTTGGGCTCAGCCTGCCTGCACCCAGGCGCATGCAATAAAATCGTTTTGCTCGACATTGGCCTTGCGTTGTGGATATGACCTCCCACAGGCTCAGACCTTTTATCACCAACAGCCAATGATTTAATCAATCATATCTATGTAATTAAAACCCCCCAAAACAGGCATCAGAGAGCTTCCCAGTTGGTGGACACGGGACAAGGGAGAGTGGAGCCACCTGGAACAGAACAAGGTCTCCCCCTAGTGGGGAAGATGGACAATTAAAAGACACATGGTCCATGAACAAGATCATTTTATTCACTCTTTTTTTGTGTGGTATGTGCCCCCTAGTGGGAACCGAACCGGGACTCTCTGGTCCATAGGCCAACGCTCAACCGCTGAACCAAACTGGCCAGGGCTGAACAAGATCATTTTAGATATGGATACATTTCTGAAAAGAAATAATACAAAGGGATGGGATAGTTGCTGAGGTGGAAAGGGGTGCGGAGGGAACCCTCTCCTGGGAGGTGCCAGGAGCTGGATGGGCATTCCAGGAAGAGGGAATGGCAAGGGTGGAAACTGGGTCAAGCTGGTCCCCTTTGGGACCACTTTAGGTGTAGGTGAGGCAGGAGGGCAAGTGATGAGATGTGGCAGGACAGTAAGACACCCAGGAAACCCCTCATTGGCTGTAGCATCCCCGTCACCCTCTCCGACAGAGCTTTTCGGGATGATGGAAATTTCTAGATCTCCACACCCCAACACAGTACTTGATGGAAGTGCAACTGAGGAACTGCATTTTTCATTGTATTTCATTTTCACTAATTTAATTTAGCCTCATGTGGCTAGCTGCTACTGTACTGGGGAACACAACCAGACAACTTCCATAACACCTCAAAACACCACACTCTTCCCGTAACTCCCCTACTCTCCTCAAACCCCAGTGCTCCCTCCACGCCTCCACTGGCCTTCGTAGGAACCCCCTAATCGCACTACGCTCAAACAGCCTGCTCCTCCTGTCTTCCCTTTTTCTCCCCACGAGCTCTTGTTGCTCCCAGCATGGCCTACTTCTGACTGGACACTTCACAAAGGGAGTTCGCAGGTCACATGATAGTCTCCAGGGCCAGACAGCCTGGGTCCATATCACACCACTTCCACTGTGTGATTGAGGCCAAGTCGCTTAACCGCTCTGCGCCTCAGTGTCATCTGTAAAACTGGGGGGCTAACAGTAATGCTACCTCACAGGGTCATGGGGAATCTTCAATATGGTGCTCAGATAAAGCGCAGATGGGAAAGTAGTTCATTATATCATCTGTTCTACTATGGCATAGGGTTGAAACATTTTAGAATAAAAAGCTTTTCAAGACAAACACACTGAGCATAGCCCTGGGCATACAGTCAGTGCTGATGTTAGCACTGGCTTTAACATCTCTCCTTTTCTTGAGTCTCCCCAGCTTCTCTTCCTACAACCCAATTACTCTATAATGCCCCACAACACCTATAATAGCTCATCCTTTCCAAACACCCCAATTCCCCCAAATTAGGGTTCCCAGGTAGAAATACAGGATGCCTAACTGAATTGGAATTGCAGATAAACGACAAATAAGTAAAATACTATGTGTTGCGAAATTCAAGTTTAACTGATTGCTTTCCCCTTAAATCTGGCAACCCTACCCCAGTGCTGAAGCTGTCTCCAGGGGGTACTGAGTTGGTCTAAAACAGTGCCAGGATTAATGTACAGAATACCCCAATTCCTTGTAAAACTTCCAACTTCTCCACATCGCTCTAGTTCCCCTCCATTGCCCGCCTCCCCGGGAGGACGACACCCTCTTTTTCCTAGAGCACCCCGACTCCTCTATAGTCATATCTATCCCGCTCACCACTTCCCAAATCGAGCTGTGCCCCGCACAGACTGGGACTTTCTGGGTGATAAACGAGTTTGACATTCGAATTTTCCCACCTGCATGTCCGCTCCCCGCAAAGCACCGGTCAGCTATAGCACACTCATTTCCCCAGTCACCACCCTGATTCCCTCATCGCACCCGACATCCCTAAGACACGCCCACTCCTTCAAAACTCCACTTCCCCTGGAATCACCCCAACTCCCCTTCTCCAGCCGGTGCCTCCATCACACTCCCCAGGGGCACCCATTTTCCGGTTACTCTATCCTCCCCGGATATCGCTAACACCTGTGCTCTCCCCGGGTCCCCTTCGGCTCCGGGGTTACCGTGGCAACGTCCACCGACGCTTCCGCCCCCCTCCTCCCGCCTTGATCCTCCGCGCGTTCCGAGCCCGGCCCGTCACTATGGAGACCGGAGCGGTCCTCTCGGTTCCCCTCCGACCCCGAAAGCCGGGCGAGACGAGGGGCCTACAATGCTCAGCGAGCAAAGGGTCCTCCGCATCCTCTGTCCCCATCCTCAGTGCCCCCGCTCGGCGCTCAAAAGGAGCGCCGGGGCAGCCGATTGCACTGCGCAGGCGCTCAACTTGGAAGGCGCCGGCGGCGCTCAGCCTGCTGGGAGTTGTAGTTTGCAAGAACAGACGGCCACTGGGTGAGCGGGATGGGACTAAGAACAAGGCTATTGAAGCTGGGAGTCTCCTGGCAGGCTCAATTGTTACCACAGCAACGATGAAGCCTTAGCTCTTCTAGCCACTCTGCCATTTATATTCTTTCATCTTTCTAACTCAGTGTTCACGGTTCAACAGACGCTGTTCTGGGTACTGAGAGATGTTGGGAAACAAAATAGAGCTTATATTTTGGTGGGGGCAGATTGACTACGTATTAAAAATGGGGAACACAGACCAATGGAAAAAGGGTATGTTGATGGGTCATTGAGATCCTCTGGGTGAAGCAGAATATTAGAACACTGGTACACACGCTCCTTCATGTATCCTGGGATATGTACTCTTATCCTCAAACTTCAACGAAGAGAGAATAAGCAACCACATGTCACATAGCAAGTGAGTAATGGAACTGGGATTTGTAATGGAGCACCGCTAAACTGGTAAAGAGCAACGTGGTATAATTTCAAGAAGTGCCAAGTGTTGTAAAGACTACTGTTGACTCTAGATAAACTGTTCAGGGATGGTCTTTGGAGGTGGCGCCTTTTGAACAGAGGCCTGAAGGGGTCAAGCTGGGCATGTGGGGCATGTAGAGGTTCAAGAATTACTCAGGAGGAAGCCTAAGCTGCCATGGAGATGGATTCATTTTGGGCCCCTTCATTCCATCTGGCCCCAACAGGCCTCATTGAAAGTGAAGGAATGCTGGATGGATGGATCATCTCAATTTCCCTCTGGGTCTGGGCCTCTGGTCCTCCCTCAGACGCCAAGAATTCAGCATGGAAACCAAAATAATGCTGTTTTATTCCAGTCTTGAAGCACAATAGTCCTGATTGTTCCCCTCCTCTGCTGGAGGCCCTCAGCCCAGCCCGCCAGACTCCCAGCCCCCACTCTTGTTCAGTCTTCCGGGAATGACCAATCCAAAGGTGAAGGGCACCCAAGCCTCCAGCCCTTGGAGAAATAATCCAAATCACCCCCCATTTTCTTCTCTCCCTATCTCCCACACTTTTCTTTGTTGTGTCTCCTCTTCTTCTTCCCCCTCTTCCACCCTTGGCTTCTTCTTCCCTTCCCCCTCTCCTGCCTCCCTCTGCTTTTCCGTTTCCTCTCCATTTCTGCCACATCTCTTGCCCTCTCTCCTCCATTTGTATCTCCTCATTGTCTCTTCTCCCCTTACCTCTCTTTCATTTGTCCTCAGACTTTCTTCCCTGCTTTTCCACTTCACCCCTGGTGCCCCTGGACTTGACCAGTCTACTCCTGCCAGGCTGTCCTTGGAGCCTGGTGTCCTCCCCTCTCTGTTTGTCCCTTTCTTCCTTCTGCCCTGGCCTGACCCTGTCTATACCTCTTCCTCATATTCTGAGGAAACCCTCAGAATCCATCCTGGCCGCCACCATTCCACACCTGTGGCTCCAGGACCTTGGAGACCACTGATAACTTCCTCTAGACCCAGAGAGGCAAACTGCCAACATGAGATTCCTGGGTGACCCAGGAGGTAGCCAGAGGGACTGGGGTGGCCTCCTTGGCCTCACCCTTGTTATCTTTGGGATCAAAGAGTGCCCCCCTGCCCTCGCAGTGGAGGGCGGAGGGCAGGGCCCTGAGGGTCAGGACTCTGGGGCTCTCCCCCAGCAGTCCCTGAGCAGGTCCACGTGGAATAAGGCTGCCCCGGTGAGGAGACGTGCCGCGAAGAGGTGGCGGCAGGGCAGACGCCGGGCCGCATGGATGGAGCAGCTGCAGCGCGTCAGGGCCCCATCCAGGAAGAAGTCTGAGGTGCCATCTTTAAGGGCAAAGCCAGCTCCAGTCATATGGAAACCCCGGGCCCCATGCTGCCTGGCAAAGGACAGCTCCTCGGCCACCAGGTCTGCCAGCTCTGGCCCACAGGCTGCTCGGAACTTGGCCAGGGGCTCCCAGTCCACCTCCTTCTCTCCTGAAGGGCAGCAAGGTCTCTTTGGTTCCCTCGGGCCTTCTCCTTCAGTTCCTTCCTGCAGGCTGTCCCCTGTGGCCAGGTACACTCTTGTTACTGCCCATTCTGGATCATCCTCAGGCACAGTGCCCACAGGGGCACCATACAGGACTCCATTCCCCAGCCCTGGACACCTTCCTCTTGTGTCCACACATTCCCCTCCTTGCCCTCCTCTGCTCTTGGGACCCCCAGGCTGAGTTCCCCCTCCACCTCCATTCTCTAGGCCTGTGACCCTTGTGTCCCCTAGCTGGACCAGAACTACATCCTCCAGGTCCCTTCTTCTTTTGACCCCCACCCTCACTCCTCTCTCTTCTCTAATTTCTGGCCCTCTCCTGTCATCTCCCCAGTGGGGCCCCCTTTGCTCTCTGTTCTCAGAGACCAACTCCAGGGGCTTCCCCAAATGGCCCTCCCTCCAGTTTCTGCCCTCCAGCCCCGCTACATTCTCTGCTTCCACCTGAAGCCCCTTCTGGTCTCTGACTTTCAGTGCGGAGACCTTTGCATCACGAACCTGGGCCCCTGCGCTGGTGCTCCCTTCCGGACCCCGGGCCCTCTCATACTCGCACTGGGCTCTCCTCCAGTCTGTGGTGTGCAGAACTCTGATCCTTCGATCCTCCAACTGGGCCATCCTCCAGGTGCACCCTTCCAATCTTTTCAGCCCCTGGTCCTCCAAGTGGGCTCCCCTCCAGACATAACCTTCCAGCCCCCAGTCATTCTCACCCTCCAACTGGGGCCCCCTCCAGTCCCTGACCTCTGGCCCTCTCGAGTGCTGGTTCTCCAACTGCGACCTTCTCCAGACACTCCCTTCCAGCCCCCTCACCTTCTGGTTCTCCAGCTGGACCCCTCTCCAATACCGGATTTGCAATTCTCTCTCTTTCTCGCTTTCTAACTGAGCCCCACCCTGGTCTCTGGTCTCCAGTTCTCCGGCCCACTCCTCCAAGTGGGCGCCTCTCCAAATACCTGCATCCATTGGGGCCCCTCCCCAGTCTCCGTTCTCCGGGCCCTTTGCCCTCTGGTTCTCCACCTGGGCTCCCCTTCCCCGCTCGCCCTCCAGCCAAGGCCCCCCACGGGAGGGGCCATCGGTCGCCACCTCTCCGGAAGCGTCGGCCCACTGCATGGCCACCAGGTCGCGAAGGCACTGCGCCATGCTGCGCGAGGGGCTGAGGCGGCGCAGCAGGCGCCGGCGGTGGCCGCGCACGAGCGCACACGCGTCCAGATCGCGGGCTGCCTCGAAAGCGCGGAAGCGCACCCACATGTCGCGACGGGACGCCCAGTTGCGCTCGAAGTAGTCGACGAAGGCAGCTGGACCGTGGGCGCGCAGCTCTGCCAGCGCCTCGGCATAGGCGACAGGTGACAGGGCGCCCGCAAGACGACACAAGCGCGGCCACAGGCCCGGGTCCTCCCGGCCGGCGCCGCCCAGCTCCTGCGCCTTACTGAAGAGCGTCTCGAGGCCCTGTGCGCGGCAGATCTGAACGCGCGCTCCCGGCAGCAGCTGGCGCACGGCGGACAGCTGCGCCGTCACCTCGGGCCCCGCTGTCAGGCAGCGCACGCGGCCCTTGACATCCGGCGCGCTCTGCAGCAGCGAGGCCAGCACAAAGCGCAGCAGGCTCGGTGTCCCCGGGCGCGCCACGCAGCAGGCGGCCTGGCGTGCGCGGCCCGCGCCGTCCACGCACAGCACCGCCAGCAGGTCCAGCGCGCCCTGCAGTCCTGGCAGCCGGTCCACCAGGAGCATGCGCGGGAAGCGCCGCAGCAGAGCCCGTGTGCGCGATGTCAGGAAGAACACGGTCTCCACCACCGCCTGGTTCTCCATGAACACCAGCTTCACCTGCGGGCCGGGGCAGGGAGGCAGAGAGGCAGGGAAGGAGGTCAGGGTGTGCCGGGGGTTGCCACACCCAGCTCCCCGACTTCAGTTTTCCCGGTTGGGGGAACTGGGAATCCATTCATTCACGCGGGCATGCAGTTATTATTTTGACCGGCAGGAGGCAGTGCAGGGGAATGGTTAAAAATGTGGGCTCTGAAGGCCAGTTGCCTGGGTTTGCGATCCTGGCACCGCCATCTAATAGCTGTGTGATTTTTGCACATTAGATAGCCTCTCTGAGTTTTAGTTTTTCCTGCGGGAACAAGGTCTTCATTCCTTCATGTGCTGAGAGGCAGGCTAAGGCAGTGGTTCTCAGGTGTGGGCCCGGGACCAGCAGCATCAGCATCACCTGGCAGGATCTTGACAGAATGCATATTCTCAGGCCCAACCCAGACCTGCTAAGTCAGAAACTCTGGGGGCGGGGCCCAGCACCCTACTGTGCCAAACCCTGACAGCCCTTGGTCTGGTAAGAAGCACACAGACCACGGAGCCAGACTGCTGAGGTTTGAGTCCGGGCCCCACCACTTTCTAACCTTGTGATTTAACCTCGGTGCCTCAGTTTCCTCCTTAACCTCCTCGTTCCCCAATTCTCCTTTCTGGGAACTGAATATTCACCCCCGCGTGCACAGAGAGTCAGACCCAGCAGAGTCTGGAGCCCCACTGCCTGGGCTGAGAGGCTGGAGACCTAACTTCCGGGCTGTGTGGCTTCCGGCAAGTTCCCTGACCTCCATCTCATTTGCAAAACGATAGTGATGAGAATATCTCTGTGATTGGAAGGATGAAATCAAAGCATTATAATGCTGCCCAGCACAAATAACATTACAAACAGAAAGTGCCCTCGAAGTGTTCGTTATTACTATAATCATCATCTCTGCTCAAAGACCGAGTCCTCATGTGGTCTTCTCTGACCATCCCAGCTGCAAACACTCTGGCTCTCTCGAACCCCTTTTGGCCTTGACACTTACCACCCTGAGGCACGGTATGCCTTTATTTGCTGACTTGCTAATGCCTGTTTGCACTCCCTCAGATGTAAGCCCCTCAGGGATTTCGTTGCATTTCACACACTTGGCCCAGAGCAAGAGCTCAGTACATCCTGAATGAGGGAATGCGCAGCGACACCCAAGGCCCACGTCCCTGGAGTGGAGGTCCAGGGTACACAGTGCGATTTGAATCCTGGCTTTGCCTCCTAGGAGCTGTGAGGCCTTGGGCAAGTGACTCCCCTTGCGTTTCAGCCTCAGTTTTCTTGACTGCAAAATGGAGATAATAATGCCTAGTTAACAGGGTCATGGTGAGGCTAATGAGATCATTTCTGTCCAAAGCTTGGAACAACGGCTGGCATGTATCAAATTCCAGCTATTATTAGTCTTACTTTTGCTCGCAGCAGCATTCAGGATGGTGTTCCTGCCTCTTTCTGCAACACAAGGTCTCTCTTGGCTTCTGTCACCCTGAAAATGCCTGGTGTTCCTCCTTCCTCCCAGGCATCTCCTTTGCCCCCTTCCTCCTCTGCTTCACCTCTAAACGTTGCAGTGCACAGAACTGACCTGCCCTCTCCTCTTTCCTTGTCTGGGCTCTGCCAAGGTGATCTCATCCAGTCGCAGCTGTCATCACCTCTAAGCGGTACCCCCAGTTCTCTATCTCCACACTGCGGACCTGCCTGCTTCACGGCCTCTGCGGCAGCCCGGCCCCTGGACAGCTCACACGGCTCTTGAGACTGCAGGCCCAAAGCCACGCTTGCCTCTCCTTCTCCCAACCTGCCCCTCCTCGGTCAGCCCACGCCTGTCAATGGCTCCACCATCCGCTCCATAGCTCAGGCTCCGACAACCAGGGCTGGTTTTTGGCTTCCCTCTTTCCCTACCCTCTGCACATGATCCATCCTTAAGTCCTGGAAGTGACCTTCCTAATGAGTCCAGAATCTGACCACTGTCCCCTCCCCCATGGCCACTACCGTGTCTCCCCTGGATTACTATAGCCACCTCACTGGACTGCCTGTCTCCACCCAAACCCCCTTGTCTGTTCCCCACACAGTGCCAGAGGGGCATTTTCAAAACTCCAACCAGTTCCCCTTTCCCCTGCTTAAAAGCCTTTCCCAGGACGCTGCATCACGCTTGAAGTACAATCCCGAGCTGACACCGTGCCGTGGCTGGGCAGTCAGGCCTCTGGACCTCATCTTCTGTCCCTCTCACTTGGCTTGGCCTCAGCCATCCTGGCCTCATTATATTGCACAACAGCCTCTAACGGAGCAGGGAGACTAGCAGCTATGAGTTAGGGCCCCTGCACCGGCCAGACGGTCAGGGCTCCTTCAGCCAGTCCCTGTCGGAGCTGACCCACAGCTGCAGAACCAGGACCCCAACACAGCGTAAGCACAGTCCTCCCCACAGACGGTTCTGCCGTAACCCGATCTCATTCCACAGGACTGCTCAAAAGCGCAGCATCGTTCTCGGCTTTTTTTGGGGAGGGAGGACTCAAGAAAAAAAGTCTAGTAGGATCCAAAGAGAACAAAGCCATTGCTTTCCTGACCCTGAAATCATCATTCAGCATCTTCAGTAGTATTGCAACTCAGTAGGAACGCAATACATTCTACGAAAAAGCCGAGTGAGCTTACCACTGAGTTAGTTACACCATTGTAATTTGTTTCAACTGTCATTCATGTTTATGCTATTACTTTACGATTTATCTCAGCAGAAGTTTCGATCTAGAACTGCTCCGTCCATTGGCCACATGTTGCCATTTAAATTAATTAAGCTTTGAAAATATATTTTAAAATATCAATCCTTTGACACTAGTCAAATTTCAAGTGCTCAAGAACCACACGAGGCCAGTGGCTCCTCTACTGGAGGCCCCAAATCCAGAACATTTCCATAATCACAGAAGGTTCCATTTCTGGTCTGGACACTAATGGAAAGGTAAAGTCAATGGATGTTAACTAGACTTATTGTGGAGATCATTTCACAATATATACAGATAGTCAATCACATTGTACCACCGAAACTAATATGTTATATGTCAATTATACCTTTAAAAAGTCCATCTACATATAATGGGTTAAAACAAATTTATATACTGCTGTAGAACTAGGGAAGTTCTTATCTTTTTCTCCTTGGGAGTTAGGAATCACAGAGAAAAAGCAAACACAGCGAAATGTATTTGCCTTGAGACTTGTCCAGGGCTGGCCAGCACTCAACTAATTAGAAACTGACTTCCATTCTTAATCCCAATCAGAAAAATTAGATTTCTGATTCTCAGTTTTCTTTCTAAAGAGGGCACACGAGCTTTTTTGAAGTCATCCGTTCGTTAGACAGAATTTATTGAGCACCTATTGTGTGCCGATGCTGTGCTGGGCCTCAGAGAGACAGAAGGGACAGAGGCAGGCCCAAGTCCTGCCCTGTTGGGCTGGCCGAGTCTCTACGAACAATAGCACAACCCGGGTTAAGTTCAGCTGTGAGGCCCACTGATTGGTTAGTCAAGAGTTTCTGGGCCCTGGAACCAGATGGTGGGGAGACGGATCCAGGTTCCTCTACTTACTAGCTGTGTGAATTTGCACACCAGCTGTGTGATCTAGGAGAAGTTTCCGAACTTCTCTGTGCCTCAGCTGTTCCCATCTGCAGAGAGGGGGAGCAGGATTGCATCAACCCTGAGAAGTCACTATGAGGATGAATGGGTTAACCCACATGACGCAGGTAGAACCGTGCCTGGCAAGAGGTCTGAGTTTATTGAGCGTCAGCTGTTGTTATTATTACCTGAGAGTGGAGGGCGTGCTAATGAGAAAGCCCAATGAAACTGGGAGGGGACCATTATTTTCCTTATGTTGCAGATACGGGAACGGAGGCTGAAAATTCTAGGTGTGCAGTAAAGATGAACTCAGCAGGTCTGGGTTGGCCAAACCCTGCACATCCCAAAGAAAGGTTTGGCCTCTAAGCCCTTGGAATGTCCTGTCTGAGAAGAGAGTCATTGTTTATCTGGGGGCCTTGGGCCCCTGTGGAGAGATAGTCGATGCTAACAGGGTGATTTATGGGGGGGTCTTGGGATACCCAGGATCACCTTGACCTCTGGAGGGGCTGAGGTCAAGACTAAGGCCAGCCTCGCAGGCAGGCACGTCTGTGTGCCGGAATCCCACCTGCACACCAAGGCTCAGGTGAGCCTCCCTGGTTGTCACATGTCATTGCTGGGGGGACTGAGCACTGTCCTCACAACTCCACTGAGAGAGACAACTGGAAGCCGGTGCCTGGTCTCTCCCCACACTGCCCAGGAGCCTCCTCCCTCTGCTGATTCTAATCTGCACCCTTTCACTGGGATACACTGTCGCTGTGAGTGGGACAGCTTCGCTGAGGCTGAGTCCTCATCAAACCCCAGCGCGGTTCGGAGCCCGGCTTCGCCGGGAGAGTGAGTGCTTGAGGCATGGAGCTAACACGTAGCAGGGCTGGGGCGGAAGTTCCGAAGAATGGAGGGAAGAAAGGAAGTGGGGGGAGATGTGTGGGTGACACTTAAAGGGTATGGTGACATTTGATGAAGGCGGAGGATACATGAGTGGAGGACTTTGCCTACCAAATGTTTACTGAGCAAATATGATGTGCCAAATGCTGGTTCAGGCACTGAGTAGGGTCCCCCGACCCTTAGACGGGAAGGGACAGCCTGCAGAACAAAGCGGAATGCATGTGTCACATGCTGAGGATGGACCCTGCACACGAAGCCATTTCTCTGTGCCTGGCACAGGGAACCCTTTCAGTCCTCATGTACCCGCGCACAACGGGTGCTGTAGTTGCCATCCCTGGTTCTCAGCGGGGCAAAGGAGGCAAGACGGCCTCAGCTGCCTGCCCAAGGTCGCGCGGTAGTAAGCAGCAGAGCTGGGATGGGAACCCGGCAGCTTGGGCCCGGGGCCCACGCTCCTGACCGCTGCACCCTGCAGCCTTCACAGCAGGTGGTCACACAGGCCTGACACAGAGGTTTTTGGCTTGAAACACACCGATGGCGGTGCACGCGTGGTGGAGCAGCCCGGAGAGGAGCAGACCTGAGGACCATCGGAGACCACACCACTCAATACTTTCCACCCACACCTCTTCCTGTGAGTGTCCGTCCTCCTTACACAGCCCACGATCAGATCGACCCTACTGTCCAGACTACCCCGAAGAATCGAAGGAGTAAAATTAATGGCGAAACATTCAGGGCTCCCTGTTTTCTGGGCGCTGTTCTTTACATACACACTTGATCCTCCTACAACAACCCTATAATCCTATGAAGCGGTACCTATTACTACCCTGATGAACAAACTGAGGCTCGGAGAGGTTCAATAATTTGCCTCCAGCTTACTGGATGCCCCATAGCCAGTGAATGGCACAGTCGGGGTGTATCTAAAGCTCTTAGCATACAGCGATATAAATAAAATCGAGTTTCCGGTTGCTGCTGCGTCACCCGGATCTGGCTGGTGGGATGTAAAAGGAGGCTACATGCAGAGAACATTTCCCTGGGGAGCCGTGCAAAGGCCGACTTAGCTGCGAGAAGGCTGGGTGGCGACGGAGCAGGGAAACGTGCCCAGATCCACACAGGTGCAGGGAGAACCTGGGCCAAATGGCCCCCTCTGAGCCTGTGGTTGCCATGGGCCAAGCATCATGGCTCTCCCGTCCCAGGCTCTTGGCAGGACTGAGCCTCTCTGCCCTCTGGCAGTCAGTCAGGCAGGGTCCTGTGATCTGCGTCGGCCCACAGGGTGTGAGAAGGAGCGTCAACAGCCCTTCCTGACAGACGGGTACTTATGGGGGATGGCCCCCCACCTTCCTGTGCCTAGATGGCACAGCCGTGGTGCTTTTATGGTTCTGGTGATGCCTCCAGAATTGGGTCCAGAGCACTGTCCCCACCTCCACCTCAGGCTCAGTCCTCATTTCCCCCGTGCCGGGACCTCCTTCACGATGAAAGAAAAGCACAGCCGGGGGGACAAACCAGTTTTCTTTCCTTCTTTTCTTCTCTCCTTCCTTCCTCACCTCCCTTCATGTCCACCCCAGCCCTGAAGTTGGATCAGAGAAGCAGGAAGATTCCTCATGGGGGACCAGCATTCTCGCCGTCCCTCCAGCCCATGGAGCTTGCTCCTGCCTGAGCCTCTGCACTGGCTAGTCCCTCTGCCAGGAATTTGCTTCCCTCTGAAGACAGAATGGGGGTCCACTAACCGTCCCTCTCCTCATATGTAGTGTAGCACTCTCCCATCTAATGCTTGATCTGGAGGCGGGGTACCGGGGTGTGTTCACCTTGTGAGCACGCACCAAGCTGTATACTTATCATTCATGCATTTCCTGTATGTGTAGTTCTGTTTTAAAATGCTGTTGTTGTTTTTTTTAAACAGTGCCTCCCATCACTTCAAATCCTCTTCTTCCTTGCATTCAACAGTACTGACATTGTATCATATTTGGATGTGGCTGTCTGTCGTTGGTTTCTCCCACTACAACCTCAAGCCGGTTCCAGCAGTTACCTCTGCCAGGTGGCCAATAACCACCAGTGGCTATTGAAATTTGTTAGTTACAATGAAATAAAATTTAAAATCCAGTTCCTCGGTCCTACTGGCCATATTTCCAGTGCTCACTAGCCAGCTGTGGCTGGGGGCTAACCTGCTGGGCAGCACAGAATCAGACCACTTCCAATCCGCAGGAAGTTGTACTGAGCGGCGCTGCACTAGGGGCCGCTGCACTAGAGGGCGCTGCACTAGCGGTCGCTGCACTAGAGGGCGCTGCACTAGGGGGCGCTGCACTAGCGGTCGCTGCACTAGCGGTCGCTGCACTAGAGGGCGCTGCACTAGGGGTCGCTGCACTAGCGGACGCTGCACTAGGGGGCGCTGCACTAGGGGCCGCTGCACTAGAGGGCGCTGCACTAGGGGGCGCTGCACTAGCGGTCGCTGCACTAGCGGACGCTGCACTAGAGGGCGCTGCACTAGGGGGCCACTGTGTACATCTTGGAGCTGCATCCCCACTACTTCAGAAAGTACTTATTGAATGCATGCATGAAGGAATGAATGAAAGGAGTGAATGGATGAGTAGGAGGTGAATGAACGAATGGCCCGCCCCAGCCTGCCTCTCCCGAGACCCCACCTTGGCCTCAGGGTCGGTGTGGAAGAGCCCCTCCAGCACGCGCAGGGCATCAATGACGCTGTGGTCACGGTCCTTGCAGTAGGCAAGCAGGCGGTGTACGTCGGCCGGGGCCAGGAACTGCTTGGAGATCTTGTTGGTGGTGCGCACTGGCAGGCAGGTGTTGGCCAGCAGGCGACCCGGGCGGAAGTAGTAGGCGAACTCGATGGGGCAGGCGGGGTGCGAGTGGGTCAGCTGGCACTCCGTCACCACCAGGCGGTCCCGCAGTGGGCTCAGCTTGACGATGATGAAGGCAGGGCAGCCGGCCTCGTGGTGCCTGCGGGAGGAACCACCGCGGCCGTCACATCACCCTGCTGCCCTCTTCTGCCTTCTCTCTCCTTTTTATGATCAGTTTTAAAAATTAAGGATGGTTTCAAGCACAGAGAAGAGTTGAGGGCCCCAAGAACATCAGGTGTCTGACCTCAGGCAAGTCACTTCAGGTCTCTGTGCCTCAGTTTCCTCACTCGTTAATAAAGAGGTTATTTCGTAATAGCTTTCTTGTAGGGTCGTTGTGAGGATTGAAAGAGTTGCTATACAGAAAATACTTAAAAACAGTGTCTGGCCCTGGTCAGGTGGCTTGGTTGGAGCATTGTCTCATACACCAAAAAGTTTGTGGGTTCGATTCCCGGGCAGGGCACATACCTAGGTTGCGGGTTCAATACCCAGTAGGGATGCATACAGGAGGCAACATATCAATGTTTCTCTCATATTGATGTTTCTCTCTCTCTCTCTCTCTCTCTCCTTTCCTTTTTCTCTAAAATCAATAAACATATCCTTGGGTGAGGATTAAAAGAAAAAAACCAAAACAGTGTCAGGAAGGTTTGCTGCAATTCTGTACCCACCACCCCAGCACTATCAAAAGTGAGTGAATGTTTATAATATTAACCTCAAATCATTTTATGAAAAAATATCTCAGATATTCCTGTATCTGCTTCTGATTTAGCAAGAACAACATAGAAAGTTGAGGCCCATTGTGAACTGCCCAAGAGAGTCTCCTTCCTCCCTCTGTGCCCAGACAGCCAGGAGCACCTGTGTATTGTGTCACCATATGTTTTTAGGCACCCATAAACAAGGGGTGTTAGGTTCCTATGTTTTAAAACTCTGTATACACAAAAAGGTGCTCAAACTCTTTAGTCATCGAGACAATACAAATTTAAACCCTAAGAAAATGTCACTCCACACCACCAGTGTGACCAAACCAGAAACTGATAACATCAAGTGTTGACGAGGACATGGAGCAACTGGAACTCTCATTTGTCATTGACAGAAGTGTAAAATGGTACCGTCCCTTCTGGAAAACTGCATGGCAGTATTTACTAGCATCAATCATGTGCCTCCCTCTGAGGATGGGCACTGAGAGATTGTACTAACTAAATACTTGAAACAACCCAAATATACAACAGAGTAGGAAAATATGTTGTAATATATTCCTAAAAACAAAACCAAAATTAACCCTGGCTGGTTTGGCTCAGCAGTTAGAGCATTGGCTCGTGGACCAGAGAGTCCTGGGTTTGGTTCCCGCTAAGGGCACATACTTCAGTTGCAGTTTGTGCCTGGCCCCAGTTGGGGTCGTGTGGGTGGCAACCGGTCAATGTGTCTCTCTCACATCGATGTTTCTCTCTCTTGCTCTTTCCCTTCTTCTCTCTCTCTAAAGATCAATACAAAAAAATCTTAAAAAAATAAGAATGAACCAACTATTACTATCTCTAGCAACGGGGGTGGATCTCACAAACTGTGTCAGAAGGCAGACCCAAAAGGGGACCCACCACATGACTCGTTTAAAGAAAGTTTGACAATAGAAAAAGCTGTCTGTTGGCAATAGATGGATAGTGGTTGGCCCTGAGTGGTTAACTCTCTGGGGACGTCTGATGTGACTTCTTGGCATTGGACATGTTCTGTCTCTTGTTCCAGGTGCTGGTTACCTGTACATTTTATTTTGGGAGAACTCATAAAGTTGCACACGCATGATGTGTGCACTTTTCTGAATGTGTTACGCTTTTTCTTTTAAAGTTTTCTTCTGTGAAGCTGTCTATCTTGGCAAAGACTAGTATGGCCCCTCTGGAGTTCCAGGATCTCATATAATCATCTACTGGGGCAATCTGTCTTCACGTGGCTGGGGGAACAATGCCACCCACCTCTCAATGTAAACTCCACACAGGCAGGACTTTTGTCTGTTTTGTTTACCCAGCACCTAGAACAGCCCCTGGCTTCTGGAAGGTGCTTAGTAAATCTGCGATGAGCAAATGACTGGATTCCATTGTATGATCCCAGGCACCGAGGCATGCAGACCACTCATTTGTCAAAAGCACCTGTCACCAAGTCCTGCCCATCATGCCTTCTACACTCTCCAAACCATCCACTTCTATCCATTCCCACTGCCACCAACCTACTGTAACTTCTTTCCTTCTTCAGGAGACATCCTTCTCCCTTCTTTGGACCTGGTTAACTCTTACTCATCTTTCATAATTCAGAGTTAGTGCCACCTCCTCTAGAAGGTCTTCCTTAACCTCCCCAGGCTAGGGCCGATTCCATCACACATTGGAGTGAAGGTCTGATTGATGCCCATCTCTAATGTATGCTCCCACTGAAACCCCAACATCTAAAAGACAGTCATCCTGTACATAGTAGGTACTCAAAATAAACCTCTTACATGGCACTGGCTGGGTAGCTCACTTGGTTAGAGCGTCATCCCGATACGCCAAGGTTGTGGGTTCACTCTCTAGTCAGGGCACGTACAAGAAGCAACCAATGAATGCAGAAATAATTGGAACAACAAATCGATGTTTCTCTCTCAAAACAATAATTTAAAACAAAACAAAACATCTCTTATATGAATGGACCAACAGTACGGCACCCAGGACCAAAAATCTTTAGGGTGCTGGCACATTTAACTCTCATTTTGAGAATCCATGATTGAAATAAAAAAAGAGGAGGGAGAGACAGAGAGAAAAGGAGGGAGACGAAAGGGTGGTCATTGAAAGCTAGGGCTTTGTGGTCCAACTGTGCAGGTCCAAATCCTGGTTTTTCCTCTTAGCAGCTGTGTTTCTTAGGAAAGTCCTTTAACCTCTCTGTGTCTCAGTTTTCTCATCTGGAAATTGGGGCTAATAATAACACCAATCTCACAGGCTTGTTTAAAGGATTAAAGTAAGAGGATTGAATTATGTAAAGAGGTTAGAAAAGAAGCTGGTGCATAGTAAACAGTTAATGAAATGTAGCCACACCCGGGCCAGCGTGGCTCAGCTGGTTGGGTGTCGTCCTGTGCAGGAAAGGTTGTCCATCTGATTCCTACAAGGGCACATGGCTGGGTTGCTGGCTCGACCCCCGGGAGGGGTCATGCAGGAGACAGCCAATGGATGTTTCATTCTCATACTGATGTTTCTCTTTCTCTCTCCCTCGCCTTCCTCTCTCTTTAAAAGATCAGTAAAAATAATTTTTAAAAAGTAGCTACTATTTTCAAAATATCTTTCTTCCTCTGAGAGTGCCACTGCTTTGATTTGTTTTATATGCCATTCGCCATGTCTTTTTGATCTGTCAGGTTCTCAAGATCTTCGTGTTTTCAAAACCTGGTGTGTGTTGGGAAGGTTGAGCACTCCTGTTCTGGGGAGGGAGTGCCTTTGAGAGAGGCTCCGTGGAGAGGACGATGGGAATGGTGACGTGGGGAGGTCAGGAGTGGCTGGAAAGAAAGCCTTTCTGTGTGTTCTCTGGCTCCTCAGCCCCCGCCTCCTCCTTGGTCTGCCATCTCCCTCCTCTAGCCCATCCCCCATGCAGCCATAGAGGGATCTTCTTTTTTTTTTTTTTTTCCTCACCTGAGGACATTTTTTTTGCATTTTTTGTTCAGACAGAGCGGGAGGGAGAGAGAGGAAGAGAGAGAGAGAAACATCGATGTGAAGGGACACATCGAGTGGCTGCCACCCGCACGACCAACCAGGGCCGGGGACAAACTGCAACCGAGGTACGTGCCCTTAGCGGGAACCGAACCCGGGTCTCTCTGTACCGCAGGTCGACGCTCCAACCGCTGAGCCAAACCGGCCAGGGCCATAGAGGGATCTTCTTACAACCAGAGGTGACCCTGCTTACAGCCCTCCTGGGTTCCCCAGGGCCCCAGGATAAAGTCCCGGTCCATGGACTCAGCCCTGCAGGTACGGGCCTCGACACCATTCCAGCCACATCTCTGCCACTAATTTTCTCCAGCCTCGGACCTTGGCCCATGGGCTGTCCCTGGGTCCTGAGCAGCTGGGGGAATAGAGGGGCTCACAAGTGATGGCCCCAAGTCATCCTTGAAGTAGCTCATCAACCACCCCAATTCCTGGGCTCCTCATCCCACTGTCCACCCAGTTACCAGGCCAAGCCCCCTCCACAGCCTGCCACGCCCCTGCCCCGCGCCCCCTTCCCTGGCTCCCTCTGATATTTGCAGAGCACCTGAGACAGTGCCTGCACAGGGTTTGCTCCATGTGGCTGTTGAGTCAAATACTGAATGTATATAAATGTAGAAACAAATAAAGTCTTCGAGGTTCTGCTTACTGGTCACCTCTTCCAGGAAGCCTTCCAGAACCACCCTGTATGCTCTCAGAAGCTGATCACTCTTTTATCCTCCTCCATCTCCCTCTTTAACCTCTCTACCATGGGCCACTATTTCCTTTCCTTGGTCTTTGTCTCCTCCATTAGTTCTGAGCTCCTCAAGGGCAGAGACCAGCTCTGGGTCAAAATGCCCAGCAAGGAGCATGCGTGCAGCAGGTGCTCAATAGAGTGTTCATTTGAATTAGATTTTGTTAACAAAGGGAGATTCTAGATTGGGCATAAGCTTCTTGCCAGTTCCCATGTTCTAGATTTCTGTGTGATGAAGTGTGTTTGATGCTTCTGCCTCCAGACCTTCGGGGCTCTGTTTCTAGAAGCAGCAGTGAATAAATGAATGAGAACAGTAACCTCACAATCAATGTGTTAGTAATTATGGGTGAGAGTCACTCTGGGGGGAGCTCATGCTGTGCAGGGCACTCTTCTGAAAGATCTGCATGCATTCGCTCATTTAATCCTCACAAAACCTATGAGATCAGTACCATTACTTCTCCCACTTTCCGAGTGAGGAAACTGAGGCCCAGAAAAGGTGAAGTCACAAGCTGAATGTCACCAGCTAATCAGCAGCAGAACCATGGTCTGCACCCAGAAGTCTGTGCTCTCGACTCCTGGAATGGCTATCCTTTACCCAGCCGCCCTGTGTTCCTGTGCATGGTCTCATGGGAACCTCCAACAGCCCCACAAAGCAGGTACTGTGATAAGCTCATTTTGGAGATGAGAAAACCGAGGGTTGGGTGTGTGAAGTCTGTTGCCCAAGACACTCGTCCTGGAAATGGTGGAGCCTGTCTCAAGCAGCCTGAGGGCAGAACCTGTGTTCTTAGGCACTCTACTCTTGTCCATGGTTCTCCAACCAAGCGTCTCAAACTCATGCACATATGGGGGCCAGGCAAGCAAAGCAAGGAAGTGGCAGTGCTAAGTATGAGGCAGCAGAGAGTAGTGGGGTCTGGGGCAAACCTGAGTGCCAATGCCTGGTCTAAATGGGGTGGTCGTCTGCCCCACAGGAATGTGGGCTCAGCCTCTTCCCGTGTTTCATGGGAAGCTAGAAACCTAACATTCTACGGGGAATGTTCCCAGTTTAAAATCAGGGTCAACTGAAACACCCTTTGCCACTTGAGTATGTTTCTCAGCTCTCTTGGATTTCTCACTTGCCCGGCCTGTAGCATTACAGTTGGAGGGAATTATATGTGAGCTTGTTCATATAACATCAAGCTTCCTGTGCGGTCTGAAAGTTTGGGACGGGCAGGGAATTTATCTGTCTTGCTCAAACAACTAGCCCCAGTGAAACACCCCTAGTCCTCAGCATGAACCCAGCCCTGTATTTACTGAATGGATGGGTTTTTTCTCTTTGTCCTGTGGCTTTTTTGCAGCTCTGTCTCTGATCTCTTTGTATGGGTCTGTCACCTGTTTTTCTGGCTATGTCTGGTGTCTCTGGCTCCAAGCCTCCATGTTTCTGGAATTTTTCAGAGCTTTTTCTCTTCTCCTGTCTCTTGGGTACCTCTCTATCATAAAGTCTGTAAGTGGAGCCCACCCTCTCACTGTGTGTGACAGTGTCTCTCCAGCTCCCTGTCTCTGTGTCTCATTACACTTCCCTTCTTGACTCTCTCAGCCTCTCTGCAAGGTGAATTTAGCTGTTTTAGTTGGCATCTCTCTCTCCCAATCTCTGGGTGGGGGACTCTGTGCCCACCCTTCTGTCTTGCTTCCCTTCCCTCTCTAGCACCCAGCAGGGTGGTGGCTCACTTACCCCATGGCAGGCCGGCTGGGAGCACGCACGTCCTTGCACACCAATCGCACGTAGCTGTACTTGAGCACGTCGATGAGCGTGTACAGCGGGGGCAACCTGGCCCAGTGGCAGCGTGTCAGGTGCATGGAGCTCTGGACGAAGAAGAGCGCCAGCCGCTGCTGGCACCATGTGTCGAAGAAGCGGCTGAACTCAGCCCAGGAGAAGAAGGCCCGCTCCAGCAGCTCCTGTTCCTCCTGCTCCTCCTGCCCCACCACCATGCCAGATGGGGGCTCCATCCTGGGGCGCCTAAGCGTAAGGTGGGAGGACATGTGCCTAAGACCACAAACCCACCTCCACCTGAGCTATCCTACTCCCTCCATTTTCCACCTGCCTCTTTGGCTGGTGCTCCTGTGCAAGTGGGCCTGGGCAGGATACACCCCCATTAATATCTGGATATAAACCTCCACCCCATCTTTGGCTTCCTCCCACCTCCTGGATTATTCCAAGGACAGTTGGAGCCTGTCATCCTGATCCCCAATTCCAACTCTGGTTCCCTCCTCTGTTAGATGTGATCCCTAGGTACAGTTGGGGTCCCCCTCCAAAAATATGACTTTTTTTTTGGTTAATCCTCAGTCGAGGATATTTTTTTCATTGATTTTTAGAGAGAGTGGAAGGGAGGAACACAGGGAGGGAGGGGTGAAGAAGAGGAGGAGGAGGAGGAGAGAGAAACATTAATGTGAGAGAGACACACACCGCCTGCACACACCCTGATTGGTTCCGGGGATCGAACCTGCAACCCAGGTACTGCTCTCGACTGGGAATCAAACCCATGACACTTTGGTGTGCAGCCGACACTCTAACCACTAAACCACAATGGCCAGGGCCCAAAATATGACTCTTAAGATCAGTTGTGGACACTTCCTCAAATGTGTTCCCAACTTCCAGCTAAAACCTCTTCCCTCTCCAGATGTGTCTCCTACACGTGGCAGTAACCTCTAGTGCCCATCCATATAGAACTCTCCTCTCCATGTGTCTACAGTTGGCTGTACAGCTGTGCCCCCCTCAAAGATGTCCCATCTCCAGATGTGCTTCCACATTCAGTCATGCACACTCATCCCTAGTCATATACTTCGTACCTGTGGCTCTCCCCTCCCTGGATGTGTCTCTGATATGCAGCTAGTGCCCCTTCCCCAGGTGTAGCCACCGAGTCACCACACCCACCTGTGGCCCCTGCTTCCTAGAAATGCTTCCATATCCAGTATGTACTCATTCCTTACAGGTGTGTACCCCATTCACTGGCGGTCAGTTCTCAGAAGTGTCACTAATATTCGCCTGTGCCCCCTTCCTGCTCAGATGCTCCCCCCTCCAGTCCAGCTGTGGCTCCCTCTTTCCGTCCACAGGTATCATCCGCCAGAGGTGCGTTATCGTCCAAGACATGGCCCCCAGTCCTCAGATAGGCTTCTTCACTCCCGAGGCTCCCCGCGTCCAGCTGCACTCCCCCTACCCGGGCAGCCCCTCCCACCCGGCTCTCGCAACCCCTCCCAGCTCCGCCTGCCGCCGCCCCTACGCTCCCGCTGTCCCACCCAGTGGTGCCTCTTCCCTCCCCCAGATGTGCACCCTTCCCGCCCCTCCCCACTCACCTACCCGCCCCGGAGCGGCGTCCACCTCCCACAATGCCCCGCGCCAAGGCCCTTGCTCCCGGGATGCCCCGCGCGGCCTCCCGCCTCTCTTCCCGCGGTTCCTCGCGCAGCGGCTTTTTCCAAAACTCCCTCTTCTCCCTCAGTCACGTAAGGGACTCGCAACCACATCGGCAGGTCCAGAGCAAGGAAAGGCGCGGGCCTTTTCCCAGCGTGCTCTACGGGAGGGCTCGCTCCACTCACCCCCCACCTCCGCTCTCCTAGCAGCCTCGGGACCCGGAGACTACAACTCCCAGCGTCCCCCGAGGGGCGGTGGCGCCGACGTCGCCCGGGCCGCGCCCCCCAGCTCGGCCCCGCCCCCGGCCGCCGGAGTCTGCGCGCGAATTCAGTGGCGCGAAATTGGGACCGCAGTTGAGCGCTGGGGGGGTTCCAGGTGTGACTCCCAGAACTGCAGCGCGCCGTGCCGGCCCGAGGTGAGTGGGTCCGCCCGCGCGGGGCCGTGGGACGCCCGGCGCCCACGGCTTTGTCGGGTCTGTCGGCCACAGCGGAGCGGGCGGCAGCGACGCCGAGGCGGCAGCACCTCCGCCGGAGGGATGCGGGCTACCCGAAAGGCGGTGTGCTAGGGAAACGTTTCATAGTGAGCGGGACCCGGGAAAAGTTGGGGAGGCGGGGTGGGCCTAGCTGGATGGAGGTGGGGCCAGGGAGAGGTCGGTGGTTCGGTCCTGGGCTCCGCAAAGGCCCGGGTAGGGCGTGGTCTGGCCTCGGGCACACCTGTGAGGGGCGGGGCCAAGGGGCGGGGCTCCGAGGGCTGGGAGCTTTTATTTATTTTTATTTTTATTTTTTTTATCCTCACCTGAGGACATTTTTACACTGTTTGTTCAGATAGAGCGGGAGGAGAGAGAGGAAGAGAGAGAGAGAGAAACATCGATGTGAAAGGGACACATCGAGTGGCTGCCACCCGCACGACCAACCAGGGCTGGGGACAAACTGCAACCAAGGTACATGCCCTTAGCGGGAACTGAACCCGGGTCTCTCTGGACCGCAGGCCGACGCTCTAACCGCTGAGCCAAACCGGCCAGGGCTGTGAGCTTTTATTAACCAGAAGAAATGCAGACTTGAGCCTTCCCGCCTGCCATCCTCAAGCTGTTCAACACTAAAGACCCTTTTGCATCCTTGTCACCACAGCCTCCAGGTTTGGAAAGATCCTACTTGCGAACCCTCCGTTTTTTCAGTAATGTTTTTTGTTACCCCAACTGTTAGTAATCAAAGACATGTACATGTGAGTGTAGTCAGTGCCAGGCACTGTTTTAGGTCCTGTGGCCATATCACTGAACAAAATAGACAAAAATCCGTATTGTTAAGTGTAAATTTTAATATCTACAGCTGAAAGTCATTTTTTCTTTTTTAAAGAAAGGGTTTAGCCCTGGCCGGTTTGGCTTAGCGGTTAGAGCATCCGCCTGCGGTCCGGAGAGACCCGGGTTCGGTTCCCGCTAAGGGCATGTACCTCGGTTGCAGTTTGTCCCCGGCCCTGGTTGGTCGTGCGGGTGGCAGCCACTCGATGTGTCCCTTTCACCTCGATGTTTCCCTCTCTCTCTCTTCCTCTCTCTCCCTCCCACTCTGTCTGTACAAAAAATGGAAAAATGTCCTCGGGTGAGGATAAAAAAAAAGAAAAGAAGGGGTTTATTAGGCCATTGCTATCAAGAAAAGACCAGGTCCTGGGGCATGAAGTTTGAAACACCAGTGGCAGGTGGGGAAACTAGGCATGTCCACTGTCCTGGAGCTATTGAGGGTTTTTATTGCATCAAGTAGAGGGAAGAGAAATGTAAGTGATTCTGAAAGATTTTACATTAGCTAGAGAGAAAGGGGGTGGGAGAAGGTGAAGTGTGGCCAGTTCTGAGATAGGCACAGTCAGCAAGAAAGATGTGTCCACTCCTGTAAATTGACTGTGGGCAGCAGATTGGACAGTTCATGTGTAAATAAGTGGGGGCTCCATGTGGAAAGAAGGTTTTTTTAAAGGGAGAGAGAGAGAGAGAAATGGAAACATCATTTGGTTGCCCTCCTAAAACCTGGGTATGTGTCCTGAGTGGAAATTGAACTGGTAACCTTTCTGTGCATGGGACTTCAGCCAACTGAGCCACACTGGCAAGGGCTGGAAGGGAGCCTTCTTATCTTGTTCTGGGATTTGGAATTCTTTCTGTACTAATAAATCTCAGTGGCAAATTATTCTGGTCTGAAAAAAGGGGAGTTTCTTATTTTTATACCATTTTTTTCTTTATTGATTTTAGAGAGAGAGGAAGGGAGAGAGAGAGAGAAACATCGATAAGAGAGAACATTGACTGGCTGCCTCCTGCATGCCCCCCACTGGGGATCGGGCCCACAACCTGGGCATGTGCCCTGACTGGGAATCTAACTGGCGATCTCCTGATGCATGGGTTGACGTTCACCCACTGAGCTACACCGGACTGGTGTGTGTGTGGGTTCTTTTGGAAGGGGAAATGGGTGTTTCTGATTTTGTGTTTTTTTTGTTTTTTTTCTGAAGAAAGGAGGTTTATGTGTTGTTTTGATATGTGCACAAGTGATCTTCTCACCAAGTGTTTGCATATCTGTTCCAGAAGCTGACAGGAGAAGAGGAGAAGGAGCGGGGAAGGGACAATTCTGCCGCCATCATGCAGCGAAGTATCATGTAAGGGACCCGGTAAACTTTACAAGTCTCTGCTTCTCTCTCTAACTGCCTTTTCTTAGAAAAACTCAAGTTGGCATTTTCCAGAAGTTGACCGGTATGGAAAATGGGGAGTGGGCCATGGAAAAAGTAGGGCATTAACTAAAACATTTTAGATGCAGGGTTGGGAAACCCTAACCCAGTGATTCTCAGTCAGCCGTGACCCGCCCCCAGGAACATCAGCAATGTCCGGAGATATTTTCGGTTGTCACAACTGGGGTGAGAGGGGATAAAGGCCAGGCATGTTGCTGAACATCCTAGATGCACAGGACAGCACCTGACAGCAGAGACTGATGTGGCCTAAAGTGCCAGGCCTCCTGAGGTTGAGAAGCCCTGTACTAACGCGAGCTGGCTTTAGGAAGAGAAGCCAAGGAATTATTTGGCTTGTGTAGTTGAATTTTTCTGGAGTTAATAATTGGATATAGTTGCCAAAACCTTGCCCATGGGAATCTGTCTCTTTTCATCTTTCAGCTCTGCTTTCTTCCGTGTTGCATCATGGTGACAGGTTCTCTTCCTTGGGTTCTGGCACCGTACAGTTAGCAGTTCCAGTGGAAAGAGGCTGTCTCTCTCCTAGCTATTCCGACAGTGTCTAGGCTGTTGTTTCATTTGGCCCAGCTTAGGCCCCATGCTGGTCCCTGACCCAGCCATGGGGATGCAGGACGCTGATTGGCCAGGCCTGGGGCATGTGCCCTCCCTGGTAGTGGGTGGAAAGAGGAGGCCCATGCAAATCTCAGGTACTGAGAGAATTTGGGGAAGGGGCATGCTAAGGGAAAAGTGGAGAGCTGTTATCAGGAGATAGGAATGGATTCTAGATAGACCCAGACCTGGACATCCATCACGCCGACCCCAGGCTTCATTTTCTCCTGTGCTGAGAAATCGAGCTAGTCTTTCCCTGGCATGTATTAAGTGCTGGGTTATACTTGTTGAACGAAAATGGTATCTCTCAGGTTGAGCTAGGGCAGAAAAATAAGCAGAGTGTTGTTTCCTCTGAGCTTCAGTTTCCTTTTCCAAAGGGGGTTGTTTGAAATCTTCTGTTGCCCTGGCTGGTTTGGCTCAGCAGTTAGAGCATCAGCCTGCGGTCCGGAAAGACCCGGGTTCGGTTCCCGCTAAGGGCATGTACCTCGGTTGCAGTTTGTCCCCGGCCCTGGTTGGGTCGTGTGGGTGGCATCCACTCGACATGTCCCTTTCACGTCGATGTTTCTCTCTCTCTCTCTCCCTCCCACTCTATCTGAACAAAATATCGAAAAATGTCCTCGGGTGAGGATTAAAAAAAAAAAAATGAAATCTGTTAAATGCTAGGATGGGAACTTGCGTCAGAAGGTGTACAGGACATTGCGGATCGGAGGGGTTATTTGTGTTTTCATCCCCCCCTTTTGTTCCTCCAGGTCGTTTTTCCACCCCAAGAAAGAGGGCAAAGCAAAGAAGCCAGAGGAGACATCCAACAGCATCAAAGAGACCAAGCCCCCTCCAAAGTACGTAATGGGGCTATTCCTTTATCAGTCAGGACTCTCTTGGCTGCAAGTGTTACAAACTCAGCTCAGAATGTCTCGGGATCCCAAAGGCGGTTTTTGACTTCAGTAACTGGGAAGTTCAAAGGTATGTGCAGCTTCAGGCACAACTGTATCCAGGGCCTCAGAGTTGTCGGCAGGGCTCTGTTTCACATCTCTTGGCTTCACCTAGAGCAGATTTTTTCCAGGAGGCAAGAAAAGTTGGCCACTGGCCTCATTTTGATGCCAACTCATCTAAGTCAGCTATTTTAAACATTTTTCATCTCATAGCACACATAAACTCATTACTAAAATTCTGCAGCGCACTGAAAAGGATATTTTTTACCTATCTAACCAAAAAAAAAAAAAAGGTATAATTTTGATTGATTCATATCCGATGGCTATTGTTGTGTTGATCATCATCATTTTTTTATTTGACAGTCTAAGGGAAAAGAGGCTAGTGCCCCTGACTAGTCAGGGACTGCATGTTTTAAAAATTCTTGTGGCACACCGTTTGAAAGTCACTGATCTGAGTAGAAGACAGTAGTATCCTCTTCTCCAGCATCAGTGTCACAAGTTCATGGGAAGCCCCTGCTTGCTTAAGCATGGACTCAACCTAGATTTCATTCACATCCCCGATTTGGGACCCTGGGCAAGTAATCTCACTTCCTGTATGTACCAGGCTGTCATAATCTCTGTCAGGTTTTCTACGTGGGTTCAGTGGGTCAACACATGTATAACTTGTAGAACAGTACCTGGTTCAGTAAGTGGTAATAATCAAGTCGTGTTTCTTTTTCAATACTCTTGGTTTTCAGCTCTGCCCCAGTTGTGTATACATTGCTATACATGTACTATATGTGCATGTGTAGGTTTTTTGTGATATATTTTAATTTTTTTATAAAAAGATTATACTGTGTGTGTCATTCTTCAACTTGCTTGCATCAGCAATGTCATGTCTCAGATTTTTTTCCATTCCGGAACAGAGGACTATGTTATCCTTTTAACCTTCTGTCTGGTGTTGTGTTTTATGAATATATTATAGAAACTATTTCATTCCCCTACTGGTGGGAAATTAGGATGTCCCCAAATTGTGGCCGAAATAATCTGCTGCAATAGTCTACATGTGTGTCCCCCAGGGCACAGGTGCAGATTTTTTTCTAGCATGGATACCCCTATGTAGAATTATACAAGGTAATTGTTACTGTGTCAACTCAGAGAAGTACGTAAAGTAAACATTTGAAGTCTTTCCACTATTCACTCTAGAGGAACTACCTTTACCAGTTTGAAGTACATCCTTTTTTCTGTGCCTGTAAATATATGTGCACCTAACAGAGTTATTGATACGTAATAGGTGCTCAGTAAATATTTTTTGAATGAGTGTTTCCCATACTTATATATTGCACAGCGGGACTGTCATTTTGATCACTATTTTATCGCAAGTAGCTGGCACATGCCTGATATATACCAGATACTTGGTATTATACACCCTTATTTTTAAATAATAAAAGCTGGATTATTATATATGCAAGTTGCAGATA